GATCTGCCAAACTACAAAGGTCGTCACGCACCCTCTGACACCACCGATTGTCCCGCATGAAACCCCTAAAACCGCTTTCCCATTCCAACAAATAGCTATGGATTTTGTGACAGATCTCCCTGTGTCGGGAGAACAGAAATACAACACAATTCTCACGGTTGTCAATCAAGGCCTCACGAAGGCTGCACTTTTCATTCCATGTCATAAAACCATTGACTCCAGTTGGGCTTGCCCGACTGTTCCATCAATTTGTTTATTCCTGTTATGGAATCCCGGAGTCAGTAATCTCCGATCGAGGGCTGCAGTTTGTGTCTTTGTTTACCAAGGAGCTTTACAAAGCAATAGGGGTCAAAGCCAAACTCTTGTCTGGATACCATCTGCAGACTAATGGTGAAAGCGAACATGTCAACCAAGAGGTAGAAGGGTATCTTCGACTTTACTGCTCCGAGTTCCCCAACTTGTGGTCAGCAAAACTTCCCTCTGCCAAATTCGCTCATAACTCGCAGATCCACTCTGTCCATCAAATGACTCCCTTTTCCCTCCTCCTTGGATACGACCCTTCTCCCTATCCCGAGGTTTGGCTAACACCAGTACCCTTGGTCAATGAAAGACTAGAGTGGCTTGCCTCATGCTGAGATGTCGCTATCCTTGCTCATAAAAAAGCCCAAGAATTGATGTGATCGCATTCAAAAGGGACTTATGTTGTGCCAAAGGTTGGAGATAGCATTCTCCTGGATACTGGTCATCTGCGCATCAAAAACCAGTGTGATAAGATTGCACCCCGAAGGCTCGGACCTTTCAAGGTGACTCACATTGTGTCACCTGTAGCCTTCCAATTGGACCTCCCACCTACCTGGAAGGTTCATCCCGTTTTCCACGCGTCCCACATCTTTCCATTTACTGAAAATGATACATATGGAACTGTGCCCACAGCTCCTATACCTGAATTGGTGGATGATGAAATTGAGTGGGAGGTCGAGTCTGTGCTGAATCACAAGGTTGATGGTTGCAGAGGTAAGAGATGCTATCTGATCAAATGGAAGGGTTTCCCCATTCATCAAATACATGGGAACCCGAGGAACACATAAAAGATCACACGTCTGAAGCCCTCGACCAGTACAGGCTCGCTCGACACCTACGAAATTAAATGGATTCCCCTCACTCCACCAATACTGAAAACGACTATGCCGACAACAACAGGCTCGTACCCCCCGTCAATGTCTATGCCCCAACCTCGCCTCCAACATCCCCTGCCAGCTTTCATGTCTCCAGCTTCTCCTTGCCCGCATCCCAGCCCCATCCGCTGTGAGTCAAAGTGAGGTTCAGTGGTGAAAACCAACCAAAACCAACACAAAAGACAATGAAAGCAAGTGGTGGTGTGCCTATGCGGTACCTAGATGGTAGAACCTGTTCTTTGGGAGGGTTTTTGCAAGCTACAACACTCAAAGATGAGTGCTGAGGGTTGGGGGTGCTCCTGACGAAGAGGGAGCAAGAATGTGATAGAAAGCAATAGGGTAGACTGCTGTCAGCCTACAGAAGGATGGATGGTGACTTAATTCAATGTCCTAAGCTGTACTGAGCTCAGGGAGGGCTTGGAGCAAAGTATATGGATGATAGATGATGATAAGCAAAGTAGATGATAGCTAGACCCTTAATAAAGTCTCAACTATCGAAGCTGATGAATGATTTACTGAGAGATGATAAATTGCGAGCAAGAGGGGCTCTCTGATGTCTTTTTCTTTTTGCTACCTAAGTACAGTGACTTATATACAGTACAGGGGCGTTGCCTATGGAAAACAAGGTGCAAACACTTGGTAAGCAATTGGTAACTGATGAGTAAGGAATGTAAGCGATGGGTAATCGTCTTGGAAAGCATTGGTAAGCATTGGTAAGGATAAGTAAGCCAAAAAGCAAAGAATCAGTAAGCAAAGTCAAAAGATTGGTAAGTATTGGCAATAGGTGAGTCAAAGACAGTCAGAATGTCAAAGTATGAGTCAAGCAATGTCAGGAACCAAGAAAGCACACTGGAATCACATTAGGGGGAGGCTGTGCATGTCACGTCTTGAAGAGATCACTTCTAGGCCAAAGTGGGATGACAGAGAGGCAGTGCTGATCTGATGCCGATATAGTACATCCAAAAGCGGACAGGGTGAGTCAGATGTCAACAGGGGTCAAGCTTTGGGGGTCTGTGGGGTGACAGGAGCATAGGGGATCACAACTTTCCCCCCCAAACCATCCTCTCAGTGAAGCAAATAAAAACTTCATGAACAAGGCTCTGTTGGAAGAGAGGATGGAGGGGGAGCATCTTCTGCTGTATCTTGCAACAAGGAGGCAAGATGTGCATCATACTCATCATGGATGCGATCAGGGAGAGTGGAGAACAGTAGATTATACTGTAGCTGTCGCAATTTTGGAAGAATGACAGACGAGACTGGTATGAAGACATTGCAGGGGGCAGGGAGGAAGGATCCATATGCTTCTTGGACTGGAGAGACTGAAATGACCACATAAGACCTTTCCAAGCAAATGACAGACCTGAGGCGACCAAAGAACGTCCTCCTGGAGGTCATACTGACAAAAAGAACATGCTGTCCAAGCTGGATGGGCTGAGAGGGGGCAGATGAGGGTGGGATGTACCAGGATGCTTCAGGACAGAAGCTGGTAGGAACTCCTGGTAGATATATGTAGCCATGGTCCCTAGCAAAGGGAACAAGCGAAATGACTGATGTGGAGGCAGCCATATCAGAAGAATTAGCAAAATGAGCATCTTTTGGAGGGAGTGCTGTAGAAACATGTGGAGTGCGCAAATCCTTTCCAATCTTGGAAGGTAGGATCGTGTGGCTGAGCACTACAAGCGAGTGTGGGAATGGTTTTGGTGTCTGCAGAATTGGTGGAGATACGTCGAAAACCAGAATGCCGTACACGGGCGCTTAAGAACTTTATTGGCGCTTAACCTGCCTCCTCCTTTTTCTTTGGCACCAACAACTTGTTCTTGTGCGAGGGATGACTGCCGACATTGCTGGCTGTCCTTCTTCGTATGAGGGCTATGGTCTTCACCTCCATTCATCAGCTACATCCATGTCCACCTCACCAAACACCTTTGGTGTGTGACAGCGCTTGACGTCTTTGATGACGGGGACAACATTAACAGGTGCTCACCAGAACAGGTTGAGTATTTTGGGATGTTGTCTAAAATCTACAGAGCGTCAGATGTAATCAACAGGCTTGTGTCCAAGATACGTACTCAGAAGCTAAGCAGTACCACCCCACTTTCCGAAGTAATCATGATCGACATGCTGGAGAAGGCTTCTTCGGATCTTACCAAAGCCATTACAGGTGGGGCTTACCACCACTTACATCAGCAACAAATAGGAGAGTTCTTGGCACCACTGGGTGCCCAGATCTTAGATCGTATCGTTCCGAAGCAAGAGGAACCATTGGCTTCAGAAATTAAACTAAAGGACATTACGGATCAGGAGAAGGAAAAGGAATGGCATGCTGTGGAACTAGGGTTTGTGGACTCGGGAGAGTTGTTTAAAGAGGTTGGTGCCTGTCTCGGTACTGGGACTCACAACTCTGCTTGGGAGGTGTTGTTACAGGATGCTTCATGGGCTGGCATCCATAAAAACTACTTCAATGCTGTTCACACCGCCGACCCTCTCCCTTCGACTCCCTTCGTCCCCATCCCTGCTGATCAACTTTGGTTCCACCTCAGAGGCCAGTCCCCTGTCCTGCCTGACCATGTCCTTTACCAGCACGCCTGCTACCAGTGTCATTACCTGGGACATTGGTCATGCCGGAACGGACGTGGCTCCTGCTATACTCCGGCCCTCGAGGAACCGCTGTCTCCATCACCTTCATCGCCCGTTGCATCTCGGACATGTTCCCGCGTCTATACTACTCACCGACCCCTATCCGTCCGCCCTGCCAACATGTCTTTGGGGCAGTCCTCAAGGGTCTGAGGACCTTAGAGGGGGGGTGATGTTACGCTCCTGTCAAGGGCCTCTCCTTTTTTGGCTCTTAGCGGTCACGTGCGTCACGTGCCTCATCACATCACTCATAGTCGTCGCCATCCTAGGGGCTTGGATGCTCCAGGGAATGTACGGATCTCCTGTGGTCCAGGTATTTCCAACACTGGAAGAAACTGCATTGCCACTGTGATCCGGTGTCCTGTCGCCCCTGCTGATGGACGACTTGTTATGGACTTATGACTTCCCTTTGACTCATTATTGTTGCTGATATGTTGTACTATAGATCCAGTGTCAGGCTCCTAGCTGTGCATTGATTGCACAGCCAGTATAGCCTTCGCTTCCTTGACTACCCCCATCTTTGACACCATATGATTCCTTTCTATTTCATTGATGAACTCGTTGATTACTGCGGATATGCATTGCAATGCATCTGTCGCGACTGTTACAGTACTCGTACTTAGGGCTATATAAACCTATGTACTTCGTCCTGTATCTGCAGTTTTTCGATAGCTTGCAACTGAGCTTCATCCCTTCACTTTATCCTTGTTCTCTCTCTGTGCAAACAAACTTAGGGACTCACCAGCAGACAGAACCTCTGTCGGATTATCGTGATAACTCAGCCATAGGGGTTACGACAAGTTTGGCCCATAGTCTCCCACCTTGCGCACTTCGTGCCTATTCTATTTGAAGAAGTCACTGCGCTCGGGCATAACAATGGATAGGCCCTTCAGTAATATCTTTTATATTGCCATAAAACAAGGATGGGTCCATCTAGTAAGATCCACCCCTGTCACAACATAAGATGGGCCCAACACCAATAGCACATATAGCATCATAACATGTTGATTGGATCACAGCAAAATATTGAGGCAAGTGTCCCTGACATGCTGTAATTTTCCAACAAGCTGCAAGTGGCTCACCCACTATACAACTCCGACCTCATCCACCCCAAGCATGAATACTACACAAGACACGTCTAAAACCCCTCATGGATGGTGAATGGAACTAACAGACTGCATTGCATCATACATGAAAGCCAGATTTCAAGAGGAGGTATTCAGCAGACCTCATGCCCTTCCAGATATATCAATTCCATTTCTGGTGTTATGTGAAGTGGATCACATATCATCAGTAATCTCACAGGCCTATCATCGCCCAAGTAAGTCCATCATAATGGTGCAATGGAAGTTTTCATCTTTCTGCAGTCAACATTGGGAAAAATCAGGGTGGAAAAACCTGCAATGCAGAAGCTGCTGAGAGATACATGGAAGTGACTGAGCCATCCATTCTGGTGACCAACTCAAACACCATCTGCATTTGGTATTTGCCAGACACTCTCAGCCCAAAAAGAAGGGTAAGGGAATGCAGAATCTCATATTCTACTGACTTAATGCAATGGCAGGCCAATGTATGGAACCACCTTCATCTTCTGAGGGAACCACTGTGGGAGAGCATAAAGGCTTCCCCACAGGCATGGCAGATGGACAAGTCATATTTCTGCAATAATGCTGAGTTGAAAGGTGCCATCAACCTGTCACCCACATGGTTTCAATAGGGTCATGGGGTGGGTGATCATTTCTTTCCTTGTGAATAAAGTGTTAATTTCCTGATGTGGGGGACCTTGGTGTTTGCAAAACAGCTTGGACCAACCAAGCCACATTGCACACAGGGGCCTTTGAGCTTGATCCTTCATTCCCCGATTTGTTACCACCATCATTACCTCCCTGAGTCCAGTGAACGTTGCAAGGAAAACATTCCATCCTTTTTATATATCCCCACTGTCGAATATAGAATGGAGGCTAATATGCATGCACGAGTACTGTTCTCTGACACTCGCCTGTCGATAGTCAACACCTTACGCTGACGTTGGGTACGTTAGTCGAGCGGCGTGGACCCACAGTTGAAGACCGCGTATCCTGTGCTGGGCGCGCATTGACTCAGCTAAAGCAGGTTCGCGTAGAAACGGGTGGTAGACTTGTCACCCGCTCATATGCTCACATGCCAGCGTAAATGATACGCACAACGTCGGTGCGCATATATATTATCCCCGCCAATATCAGTTCTGACGTTGCCCAGTTTGGAAAATTTATTGTTCAGGTCCTCAGCGAGATGGTCAAAATCCGTCAATTCCAAGGAGCATTCGGATCCTCCTTGGCCTCTCAGCCCAGTACACAAGTTCCTGCTCGATTGGAAGTACGACATACATATCAAGGAGCAGTGGTTACTTCCTGGTCTATTTTGAGTTGGCCCGATTCGCCCCGATCCGATCAGTACAGAGGAAGCATGTCGCCTTGGTCTGGACAATCTAGTGAAGTTGGTTGCAGTGCGAGAGCAGGCGGCGGGCCGAGAGACTGAGGACCGTATGTGTTCCCAAAGAAACTTTACCCTCACACGCCGCGCTCAGAGATCCCTGCCAGGGCTTGAGGCTGAAGGAACGCTGAATTAAGTTCTGCGCCCCAATCGTGAAGGGGGGGTCTCCGAACGTTGTTAGACAAGTTCCACGATGTGCATATAGCATGATCTATCCCCCGTGATCTAGAAGGCACTACTACTGGACTGTAACTGGGAAGAATTGGCTTTTGATTTTACGGTTCAGCATTCAATACCCCTTCACCTCTTAACGGAAGAAGAGGCGGCATCATCAGCCGGGAACACACACTATCCGCCACCATCCCCAGAGTCGGCTTTACCGTAAATCTTCCCTGGAACAGCTTTCACGGGTCGCCACGACACTCAAGCTATTCCAGCCCCAGGTTCGATCCAGTCGAGTGAAATTTGACAGTACTTCACAGATATGATCCGAGGAGAACATATATTCGCCAGCCAACGAACGTGTGTACCCACGCATACGCATCATTACACCTTCCCCTTCCAAGCTTTCCACAACCACAACGTCGCGACAAACGCGAGCGCCGCAGCAACCCCACTCACCTCAAACGTTGCGCGCCAACACCGTACTCCCATGCACACGCCCCCGCCGACCGGGGTATGTTCCACAGCGACGAACGCATACAGGTAGGAGAAGACAGGTGTACCGAGGAAAGGAGCATAAATGAGGATACCGTAGTTGCGTCCGAGATTGTGGATACCCCATATGGAAGAGACCAGAGAGGGTCTGTGAAAAGCGAGGTGGTGTTAAGTAGAAGCCCCTGGAGGGAAGGGAAGTGATGGACGCACAGAATGGTGAAGACGCAGCCATATGCGATGCCTGCTCCGACACTGTAAGGTATTAGGTTTGTGCGCAAGACTAGTATACATAGAAGGCAGAAGGTCGATATCTTACCTCAGTGTCCACAAGGCAGCCTGGGAACGGATACCGACGACCGTCCACAAGCACGTACATACGAGGAGAGACGACGAGAAGGCAAGGAATACGAGACGGCTGACGAGATGCTTCCTGTATGCACCTCGAGAGTTGGGTTGCGGATGCGATGGGACAGGAGATACGAAGTCTGCAAGAGGACCCACGACAAAGCGAGAAACCGTATTCGCGATGGATATAGTTCTGACTTGCGTAGAGGTAGCAATATCGTCGGAGGGTATACCATCGAAAGCTGTTGTTGGCAAGTATCGTGAAGGCAAGGAGAGTACGATTGTGCCGACGTTGGAAATGACCATCTCGCACTGCATGAAGAAGGGAAGTGAGGTGGAGAATGATGATGCATGTCGAATGTGTGGACGTACCGAACCAAGGATGACAAATACTATGAAGGCGAGTACCCAAAAGCTGATATCCTTGAGCATATCAAGGGCCGATTGTGATCGGAGGTCTTCACCCGTAGCAGATGTCACATCGAATGATGCGGCGGAGCTCGTCTAGGGTAGCAACGGAGTGCACTCGTCTGCCAATTCGGCTGGATCCTCGGTATCGGTATCGAACGGTTTTGATAGACATTCTTCCACTGGAGGTTGAACATGCATCGTAAACACGCCGACTAGGTGGACAGATCCGGAAAAAAATGCGAGAAATCGCAAGAACTGAGTGACGTTGAGGCCGGTATCAAAATGAGAAATAACGGGTGGCGAGGATAGACAGAAACGTGGGCGATAGTCCAAAAAGAGCGGCACTCGTCCCAGTGGCCAATCCGATATAGTGCGGGAAATTCTTGGAGGCAGTAACCACGGCCGATAAGAATCTTTGTCGGTCATCAGCACCATCCTGTCATGACAGGAAAAGAAACGACACCTACGAGTATACGGTACCTGCGGGGCAGATGAGGAAATAGAAGGCGAGCCTGCGGTACGATGAATCACTGGACGTGACGCTATCAACTGGCGTCAAGGCTATCTCTCGAGCGAAGAGCCCGAAACCAGCCGAGAACAGGACAACAGAGGCGAGAGAACATGTCCAAGGGCCATAATAATCGATAGCTTGCAGCGAATGCCGCGAACAGGTACTGACCTGCCATTCCGCCGTGTGCGCAAAACTGAGCAAGATGGAAGGGGAGTGACAATAAATGAATATCAATTATGCGAGGGCTACCGTGGCCAGCTGTCGTTGTGTCAGTTTGAGTTGGGTGACGAGTGTGGGGACTATGAGCGGGAAGCAGATTATCCCTTATACGACCAGTGAAGTAATTGTGCCTCGTCGATACGTATCCATGCTACTGTCAATATGATCCCACCAGGCTTCAGTCGCACTAACCATCCTTGCCAACCGCCGATCGGCGTTGCACAAGTGTTCACAAGGGTGTTGCGTAAAGAGCCGTTCGTCAAAGTTTCTTAGCAGTTGAATGTTTTGCCGACCACGGCTACGGGAGAGAACAACGTAGGCATTAACGGGGTAATTTTGCCTGCGGGCGGTGAACTGATGTCAACAATGCAGGGGTGATAGGCAGTTGTATCCGTGTCGCCGTACACTTGCTGCCAGAAGTCATCGTGATGGTGAACGTTCTTGAAAGAGGCGTGATAAGGGACCACGAAAAATAACCGCCAGGCTGACCTATGTGCTCATATCTTCCTTCCGCCAGAACCGTTAGCTTCCTTACCCGCACTTGCAATCTTCGCCGCCGCCTCGACATGGTTTCGGAAAAAATGCGACGACATCATACAGATCAGCATAGGTGACCTGGATGGGAATGTAATGCACCCATTCAGCAATGCGGGATGTCTACCTGTCAGTTGGTTGTTGATCAATTGTTGTGAAAATCCCGTGGTTCGTTGCTCTACTACACGCACCATTCTGGATACACGGACGCCTTGAGTATCAGTGCGTTGCTGGTGACAAGTCTCTTGAAACGACCAGACCAGCCATTTCCATCAACCTGTATGATTTCAAAGTTAATGCGACATCGGATGGAGTATGTAGACTACTGGGCCTCACATCCAGTATGAACTTGTACCTCCCTTCCTCTTTTCTTCCTTGCACCCTCCGGAATTCAAACATCTCTTCCATCAACTTGCACGTCCCAGCATCTTCTTCGCACGCAAGCGGTTTCCCTGAAAATGCCTACATCCATCCATGCCGGATTGACTCTTGCCATCCGCAATTGTAAAGGTTCACCGACAGTACTCGACGCGTCTAATGGAACACACAGGACGCTGGTGCTCCCTTCGATCGTACTCGTCAACTTCACCAATCACTGCCGGTGGGCGTGCATCCAAAGTGTTTCAGGGCGAAGCATACATACCCGTCGGACTTCCCCTCCAATCAAGTCGCTCATCAACTTTTTCAGACCATGCCACGTCACCGAGAGCTTCGGAGTCGTTACCGGAAGTCCATCCACAGGGAATTGGAGGACGATTGTCATGATGAAGGAGTGCACCCCAGTGCGAGAATAGAGGGACGAGTGTATGGTAGTGGCAGCGGCCCTTGGCGATGCGAAAGGAACTGTCCATGAGAGATCAGGATCTCGGGATGATAACAAGGATCCATGGCAGTACGATGCGACACAATAAATGACTTGAGTAGTGTCATGCTAGATAGCATAGGGTTGGAACCATCGAGGGAGGGAAGCACCGGAGGATTGAGCCGCGCTAGAGAATTCGGAGGACATGCCTGTATCCAACCGCCCTCGGTGATAGGCGGCAAGCGACTTTGTCGGATGGCTGAAAAGCGTCGTCGTCATCGAGCGCAGGTCATTCCAGTACTCCTCCATGACAAAAAGAAATCGACTTACTGGTCCCTTGTCTAGCAGCACTCAGAGCCATATCTCTAATTCTCCAATCTGTATGCATGCGTGGGTCATCACGCGGAGACGATTGAATTCGCATAGGCGGAAGGTCTGCACCGAAGTCCTTCGTTAAATCAATGATCGCTTCGATACGATCACGCAAGACACGGTTGCTTTCCGGAACAGTCGCATCAACGCCGGCCCGGGACAGGGAGGCCACAGTGCATTGGTTCGTCGCAGAGAACCACAGGACGGACCTGCCGGCGTGTACGTAAATAGCTTCAATCATTGCCTCAGACCCATCCCGAGAGACAGTCAGTGTCAGAAATGGTTGTTTCGAGTGACTGGTAACCTTGGACGACAAAGTTACCCTATAGTTGAAGCCAGTTTCTCAAAAATATTCAATATGCACTTGTTGACGTCGTAGTTGTGTGCCCCTACCAAGTACTACAACGTTAATCTCTTCGTCTTTCACTGACGGAATCTGATTACGGCTCGATACATTGTACATCGAATTCAAAGTCACGAACTACAGTGACGTGGCGTCAAGAACGACGTAAAGTATTCATTTACGTCCCGCAAGGCAGTGGCTGGCGCTACCATTCCAACATACCCGTCCGGCCTCACGATCACGAAGGTAATTGAATTGGAACTGATTCGAAACCTCTCGTAGGCACCACCACCCTTCCTCCCTGTAGCATCGGTATCATCGAGCAAGACTCTGAAGAGGTCGACGTGTAAGTCTCACGCCCTAGTAAAATTATCATTATCATCGAACTCACTTGGACCAATGAGGCCGAAAAACCAGAGGCACGCTCAGGTAATTAAACTTCTCCTTCTTACCCGCCACGATAGTTATGAGATCAAACATGGGCGAAGAAGTCTGTCCGTCCACAGAATATCTCCGCAAGAACCCCGTGGGCGAACTCAGCTCTTCGGCAAGCGCATTGATTTCCGCAAGTCTAGATTCCTCCTTCATGGACCCGAGAAAAACAATAATCTTAAACCTGGCGTCAGCAGGTAACAAGTCGTGAATTTCCACCGGTCGCGCGTCGGCTGCGCGGACGAAGACTTGAGGGAGCATGCGCTGCCCAACGATGAGATTCTCCGCACAAGACTGATGCTTGGCATTAACGATCACAGAAGGACCGTAGCGTAAGCCAATGCCACTCATAAAACTACCAGCAGTCTCAAATGCCCTGTGAGCAAGGTACGTGGGAACATCGTCGGCTCAGGCGGTGCTCTACAGGGGAACGATTGTTTACGCACTTGAAAAACTCTTCATGGGATACGCCGTCTTGGTTATCTGACGTCCTCGGCTTACCTGAGAACAATGTTGCATATCGTTTATCGAAGTCGATCAAGTCTTTGGCGTACTGTCTCCTCTCTGACTCGTACTGCAAAGTCATGGTTAGCTGGGGGCCTGGGTATGTCGAATAACTGATATGCCTACAGTCCTTAGAATTGATGGATCTGCCCACCATTTGACAACCTGAGCAATTTTCCACGCTGCAAAATGAAGATCAGAGGGTTAGCTGTTTTCACAAAGGTAATACGTATGCGCACCAAGGTTGTGCGTATCGTTCATACTCGCATTCATCCCTTGGCCTATAAATGTGTGAGTAACTGACAAGTATGCCTCACATACTACTACACGGACCTGCTTTAGGTGAATGTGTGTGACATGCATCTCCGGCAATGAACACACGATCTTCAACTGAAAACCTAGATGCTACACGCTGTCCAACTACCCCAGCGGTTGTAAGGTACTGGCTATTGATAGCAGGTGTCAGAACGCACTCATGTATATCGTCCACCATTCTATATCTGCCAGTGGGGATATATAAAAGGGATGTAGTGATTTTCTTGCAACCTTCACAAGACTCGAGAGGTCAGCGTAGATTCGGGGAAGGCTCCATCCTTACCTCGAGGATTTTCTCCGGGTTCCACTTCGTTTTACTAACTCTTCCGGTTTCCGGATCTACGACGTCCTTCTCCGACAGCTGAACGTACAGCCGCACCTTGTCATGTTCACGTGGAATGATCATAAGTGAACCGTTCTTGGAATGTATTGCCGCTCTGTTCCGTATGTCGGGGAAATTGGTGTCCGGAACCATGTCAACGACGCCCCAAACATAATCTACGCAATAATCTTTAGACCATTCGGTAGGAAACGCGCATAGGAGCAGCCAATTACTTGTCTGATCCCCGTCCATGGTAATTCCGAGCGCCTTTCGGACCCACGAATGCGCCCCTTAAATTCGAAGGATGCAATAGTCTCTGAAATCATGTACGGCACAGTACTTGTGGAAGTTGCATACCATCCGCACCGACAACGTATTTAGCGTGGACAACTTCCAACTTTTCTGTATCGATAGTTGCATCCAAGCGTAAGAGTGTCACCTGTAGTTCTATGAGTTTGGAGCGCATACACCGTCAATTTGAGCTCGAATTCACCTTAACAGGATACGAGGACAAGCTACGGAGATGTTCCTGATCCCGAGAAAGCTCGATGGTCAACGGTTTGACGGGCCGATCTACTCTTAAGTTGTGGTGTGCCATTGAGTCGATGAATGCATCTTCTGTCGCACTTTGGTATAGTGCAAGCTGTGTAACGCCGTGAGAATTTACTGGGCGCATCAATATTCCATACGCATGTGGTAGCACACCTTGAATGGGAAACGCGCAGTCCGTTCAGATATGTCAGGAGCACGAGTGGTGAGCTGAGAGGATATATGAGCTCCCGTCCACCCGTAGCAAAGATAGGCGTCCATTACCTCGATCCCGCCAGTCTGACTCGGGTTGTAGAAAGCCTAATTGAGAGGGTCGGGATGGATGACGCTCAGAGTTGAGGGCTGCACGACGTACACACATGTGTAATTGACTTCCCTCGCGTAGCAGTCGTTCGGCAAGGCCGTAGCTCTAGAAGACCTTTGTGGATCTCGATAAGTAGAAAGGCAGAGCGTGAGCTCACTTGTAGAACCTCGATCGTCCTCGGTTGTAGCCCATCTGCATGGCCGACAGATATCTTCGACGGTCTGGGAAGTAGTGAGCAAATGCACATGATGTTTCCAGCCATAGCAGAGCGTAGATACACCTTTGGTCAATGATCCTGACGTTGACGCCACCTGCAACAGGCGATGGCGTTGCCGCACATGAGACCAGCAGGACCAGCCCCAACAATAAGGACATCGACGAAGCTCTCGCGTATCTGAAGCGGCATGGTGATAGCACGACGAAAGAAGACGCGATTCCCTACAGGTACGACCAGGTTGTCCCTCATGTATAGAGACCCGGTAGTCTTGTTACTTGCCGATTCGGTGGACCAAAATACATGATGACTGCGCAGTCACTGGGTTTTGATGCATACTGAGGTAGTGTCTAGGCAGACCTTGCTGTAAGGAGGAAAGCTCAATGCATGTTGCGTACCACCCAAGCCAACCAGCCTTTCAATATGAAGGGATCGAGTCAGGTTCTGTGCTTGTTCGTTCTGGCTGGGAGACATGGATGACATGTATTCGTGGTACGTAGAGAAGGCAGGGCAGAGCTGCCAGTGTTTGGCTTCGAACAGTTGGAGAGGCAGGAGTTGGCACTGGTGGACATCAAGCTGAATGTTGAAGCTAAGATACACAACTTTCGCACTGCTGTACTTTCTTTCTGCTGGGTGACAACGTACCTCTTAGTCTGGATAACAGGTATCCAGACTATTCGGCTTGCCCGATCGGTTTTAGGAAGCGCGATTGTCCGGCTTTCCATGAAAGCTCTCAATGCATTGCACTCTCAGATGTCTAAGACTCTAAGGTACGCCAGCACTACTTGTTGAACAGGGTCGGTGCTCGGGAAATATCCACTTCGTCATGCTGTGTTACCCGCAGCTACCCCCACAAGATGAATTTCATAAGAGGGGACAGGGGCTAAGTTGGTCCAGTCGTCTTAGGGGATCTGTATCCTCCCGCCAACTGTTGTCTAGTGAACGCTCGGCGCACCCATGGTCAAGCGAACGAGAAGTCGAATTGTTAGATTCACAGGGACCGTTGCTCTCTGCTGCGCCTGTCATTGTTCTACTCACCTTCCCCACCTTTCTCGGACAGCCAAATGCTTACGTTCAGGTCTTCTCTATCGTCGATTTCTCTCCGCTGAAAGACCACGATGCACTCTCAGTTCCTCGCAATACCAGACCATTCTTTTCTCTCGAGAAACACACGTACACGAGCGACGGCCTCCTAATCGTAAACCCGAACGGTCCTCACCCGATGTTTGAACTCATGCGAGATGCAAAGGCGTCGTGGAATGCTAAGCTTTCACGTGCAAGTAAGACCCTGGAGGAGGCTATTACGGAGTATAGACGACGCTACAAGCGTGCACCTCCGCTGGGATTCGATAAATGGTGAGAGTGTATATGTGGTCGTTGATATTGGGTAATAGTCATTCGTCTTCGGTGCAGGTGGGAGTATGTCGTCAAATACGATGTCCAACTTCCGGACGAGTATGACGAAATTTATCACGATCTCGAGCCGTATTGGGGCCTTGACCCAGCGGACCTTGCCGAATCAGTAGAAGAACTCGCCACCTGGGACGACATCTTCACCGTCGAGAAAACCTCTTCGAATTCTGGCCTCGAGATTGTCAGCGCGACTGTTCCGGAAAGCAACCGTGTCTTGCGTGATCGTATCGAAGCGATCATTGATTTAACGAAGGACTTTGGTGCAGACCTTCCGCCTATGCGCATTCAGTTGTCTCCGCGTGATGACCCACGCATGCACACAGATTGGAGAATTAGAGATATGGCTCTGAGTGCTGCTAGACAAGGGACCAGTAAGTCGATTCCTGTTTGTCATAGAGGCGTACTGGAATGACCTGAGCTCGATGACGACGATGACGACGACGACGACGCTTTCCAGCCATCCGACAAAGTCGCCTGCCACCTATAACCGAGGGCGGTTGGATACAGGCATGTCCTCCGAATTCTCCAGCGCGGCTCAACCCTCCGGTGCTTCCCCCCCTCGATGGTTCCAACCCTACGCTATCTAACATGACAGCACCCAAGTCATTTATTGTGTCGCATCGTACTGCCATGGATCCTTGTTATCATCCCGAGATCCTGATATCTCATGGACAGTTCCTTTCGCATCGCCAAGGACCGCTGCCACACCATACGCTCGTCCCTCTATTCTCGCACTGCGGTACACTTCTTCATCATGACTTTCGTCCTCCAATTCCCTATGGATGGACTTCCGGTAACGACTCCGAAGCTCTCGGTGACGTGTCATGGTCTGAAAAAGTTGATGAACGACTTGATTGGAGAGGAAGTCCGACGGGTATGTATGCTTCACCTGAAACACTTTGGATGCACGCCCACCGGCAGCGATTGGTGAAGTTGACGAGTGCGATCGAAGGGAACACCAGCGTCCTGTGTGTTCCTTTAGACGCGTCGAGTGCTGTCGGTGAACCATTACAATTGCGGATGGCAAGAGTCAATCCGGCATGGATGGATGTGGCATTTTCAGGGAAACCGCTTGCGTGCGAAGAAAATGCTGGGACGTGCAAGTTGATGGAAGAGATGTTTGAATTCCGGAGGGTGCAAGGAAGAAAAGAGGAAGGGAGGTACAAGTTCATACTAGATGTGAGTCCCAATCGTCTACGTACTCCATCCGATGTCGCACTAACCTTGCAATCATGCAGGTTGATGGAAATGGCTGGTCTGGTCGTTTCAAGAGACTTGTCACCAGCAACGCACTGATACTCAAGGCGTCCGTGTATCCAGAATGGTACGTGTGGTAGAGCAACGACCACGGGATTTTCACAACAACTGATCAACAACCAACTGGCAGGTACACATCCCGCATTGCTGAATGGGTGCATTACGTTCCCATCCAGGTCACCTATGCTGATCTGTATGATGTCGTCGCATTTTTCCGAAACCATGACGAGGCGGCGGCAAAGATTGCAATTGCGGGTAAGGAGTGGAGCCAACGGTTCTGGCGGAAGGAAGATATGAGCGCGTATCTATATAGGTCAGCCTGGCGTTTCTTTTCCGTGGTCTCTTTCACGTTGTGACTGCGATTTCTTCACAGATTGCTTTTGGAATATGCGCGCGTGATGAGCGTTGATCGCGAGTCAATGTCGTATAGCGGATGAACACTGATTGGACTTCTGGTCAACCCGGGATTCATGGTGGACCTAATTTTATTGCGCTTAAGTTACATGTAGTGTCGTATCAACTTTGAATCTTGTGTATAGGTGCTCATGAGTTCAGGTTATGAACTTTTCATCCTTACCAGGAACAAGAATGGAAGGTTCTGTGTTGGAGTGACGGAATTTCGTGCAGGTAGAAAAGAAGCCGTACAACTCAGTGCAGAACCGAAGTTCTGTCAGGGATCATAGATGGTGCGAGAAATTCGTGATGTCGACGATTGTTCCAGCTCCCTGACGTATTCCAGCCAGGACCCAACGCATATATTGTCCCCTTCATGCCCAAAGCGCCTAGCCTCGTGTAAGTGGATTGTTCGGCCATATCCAATGTCAGAGCCAGGGGGGAGGGGGCCGGGACGTTGGGTATGTATGTGGGGACTTACTCTTCCCCTTATTCGAATGTGGGAGGTCGGTCGGCTGCCAGCAATATTAGTAACCCGGCTAAGGGGCTTGCACCACGTGCTCAGGGCGTTTGGGCTCAAAACGTTGTCGTCGTTCAGTGGCTGAGCATGGACGACGATGAGCCCGACGTGTCGCTGTGGAGAAAGCCGTCCTGTGTACCCTTTGAACCAGCCACCGCCCCTCTCCGGAGGAGGCAGTTAGGTTCATTTGCCTGGACTTGAATTTCAGGCCTTCAGGACCGTCAGGACATCGAAAAAGTGCATACTATAGGCATATATGTGTGTATCAGAACGGGCTTGATATGGACACGGACCAGGGAAAACTTGTTGACCTCCGCCTCATGACCTGTAGCGCCTTGTGAATCGAGTGAGCAACATACGTTGTGTTCCGGTCACCCAACCTGAAACTGACGACATTCTCCCCGATGTCTGGGCTGTACAAGTCATATGCACTGTGATCTGTCGAGGCTACAAATATGCTGCTCTCTTGTGAGAGATAGGCACATTTTGCGACTCACTCACCCCATCCGGAACTGATGCCATTATCCGCCCAATGCTCATGTCCAAGCTCGCCTTACGGGTCCGATCAGGTGGTCCATGGCCAAAGGGGTTCGCCCTTCGTCGTTTTTGTTTGCTCGACTCTCATCTTGTTAGAACCGCGTCTGCACTTCTTCCAGCGCGAGTGCTTGTCTTCGCTTGTGTTAGATTCCGAGTCGGGACCACTTCCTTCAGAATCTACTGGTGGATTCCAGGGGCTAGCACGGATCTGGGATATCGTCAGTGAAAGAAATCAACATGGACGGTGAGCCGAGATGAGGTGCAAACCTTGTCAATCTCCCAGTCGAGCTCCGAAACCTGCAAGAGCATCTCTACATGTTCGACTCCTAACCCTGTCTCCCTTACTCAAGAAATGTTGTATTCGACCTATCATGTTTGGTTCCTGTGAAACGCGAATGACTGGTTGGGAAAGACGCGAAACCCTTTTGCCTAGGGACATAAGCAACAAGAAAAAAATAGGCGATCGCAGAGGTAATGAAAGCATGCAGAAGATGAAAGTTTGGTAAACTTCCGTGTCACGGTGTACCAAGGCTAGTCACCAGCAACGCTTTCATACCCAAGGCGCTAGCGTCGTGTATCCAGAGCGGTGCGTGTGGTAGAGGAACGAACCACAGGTTTGCACACCAACTGATCAACAACCAATTGGCAGGCACATATCCCCATTGCGGAACTGGTACAATACTATGTTCCCAACCAGGTCGAACGCACGCTGATCTGTGATGTCATCGTGTTTTTCCGTAACCATGGCGAGGCAGTGGCGAGGCTTGCGGGGAAGTGTGGTGTGGAGCTAGTGGTTCTACAGAATGGAAGACATGGGCGCGTATTTGTATAGGTGAGCCCCGTGGTCATTTCTTTGGTTGTTGTTTATGTTGTGGTCATGGTCTCCTTCTGGAATATGCACGAGTGATAAGCATCGTTGATCCTATCACGGATGAATATTGATTGAATTGCTGGTCAGCTGGGATTCATGATGGGGCCTACATAATCACCATTTCCCTCATGTAAGTGATATATCGATCTTGCGTGCATACATAGGTGTGGGCTCAGGCCATGCGCATTCCATCGACTCAACGGGGAAGAGGATAGAAGGTTCTGCGTTGATAGAAATTCGTGCCCGTGGAAAAGAAGTTGTATGTGCCACCCCTTCCGAAGATGCACACCTATAGTAAGTCTTACTCACCATACGTAACGTTGAATTATCCACACAGTGACACCAGGACAATTTACAAGCACCACAGACTTCCCTGCAACACGACTCAGGCAAACATGTCCGCACGAGCTGCACGTCCATATCACTAACTAGTAGATGGACGTGTCGAGGCTTGATAGCGCAATGCGGGCAGGACCCCAAATATGGTTACCTTTTCACAGAATCACTGGTCTCGTGGTTCGATATGATCTTCGCTGGGTCCCTTATGGCAGTTGGAGCAGGTAGTGGCCCTTGATGGGTTTTGAGGGCGTAGCTGTTATCAACCCCCCTCACACTCCCCCACTTGAAGACGGTACTCCTCGAACCTTCGAAAGCTCGACCTACTTGCATTAGTACAGACCTCAAGCTATTCAAGCTGATAAGAAATGGCTATAACGCTGGACCTGGACAAGTTCTCTGTCCATAAACTCCAAACTGAAGAAGGGATGGAGGTCGCATTCAGGAATTTGAACGACGCGTTGGCTAGAAGTCACATTGACGGTGTGGTTTGCGACCTCCTGTCGAAACCGGGCCTCTTCGTGTACATATTTTCTGGTAAGTTGTCTCCGTGTAGTACATCGAGTGAAATTTAACAAGCGTTCATCCTGTAGTCCTCCCAACTGCCGCATCTCTGCGCATAAAGATCATCGACGCCTTCCCCTTGGATCCGCAAATAATCCGACAATCCTTTTGTTCCATCGCTTCTCTCAACATTATCAACGTTTTTCTTCACTCTACCCTCTGACGCGTTCCATGGCGACGAATCTCGCACCATCGCAAGATACGAACGTTACGTCATGGACATTTGGCCCGCAGTGGCCATCCTGTCGTCCATGACTCTCGGCGCCACGAACGCCAGCCTCAAGGAGAGGAAAAAAGTTGTTTCTTCTCACGATGCTACCATTCTTCGCAAATTGAACATCCAGTTGTCTTCTGATTCCTTCGTTGCCGCACAAGCCTTGGAAGGTGTAATGGCTATCCTGTTGCAAATATTGACGTGAGTCGGTAGGCTTATTCCCTCACCCGCGATGCTCACACTTAGGGCAGTTTTATCTTGGTTTATTATCTGACCCACGGTTTTCGACGTCATGTCAGGATGCGTACTTCAGTGCTAGGGGTGAGCGAGACCAAGAAGAAGAGGAAGTAGCGGACGAGCTGCACTTGGCATATACACGACCTCCTCATCTTGAAGCGATGCTCACTGCGTCTAACATAGACCGGTTCGGCGAGTGGACGGATTTTAATGGCTAGTAGTGCAACAAAGGACCTTTTTCAATTGAGACAGCGTAATGCAAAAATAGCCGAATGCGTGCTCAAGAAAATTAGGCAGGTTTCTCTGTGCTCTTCAGAGAACGCTATGCCACAATTTCGCATCTGCAGGCAACTTTCGCGAGGTCAATTCTCGGGAAACAACTACAAAGCGCTACATGGACCGTCTCACGGAATCCCTATTTATCAAGCCGAGGTTCTAAGCAATCTCAGATTAGTCGTATGTCATTTTCATGTGAGAAATCCTAGAAAAGCTAATGCCGATAGTCCGAAGTATCAAATTGACTGCGCGCTCAACGATGACGGTCAGGTAGGCGATGTCGATTTCTCTACATGAGATTCCCATCTTACTTGGCTTCAGGAGGAACGCCAGGGTAAGGCATCACATGAATTTGTGCTTCCCTACTCAATTACCGGAAGTCGTCAAAATATATGGAATCTATTCACACAAACAGCTGGACCACATTTGGCCATGGCTCAGCAAGCTCCTAAACGGTCGCGGTAAAGAGTATCGGCAAAGGTGAGATTGTACCCTCAACCAGTGATTGCGCACGACCGCAATGCTCATCTTGCCTAGGTGTACCCTCAGGGAACCTGCTGAACCAGGCAGCGGGGTTTATCGCCCCGCCACTTTTCTTCCAAGAATCGAGGACTTTGCTACGGAACAATCTCCCATTTTTGTTAATGAAAATGGATCAAATGAGGTTCGTTGAGCTCCGTCATTAGGTGCCTGCCACTCAGATATCTCGTTTTAGGATCTTAGTTGGCTTGTGTAAGTCAGTATTTTTCGCAGTTACCTCCGATGTGAATGGTTCTAACAGGTCGAGCAAATATGTCAAACTAGTCAAAGGTGTGCTTTCTTCAAAGTTTCTTTGATTTGAACGGCGCGTGCTGATCCTGAAACCACATTAGGCTTTTCTCAATGGATTAAGGGCGGGACGGGAAGTTGAATTACCATTCCAACTAACGTTTGTTATAATTTCTTCTCCTTCTTCCTTACTGAATGCTAGTAAAGGGCGAAAGAATGGCAAATTGTACAATGCCCGACATCCTGTTATGTCATTGGAAGGAGCGGAACGGGGTATGTGATATCATATATGCCCTCGAGTGAAATTCAGCTACGGAATACTCTTGAATTAGAAAAACAACCGCCATGGTCTTTAAAATGCTGGGTATCCAGCGTGCTTGGGAGCAAGTTCCTGGGCACCAAAAAACCCCGCCAACTTTTCGTTACCAGATTCCCGGTGCTTGCCGCCAAGGTCGAAGACTTTTTCACAAGTTTGGTGGAATCTTTGGCATTGGCGGGATCTACCGAGGATGAACTGAGGAATCTGAGATCTCAAATTCGAAGTGCTGAGCGGGAACGGCCGCGAATGATCAACCCCCTAAATGCTCTCAATTATCGCCCCGGAACGCCGCAAAAATATAGTGAACTAAGTGACCATGATTTCCCATTGTTTATCACATTCGATCAGGCAGGTGTTTCATTACTGCATGGTGCGATACCTAACGGGTAGTTTTTTTGTAGCTGGCACGGATGATTGCTGCGGATATCCACGTCGATGACCCAACCACCTACGACCGTAGCGATTCCATACTTGCAAAAGTGTTAAACGATGAAAGCTCCTTCATAACGTATGAAGTTTTCAAGACAAAGTATTGGCCCCGGTTAAGTGGCGCATGCCGGGGTCCATTCGCACGGAATTTCGGTCAGCTGTGACCCCGTTGTTGAATTGAACCCTTGCTGATTCTCCCTAGGCGCATGGCTTGTCTTCAGCGAATTCATGGGTAAGCATGCGTGTTACAATGCACGCTTCTCGTTTCACTGAACTTGAAACCAGGTGTAATAAAAGGATCCGAGAAAGCGTTCCATAGCCCCAATGGAATCTTAGATCGGCAAACATATGTGGAACTCTCCGATCGCAATTACCCCGTGTTCGCAGAAGACAGGCATTCACTTTACAGCGCTTTTGAATCATATTCCAAAATGAAGCGTGAACAATACGGTTATGATATGGCAGACAGGTCTTGTGTTCAGGGTCTTCATGGCGAGCTGTTTTCTCACCCCAGTGATCAGGACCTACGCGATTTTGAAAGTGCTCTTACGCGATTCTTTGAAAGGACAGCCCGTAGACTATTTGTATGTATTGTTGTATACCGCTTTTCATTGTCTGACCGGAACAGGTACATCGATGAAGTGCAAGATAACCTGATTATCGACACACTCTGTATGTCTACCACTGTTTCGCTGATACAACGTTAATGCCGTCGATAGTGTTGAGAATCCTCTGCAAAAATGCAGATGGATTGTTCTGGGCTGGTGATACAGCTCAGACCATATCGGCTGGGTCTAGTTTTCGATTCGCCGACCTAAAAGCATTTATTCATCGTACTGAGGTACGTTTGTGCATTATTCGCTAGTGGGTTGGATGGAAGTATGGTCCATTTCTTCAGGCAGCGGAAAGTATTGCAATTCAAAAGTCCTGTGCAAAACCTGAAGTATTCCAGCTTGCCATCAACTATCGCTCGCATAACGGAATCGTCAATTGTGCGCAGTTAGTCGTGAAACTCATTACTACCTTCTGGCCAAACTCGATCGATACCCTGCAACCCGAACGTGCCATGCTCGGTGGCCCCAAACCCATCTTTTTCGTGGGATGGCAAGATGAAACCTTTCCATATGAACCATTCTTCTCTGGCCTTGGGTTTGTGTGCTATATCTTGGCTCTTCATCACCACTGAGATTTCAACATGGTGTAGGGGAAATCGAGAGCTCGGTGCAGAACAATGTTGGCATCTTTTTATGAAACTGTCTGCTCTCATGCTGAACTCAGACACCCTAGGCATCCTCGTAAGAGATAACGCAGTACGGGAGACAATCAGAAAGCGATTTGGGGATGTAGCCGTGATCCTGTGCGATTGGCATCGCATTATTTGTATATCCGTTGACTAACGTTGTGTAGGACCTTGCAAGAAAGCAAGGGGCTGGAATTTGACGATGTCAGCATCTCACCAACTTTCTACTTGGCTGAAGACCTGACTCTATCCTAGGTGTTCTTGTACAACTTCTTTGAGGACTCTTCTGCCACCTATTCCCAATGGCGTGTTGTCTTGAGGATGTGCAGTGACCAAGAAACCACTTGGTCACGCGATATGAGTGGGATTCCACACTCCGTGCTATGCACAGAGGTATGCACGCTCTCAATGCGTAATCAGCATTAGTACTAACAGACAGGGTAGTTGAAAAATCTCTACGTGGGTATCACGCGAGCCCGCAAGAAACTATACCTCTTGGACTATTCCCGAAATAGTGAACCATTGAGGGTACGTGCATGGTTCCAGATCCTTTTTTCCCACCTCACACTCAAATGATGCAGGAACTTTGGTCAGAGAAGGGTCTCATTGACGTCGCACCGCCAGGCACCGACATATGCCATTATGCAGAGAAGTCAACTCCCGAACAGTGGGCTGCGTCTGGCTATAAGCTATTTAATGCTGCACAATTCCAAGAAGCTGTTCGCTGCTTTGAACGCGCCAACCTACCGAGACAACTACAGGTAGCGCGCGCGTACGGACTATACGAGGTTGCGATGTCGACCGTTGAGGCCGGCAAACGCCAGAGAGCGCTCATTGATGCAGCGGAGGCATTGGTTCAGTGTGCGGATGAGGCCCCTGGCACTGAAAAGACCGACTTCTATGGGGATGCAGCGAGGTGCTATGCACTGGCCGACAACACCAACGATGCTGCGAGATTTTACATCGAAGCTGATGATTTCACCGGAGCCGCCGAGCAGTATCGCAAAGCTGATCGCTTCGACGATATAGTGGACATTCTGGATCGCCACCCCGAGAAAATCACTACAACCTGCAGGAACAAATTGCGCTATGTATGCGTCGTACACTATTATCGCATTCGTTCGAGGTGGGTTTCACGATGGCACGTCTAAAGAAGATGTAATGAAGACTGTCTAGGCCTCCCGTTCCGTTGTTTTCTTCAACAGAGAATGAACTGAGGTATCTGGAAGGCCAAGAACTACACTGGGCCCGCATTTATCTCTTGGAACTCCACCGGAGATTTCTCGAAGCAGCCGAAGTTCATCTTAGCCTTGGGCAGCTGTGTGGCGCTATCGAGTCCTTATTCAAAGATAAACAAAACCCCGCTGCATTGCAGCGGGCTGTTGACCTTGCTTTGGATAGCCTATGGCAGCAGTGTTCCTTCGATAAACCTGTCCCGGCCATCCTGCAAAAGAAGGGATCCGATGCTTGGAACGTATTGAATTGCATGCGAAGTATCTCCCTTGAACGCTTGAACGCGTCAGATCGCACACAAGTAGGTTTGGTACGTGTTAAGGCTACAACGGCTGATAGTATTCTCCAGATGCGCCTTTTCCTCACTGTGCAGGAATCTCCCTTCTCTGAGGAGGTTTATCAACTAGGATCGGAATTCTCAGATCGAGGCGAGGAAGCCTTGGCACTCATGGCATTCAACGTCCTCTCCTCACAGCTGCCCACCCTACGCTCCGTACGCGCTTCGGAGTTTGATACTTTCCTAAGACATTTCGAAAGATATGTCCGTCTTTTGGTTTCTGTCGTGTCTGATGAGATAACTTTCCGGGCTACCGACCCTCAAGTGAAGAAGGTCTTCGGCATTGTCCCATTGCCCAACTATCAGTATTCTGTCACGCCAGGGACATTCCTACACAGGGGGTCCAAGGAAAATCGATATCTGTCTGTGGATATTAAGGACCTACTGAAAGCCCAGTTACACGCACACCTACGGAAAAAAGTCCTCGAGGTAAATGAAGCATCCTGCATCTCTCAGGCATTTTCTACCCAGTGCCCATACTCTATCTTGCATGGCGGTCATTGTCACAGCAGGCACTGTAATCAACAACACGAACGGAGGACTTCATTAGATGTGACATCGTACAACATGAAGGTCAATGTACATCTACAGCAGATACGCATTTTAGACTTGGCGTTTTCTGCTGTGGGAACGCATGCAGACCGACGCACAAGGTATATATCAACGATCTTAGTTGATCGCCGTTACTAACCTACTTCACCCAGCATGTTAAGCGGATTGCGCCGCTTGTATGCAGTGATATACCGCCCCATTTACATCGAAGGTTCCGTCGCAAATCTTGACTGGAACTCCCTCCGTAACGCTGCGGGATGCATCAGTGTTGTCAGGAAATGGATTCAAAAGGCAATCGAATACCTGGAACCTACTGATCAACTAATGGGTCGTACCGACTACTTGATGAGCATCATCCGCATCACCTGTCTTCATAAAGCGCTTGGTGGAGAGCTTCCGTTTCAGTCATACGTCTCACGTGAACGCTGTCGCGTGTCCTATGGTGAACAGGTCTTAACGGGGGATGATAATGTTTCAGCAGATGTGGTTGCATCGCTTACCGAATTAGATTCAGCCCGTGGAGTCCGGGCTCTTCGGTAGGTTCAGCCTTGTTTGTTGCCTTCGGGCACTGCTGAGGACGCATTGGCTCGCAGCTTCCTGCTGGAAAATGGCGTTCGTATGGATCTTTCGGTGATACGCAATTTTGCAGAGGAAATCTGCGGCACGTTCGTCTCATCCCTGAATCCCTCCGGAGATCCTTCCCCACTCCATGGCCTCCTGATTCCGCGGAGATGGATAATGAACGCGAACGAGTCCGACGTTTCCAGAGACATAATTCAGCGTTTCTTATTCTGTGTTGGGCTCCTAATGAAAATCCTCCGTTCTGGAAAGGCTCATCGTACGTCCCTTAGCTACAAGCTGTCAATCCGACTGACTTTGATGTGTACAGTTAAATTTGACTTGCCCCAAAATAAAGAGTCATTCGTGGACGCTGCCCTAGCTCAAATGTATGCATCTCAGCTTGAACGATGTTCAGTAAGCTGACATTTCTTATTAGGTGTCGCATGCTCTGCATTCGTGTGTCCGCACAATCCATTCCAAGATTTCCACTAACATCACTTTTCCAGTGGGGTACAACGTGCGCGACCTAGGACTTAGCAAGATGATTGCGGATATTCTATTGTTACCACCGCTGGAAGTGAGCAATGCGCGTAATCCATCGCCGCAGATCCTGGGGTGTGTTCACCATTTCGATGTCCGCATGCCAAGTTTCTGAATCATCGCCGTATGCAGACAGCTCGCCCGTCAGCGCCAGGAATACCTGGAGACAATCCTAGCGTTAGACAAGGGCTTTGCCATCAAAGATTTGGTACAGCTGGTACACGATGATCGACGTCACTACACCCGTCCACTTTCCTGGTACATCCCGCGAATCGTTTTTGAGACTGACGCCGATATTACTCGTCGATCTAAACGGGCTATGGCGTTTTGATTGGCTGTCGGCATGTGTCCGCGTGTCGTACTTGGAGGGGGTGCCTTTACCGTCGTCCCGCGAAACGATTGCTGTCAATGTTGTTTCCGAGCACAACTCGCAACTTGTTCTGGAGACTGCCACCGATATCACTGACTCAATCGAACTGGGCTCCAGTAACCTGTTATCGGCAAGTTGACAGGTAGCCAAACCCTGAGGGAGAGGGGCTTATTGTATTTGGTAGAGGTAGTTTGGTAGAGGTAGTTTTACAACCGTCCTGCGAAGCGGATTGTTTTTTGTAGAATGTGAGGTCTCGCTACCGAGTAGGGATACTTCGCTACTGTCGAGACTGAGGGAGAAATTCAAATATTAATGATGGCATGTCTTCGATTCATCAATCGCCCTGTAGCAAGTGCCGCCTGAGCTGAGGTTACTTTGGTCGGCACCTCTTGCAACAACAGGGCAGCTCCTTGTCTCCATTCTCAGTTCATCGAGATTCGCGAACGGCAACTTGTGAATAACGAAACCTTCTATCAGATCATCCATGCAGCGCAAGTTCTGCATTTACTTTCACTTGCGACCTTAGACCTTGGGATTTCCTAATACCGGTGGCTGTCGTGTCATTCCGACGAACACATAGCCTGAAGTCCACGACATCCACCATGACGGGAACCTGAAGCCAGAGCTGGGATACGAAGAACCCTCTTACTGAGCGTATATATCGCCGCGTTTGGCTGTGATGACGCTTATCAAAATTTGCACCGCTATATCTGTGCATCGATCTCTACGGTCTACTAGAATCAATCAAGTCGCGACTTTATGTACTCTGTTGCATGGAGCGTTCGCAGTTGTGGCAGCTTCGACAAGGGCATGACGAGATGGTGAGGCTGTTAGGTTGCATTGAACTATAACCAAAGAAAACAATATAATTCACAACTTCGATCGTACAGTAACGTATCTTTTCTGGCCCTCCCGACAGACTGCAGAGCCGCATTAATCATCCTTTTCAGAGCCCCGTACTGAACCCAATGCGTCACTCCAGGTATGATCGAATATTTGATCTGGATTTGCTCTGTCATGTGCCTTCACCGCGTCCGGGCTCGCAATGACGACGACATCCGGAGGACAATTAGACAACAAGTATCCAAACACACACAGATCATTTTGCTAACCCAGACGTACATTCCAAGAAATCATTGATTACGACATCGCCTTGGAGATGGTTGGAACTCACTATCAATATCTCTTGAATGACGCCTGGAGAAACCCACGACCGAAAACCAACCATACGAGTGATCGCATCCAGACATATCCATTTAGAAAATTGTGCCATAAAATCTTTCACGGGTTGTACATCCATAACTCCGCTCCTTCCCTGATCGCTTCCACGAACTCAAGTGAGAACTCGAGAGGAGGGTCAACTAGAACGAGCGAGGTGGGCCAGGGTCGCGGTAGGACAGGCAATGCAACGGCAGGTGGCAGAATCTTGTTGTCATCCCGAGATCCTGAATTCTCACAGACAATTCCCAAAGGCCACTACTCTCGTCCTTCTGTTCTCACACTATGGTAGACACCTTCGAATCATGGCATTCGTCCCTCAATACCCTAAGGTGTCATGGTCCAAAAAAGTTGGCGGATGACTTGATTTGAGAAGAAGTTCGAGGGGCATGTACTCCTCGCCCGAAACACTCTGGGTGCACGCGCACCAACGGTGGTTGGTGGTGTCGACTAATGTAACTGATAGCGTCCTGTGGGTTCCATTAGACGTGTCGAGTCTTGTCAGTGAACTTTTATAGGTGGAGATGGTGAGAATCGACCCCGCGTGGATGGACGGGCGTTCGAAGGGAAACATTTTGTTTGCAAGAGAATGCTGGGACGTGCGAGTTGATGGAAGAGAGGTTTGAATTCCGGGGAAGAAACGAGGAAGAAAGGTAAAACGATACGCACTGACCTTGCAACTGTTCAGGCTGATGGCAACGGCTGGTCTGGTCGTTTCAAGAGACTAGTCACCAGCAGCACTCTTATACTCAAGGCGTCCACCATCCGTGTATGCTGAGTGGTGCGCGCAGTAGAGGAGCGAAGCACGGGTTTTCACCGCAACCGATTGATGACCAATTGGGAGGTACACTCACTTTTTCCCGTGACCATGAAGAATGTGGGTGCGGATAAGGAACGGGGCAGAGAAAGGGAGATACCAACGCGTATCTCTAACCGTCAGCCTGGCAGTTATTGCTTTCTCAGGCGACCATCATTTCTTCACTGATTGCTTTTGGAATATGTACGCGCGATGAACGTTTGAACATTGATTCGACTTCTGGTCAGCTGAAATTTATCATGGACCTAGTCATTATTTCCCTTTAGTTATATTTGCTGTCGGATCTTGTATATAGGTGTGGGTTCAGGGTATTTACTCTATCTTCACCAGCGAAGACGATGGAAGGTGCTGTGTCGACGGAAATTAGTTGTGCGTGGAAAAAAAGTTCTACACAACTCCGAATTCCGAAGTCCGAACGAAGATGCACATCTCAATATGTATCGTCTCCAGCACTCCACAGATGGTTTATCCAGACACCCTAGGTAGGGCAACTCATGTAGTGCTGTGCAGATTTCTTTGCGACTCAAGTTTTGGTCCGCGAACATGTCTGCACGAGCTGCGCGCCCGTTTCACTCACAGATGGACTTGTCAAGACCCGAGACCGCAGTGACCCCCAAAATGATCAGCTTTTCACAGAACCATGGGCCTCGTGGTTTGATGTGGCCTTCTCCGTTCTCTTATGGAAGTTGGTACCCTGGAACGGTAAGAACCCTTGATGGGTTTTGAGGGCGTAGCTGTTATCAACCCCCCACAAACTCCCCGCTTGAAGACGGTACTTCTTGAGCCCTCCGAAACTTCTACCCACTTTCGCAAGTACCAGTCTTGAAATTCCAGTGGCAAGAAATGATTACAACGTTGGACTTGGACAAGTTCACTGTCCATAAACTGCAAGTTGAAGAAGGGCTAGATGACGCATTCGAGCATTTGAACAATGCACTAGCTACCAGCCACATCGAGGGCGTGGTACTCGACCTCCTCCAGATACCGGGTCTCTTTGTGTATATATTTTCTGGTGAGTTGCCTTCGTGTGGGATTTTGAGTGAAACTTCACAAAACATTCCTGTAGTTTTCCCGAACGCGGAATCTCTGCGTACAAAGATCCTTGATGCCTTCCCCACGGATCATCAAGCGCTCGGACGGTCTTTTATTCGGCCCCTCCTCTCAAAATTATCAAGATTCTTCTTCAGCTTACCTTCTGACGTATTTCGTGGTGATGAATCACGCACTGTTGGCATGTACGAACGTTGCATAGCGGACATTTGGTCCGCAATAGCTACCCTATCGACCATGGCTTTTGGCACCGAGGATTTCAGAAACACGACGAGAGTCGACTTCAAGGGCAAGAAAATAACTGTTTCAGCTCACGACGCTACCATTCTTCGCAAGTTGAACATTCAGCCACCTTCCGATTCTAACGTCGCCATGCAGACCTTGGGACATGTAATGGCTACTGTGTCGCAAATTTTGAAAGTGCGTTGGTAGGCTAGTTCCGCGCTTGCGCAGTTCACCTTTAGGGCAGTTTTATCTTGGTTTATTATCTGATCCACGGTTTGCGGCATCATGCAAAGACAGTTTACTTCAGTGCTGGGGAGGACGACGAAGTGGGAACGGACGTGGAGCAACCAGCACGTACACAAGTTCTTCGTCCTGAATCGACTCCTACTGCCACTGACATTGTCGGGTTTGGCGAGTGGTCGATTATAATGACTAGTGGTGCAGCTCGCGACCTCCTCCAGTTGAGACGGAATGACGCAAAAATGACTGCATGTGTTTTCAAAAAAATGAGGTAGGGTTCTCTGCATTCTCTCGAGAAATAGATGTCACAGTTGTGGATATGTAGACAACTTTCCAGAGGCGAGTTTTCCGGAAACAACTACAAAACTCTTCATGGGCCTTCGCATGAAATCCCAATTTATCAAGCGGAAATTCTCAGTAATCTGAGATTGGTCGTATGTCTATCCCTGTGTGATGATGCCGGGAAATTTTAACGTGTCCCAAGTACCAAATTGACTGTACGCTTGACGATAATAGCAAGGTAAGAGATTTTTCCATCTGATATTGCTATCTCATCGTGTTCCAGGCGGAACGCCAAGGTAAGACATCAGACCTTTTCTGCTTCCCCACTCAATTGCCGGAAGTTGTCAAAGTATATGGAATCTACCGACATAAGCAACTAGACCACATTTGGCCCTGGCTCAGCAAGCTTCTGAGTGGGCGTGGTAAATTGTATCAGCAAAGGTATGGTCATGCTCTTGTCATTGCGCATGGCAATAACGTCCGTCTTGCCTAGGTGTACACTCAGAGTGCGCGCTGAGTCGGGCAGTGGTGTTTACCGCCCGGCTACCTTTCCTCCAAGAATTGAGGAATTTACCATGGAAGAATCTCCCATCTTTGTTCGTGACGGTGGATTAAATGAGGTTTCGTAGAATTCATTGTCTTTTTCACATGGCATTCAAATGTCCGCTTCCAGGACCATAGTTCGCTTATGTGAGTCAATATTTTTCCCGGAAGCTCCAATGTAGATGGTTCATAACAGGTCAAATAAATGTATCAAATTGTCCAAGGTGTGCTTCCTCTGTTTTTCTTTTTCTTTTTTAATAAGAAATATGTACTGACTCCGAATCACACTAGGCTTTTCTCAATGGTACGTTTTTCTATGTTGTCTCGAATTCGCTTTCATTCGAGTTACAGGATTGATTGCTGAGCAAGAAGTCGAGTTACCGTTCGAACTGACGTCCGTAATCTCTTCTCTATCCTCCCTCTGCTGAACGCTAGTACAGGGCAAAGGAATGGCAAATCGTACGATGCATGACATCATGCTATGTGATTGGAAGAAGTGGTACTGGGTATGTAACATGCTCTCAAGCGAAATTCAGTGACATGATACTTTTCAATCAGAAAAACGACGGCCATGGTCTTCAAGATCTTGGATATCCAGAAAGATTGGGAGCAAGTCCCCTATGTCAAGAAGCCCCGCCAACTTTTCATTACGAGATTCCCGGTGCTTGCCGCCAAAGTTGAAGAGTTCTTCACTGGCTTGGTGGAATCTTTGGCATTGGCGGGACGTACCCAGGATGAACTACAGAATTTAAGGTCTCAAACTCAAAGTGCTGAACAACATCCACGAATGATTGACCCCCTAAATGCTCTGAATTACCGTCCTGGGACGCCACAGAAGTTTAGCGAGCTCAGTGATCATGATTTTCCACTATTTATCACATTCGACCAGGCAGGTAGTCTTTTGCTGAATGGTATGATTACCAATGGGTGGCTTTTTATAGCTGGCGCGGATGGTTGCAGCAGATATTCAAGTCGACTACTCGAAAGGATGTGATTGTCTCATCGACTCAGAAGAATGTGATCGTCTCACCAACTCAAAAGAATATGGTCGCCTCAAGTTCATACTTGATAAGGTGGTAAACGACGAGTCTTCGTTCATAACGTATGAGATCTTTAGGGTGCAGTACTGGCCCCGACTATGCGACACTTACCGAAGTTCATTGTCACGACATTTCGGTCAGCAATGAGACGCGTTTCTCGCATCGAAACCATACTGACTCTTCCTAGGACCGTGGCTTGTCTTTGGTGAATTTATGGGTAAGCATGCATGCTTCATTACCCGCTTTCTCTTTCGCTGGACTCGAAGTCAGGTGTTATCAAAGGATCCGAGATTGCTTTCCATAGTCCCAATGGAATCCTGGATCGACAAACATACGTGAATCTCACCGCTCGTGCTTACCCTGTGTTTGCAGAAGACAGGGATCTACTGTACAGCGCCTTTGAATTATATTCCGAATTGAAGCGTGAACAATACAATTACGACATGGCCGACAGGTCAGTGTAGTCAAACTCTTTGTCGCGAGCGATTTCTCACTCCAGTAATCAGGACGTATGCGATTTTGAAAGCGCTATCGTGCAAGTGCGACACTTGGCGCAAAACTTGGTGCAATGCCTTGAAAGAACACCTCGTGGACTACCTGTACGTCTTATTTGATAATGCTGTTCCGTATCTGACTGGAACAGGTACGTTGATGAAGTGCAGGATAACTTGATCATCGACACTATTTGTATGTCTACCACTCCATTCATTGTTCCAATATTAATGCTCCTAACAGTCTTGAGAAGCCTCTGCAGGAATGCAGAAGGGCTGTTCTGGGCTGGCGACACGGCTCAGACTATATCAGCCGGGTCCAGTTTTCGATTTGCAGACCTGAAAGCGTCCATTCATTGCGCTGAGGTAAGTTCATGCGTTGTGCCTTAGCGGGTTAGATGGGATCATAGTCCATTTCCTCAGGCAGAAGGGAGGCTGGGAATTCAAAAGTCTTGCTCAAAACCTGAGATGTTCGAGCTTGCCATTAACTATCGCTCGCATAGTGGCATCGTCAACTGTGCACAGTCAGTTGTGAAACTCATAACTCACTTTTGGCCAGAGTCAATCGACGTGCTAAAACCTGAACGAGCCATGCTCGGTGGCCCAAAGCCTGTCTTTTTCGTGGGGTGGCAGGATGAAATCTTCCCATATGACTCGTTCTTCTCTGGCCTTAAGTACGTGTGCTAGATACTAACTCTCGGTGCTGAGATTTTAACGTGTTTCAGGGGTAATTGGGAGCTCGGTGCAGAACAATGTCCGCCTCTTCTTATGTAGCCGTCTGCTTACATACTGATCTCAGACCACTAGGCATCATCGTAAGAGATAGTTACCGCACGCGAGCAGATCAAGGAACGATTTGGAGATATAGCCACCATCCTGTGCGGTTTGACAATGAGTTATTCGAATATCTTTTAACCAACAATGTCTAGCACTCTCCAAGGCAGCAAGGGCCTGGAGTTTGACGATGTCAGCATTTCAATAGCTTTCTGCTCGATCGAACGCCTGACTCTGTTCTAGGTATTCCTCTACAACTTCTTTGAGAACTCTAGTGCCACGCTCGCCCAGTGGTATTCTTTGTTACGCGATGTGAGCAGAAGTCCACATTCTGCCTTGTGTACCGAAGTGCGTGTGCTCTCCTTATGCAATTGGTGTCAGTGCTAAAAGACAGAACAGTTGAAGAATCTCTATGTGGGTATCACCCGGGCCCGGAAGAGATTATACATCTTGGACCATTCCCAAAAATGTGTACCAATGAGGGTACGTGCACGGTACAATCCATTCTGCTTACCCCTACTGAATTAAAACAGGTGCTCTGGTCGAAGGAGGACCTTATCGACATCGCACCTCCGGGGGCCAATATACGCCAGTACGCTCACAATTCAACCACAGAGCAGTGGGCTGCATCTGGATATAAACTATTCAACGCTGGACAATTCCAACAAGCCATTCGTTGCTTCGAACGCGGGAACCGGCCTGAGCAACTCCAGATAGCCCGTGCATACCAACTGCGTGAGAACGCAGTGTTGACCTTTCGGGCTGGTGAACGCCAGAAGGCGTTTCTTACCGCAGCGGAAGCGTTTGTCCGGTGTGCGGATGATGCTCTTGGCACCCGAAAATTGGGCTTTTATGGTCATGCAGCGAAGTGCTATGCATCGGCTAATGATTTCCTCAAAGCAGCGAAACTTTACACCGATGCTAATGATTTTGCTGGAGCTGCCATGCAATATCACAAAGCTGGCCGCTTCGATGAGATAGCGCAAATTCTCTATCACCATCACGAGAAAATCAGTGCGAGCTACAGAGACGAGTTACTTTTTATATGCGTTGTGCACTACTATCATCGCAATAGGCTTAGGTGAGTTTCTTTGTGGCATGTCTCATGAATCGCGTGACGAAGTATGTCTAGGCCACCTGTCCCCTTGTTCTCTTCAACAGACGAAGTGTTGAAATACCTGGAAGGAAAAGGTCTACATAAGGCCCGCATGGATCTCTTGGAATCGTACAAGAGGTTTTTCGAGGTGGCCGAGCTTCAGCTTAGCCATGGACGGTTATGTGATGCCATCCAAACCCTCCTCGAACATCAAGACAACCCCTGTGCAGTGCAGCGCGCCGTTAACATTGCACTGGGCACTCTATGGCGGGCGTGTTCCTTTGATACTCCGGTCCAGGAGATCTTGCAAAACAAGGGATCCGACGCTCATCGGGTTTTGAATTGTATACAAAGCGTCTCCCTTGAACACGTGAAGATCTCAGATAGCGGACAAGTAGGTTCGGTAAAAGTGCATTCAAAGCACGAGGGCTGATGGTATTCTCCAGATCCGGTTTTTCCGTGCCGTCCAGAAATCCCCGTCTGCTGAGGAGGTTTATCAACTAGGAGAGGAATTCTCCGATCGAGGAGAACATGCCTTGGCACTCATGGCATTCGACGTCTTCTATTCACGGATGCCCACCCTTCACTCCGTACATCCTTCAAAATTTGATACCTTCCTCAAACGCTTCGAAAAATATGTTCGCCTTCTAGCGTCTGTTATCTCTGACGAGACACCTTTCCGGGCTACTGACCCCCAAGTGAGGAAAGTCTTCGGTATCGTTCCATTATCCGATTACAACTACTCCATTACGGGCGGCACGTTCCTCCACAGAAGGTTCACAGAAAATCGATACCTGGCTGCAGAAATTAACCGCCTGTTGAAAGTCCACTTGAAAGCACACCTACGCAAAAAAGTCCTGGAGGAGTATGATATATCCTGTCTCTCTCAGGCTTTTTCTACCCAGTGCCCATACTTCGTTCTGCACCGCCGTCGTTGCCAGCAGAAACACTGTAACCGACACCATGTGCCGATGATGTCGTTGGATGCAGCGTTGTACAATATGAAGGTCAACGTTCATCTCCAACAAATACGCATTTTGGACTTGATGTTTTCTGCTGTGGGAGATGATGAAGACTGGTTAGTAAGGTATGTATTAACGACCTCAAGTAAATTGTCATCGTTAACCTACTCAACCCAGCATGGTAGCCGCATTGCGCCGTTTGTATGCGGCGATATGCCCCCCCATTTACATCGAAGGTTCCATTGCCGATCTCGACTGGAACGCCATCCGTAATACCACGGGATGCGGCCGCGTTGTCCAGAAATGGATTCCAAAAACAGTCGAATACCTGAAACCCACTGTCAATCGGGTGAATGACATCGGGTACTTGATGAGTATCATCCGTGTTACTTGTTTGCATAGAGCGTTTGGTGGAACGTGTCACCTGCAGAAATATGTCTCACGCGAAAGCTGCCGCATTCCTTATGAACCGGCCTTAACGGAGGAAAATAATGTGTCGGCAGATGTAGTTGCGTCCCTTACCGAGTTGGATCCAACCCGCGGAGTGCGAGCTCTTTGGTAGGTCCAGAATTGTTCACCACCTTCGTGCACTGCTGGAGAACTCATTTCCTTGCAGGTTCCTGTTACTGAATGGCGTTGGTATGGATTTGTCGGTTGTATGCAACTTTGCAGAGGAAATCTGTAGTACATTCATCTCATCACTACGTCCCTCTGGAGGTCCTTCCCCACTCCACGATCTCGTCGTTCCACGAAGATGGATAATGAATCCGAGCAAGCCCACGGTTCACAGAAATACAATTCTGCACTTCCTAAACTATGTGCGGCGTCTAATGAATATCCTCCGTTCCGGAAGGGCTCGTAGTACGTCCCTTGGCTGCAAGCCGTCAATCTAGCTCCGTTTGACTTCATACGTATAGCGAAATTTGACTTGCTTTCAAGTGAAGAGTCATTCGTGGATGTCATGGTAACTCAAATGTGCGCTTCTTAGCCCGTATGATGTTCAACAAACTAACACATCCAATTAGGTGCCGCATGCTCTACATTTGTGCGTCTGCACAATCCGTTTCGGACAGTTCCGCTAACATCACATTTTCCAGTGGGGTACAACGTGCGTGACGTAGGACTTAGCAAAGCGATCGCGGAGATTCTATTGCTGCCATCTCTCGAAGTGGACAATACGCGCGAACTATCACCACAGATCCAACGGTATGCTCGTCACTTTAATGTTCGCCTCTCAACTTCTGAAACTTTACTGCACGCAGGCACTTTGCCAACCAGCGCCTGCAGTACCTGGAGACAATCCGGGCATTAGATACTGGATCTCCTATCCGGGATCTAATTCATCTTGTGCACAAGGATGGCCGTAATCCCAACCCCCCAGTCCCCGCATGGATTCCACGGCTCGTCTTTAAGCACGTTGGGGACATTTCTCGCCAAATGAACCGGGATCAAGTCTTTTGATTGGTAATGGACGAGTGTAGGTTATGGTCAGGGTGACTGATTTTGAGACGAGAAGTATATTGTATGTACCATCGTCCTGCGAGGTGGAATATCTTTTTTGTACAACATGAGGTGTCGGTACTGTGTACAGATACTGCGCTACGGAACACCGATATTGAGGCGAGTCTCCAGCCCTTCGGTATCATCAAAGGCAGGAAAATTCAAATGATGGAGTCTCGCGAGGTCAGTGTAGCAGGTCGGCTTCGCGTCTCTAATGAAAGCAGCCTATCTCTGGCTCAGCAACTTGTTAGATACGAAAGCTTCTATCAAGGTCAACTCTAAATTTAAATCCGACTTCAGGTTGTTGGAGGTTTGAGAATGCAGTCAAAAGTGGAACAATCTTTGGATCAATTAATTAGACACATACATACCACCGTCGGTATAACATCCACCACGGTACATGGAATCACGTGACGGTTAGCACTCGAAATCTTCGAGATACTGCCGAGTCTCGTGCTTTGTGCATGCATCATGGCCTAGTGCCGGAGGCAATGCTCACCATTGCACCAAGGACACCACTACCAGCACAACATGGCTAATCGTAAATTGGGGGAACCCAGAGACGTTAACGCGATGCTGACCGCTCACTTTGAAAAATGCACAGAGCTAGTGCAACGATATACAGACATGCAAGTCCATTTTCATTATTCCACAATTTGACCACCGTGATTAACAGAGTTTATCCAGGGTTATTTCCGCCTTAGTCACTCGGATTAGAGAGTTCGAAGTGAAACTTATAGCGATGGTTCGTGTTCAGAGTCTGCGTCGCTATCGTCAACGAGATGTGCTGCATTGCTAAGTGCGTGTAGACATTCGTTACCATTCTTTTCACTCTTCCCATTCTACCGATATTGTCGTTTGTGTACGTACTCTTCCGTACTACCTATTAGCTCTGACAAATTCCCAGCGGGATTCCAATCCTTGTCATTTCGTCTGTCGTATACTGTGCAGCCGGATGTGCAGTCTCAGCTTGTCTTGCAGCCGAGTCGATCATCTGTACGTTCAAGAATTGCATACTCGTACGACTGTGTTTTTTTTTTAAAATCCAGCTGTTCCAAACAGTGTGGATGACGAGATGCACGTTGCGTTCGCGCGTCCTTATAGCGGTCTTTGCAACGACGTTTTTACTTTCGGTGTATTTGCCATGTCGGTTCATCTTGCTGGTGCAGTTTAATGGTCTGTCTGGTGTCACGGAGTGGGTTACGGAGGCGAAACAGTGTTTATTACCGAAGAGAGAGCGCGAAAGACCGGACAGCCCCGATGTCGCTATCCAGCATCCCAAGTGAGACCATGCATGTGTGACGAGCGACCAGCTTGACGGATTCAGGTGTGGGCTCGGACGCCGGAACTGCGTCATTGGTTTTCGGAATTTGTCTCTGAAGTCTCGCCCAGGGGATGTCTTTCTACCCGCATTTCCACATGTTTTTCTTCATCTGTTTTCTCTCTTCCTTCTGCCTGTCATTATTCTGTCTGTAAGGTAGCACCCGGAGCCCAGGTACATAAAGTATGATCTATGCGGTGTGCATAGTTTGGGTCTCGAGAATCCTATACACCCATACGTTGTGTCTGGTGAGTTAGGACTGAGCGAGATTTCCCATAGACCTGGCCTGACAAGCATGCAAACCTACAATGTTATGAATCAACTACACACATACTCCTGCTGCATGCAGCAGTACATCATCCACTATGACGGGAATCCGGACTGCAATACAAAGAATCCTCTCACTGAAATCATTCCTAGGACTGCGTGTGGCTGTGGAACCGCTACCCCTATTGATCTTCGGAATTGAATCTACTAAAATCAATAGACCTGTTACTCAGTATGTTCTGTCGCTTCAAGCCTTTGCAGTTGCGGGCAGTTTCCGAGCTGGGCGCGACAGAGGTGGGGCTGTCAGTCTGTAATGAAGGACGAATCTAACTGAAACCATCCATACCATCGATCCCACTGTAACGTATCTATGGTCGCTGACTTCCCCCGACAGACTGCAGAGCTGCATCAACGATCCTTTCCGGTGCTTCGTACTGAACCCAATGCGTTACTCCGGGTATGATCGAACAGGTGATCTGGGGGTGCTTTGGTATGTGCTTCTCCACTTCCGGGTTCGCAATGAGAACAGTAATGGTGATGTTCGGCGGACAATCAGACAATAAATGTCCAAACGCCCAGGGATCATTTTGCTAACCCAGGCGTGCGTCAAAATTGTCGACGTGATATCGCCTTGAATGTGTTTTGGAACTCACTGTCAAAATCTCCCGAATGACATCTGGAGAAGCACACGCCTGAAGACCAATCACACGAGTGATCGCATCCAGACGTGTCCATTTGGGAAACTGCACCATAAACTCCTCCACGGACTTGATATTCGCAACTCTGCCTGCCCACTCCTCCTTGATCGCTTTCACGAATTCGGGTGAAAATTCGAGAGAAGGGTCGACTAGAACGAGCGAGGTGGGTCTGGATCGCGGTAAGGATGGTAGGAGAGCAGCGACAACAGCCGACCCCCAAGAATGCGCGATGATGACATCGTAATCAGCATTGGCTAGATAGGGCTGCAGGTCCCTTGCCACCGTTTCCATGCGAAAGTCAGTACCCGTCCTGAAGCCGTGACCGATCAAGTTTGGAGCGACCACAAAGTAACCTGCGCAAAGTTAACGATTATCAGTGTCGGGCGCAGAACAGCGTCCGAACCTGCTCGTGCAAGCGCTTCTGCGACGCGTTCCCAAGTAAGGGATGAACAACCCAAGCCGTGTACCAATAGAGCTCGTTTGGTGGAGGAAGGGAATCCCCATTGAGTGGCGGAGGGTAATTTGAAGTCAGACATCGTCTTGGTCCACTGAGAAGCTGCCGCGTAGGAGATCTTGGGTCTGAGAGATAGCTGATGCGGCTCTTATGGGGACAATTTTGTACCAGGGGGCTGATTGACGCCCAACAAGATCCGCCGAGACTTATTCGGGTTATGGACATTTCGATCGAGATCACGACGAGGAACGCTTGCTTCACTAATGCGAAGGCAGGACTCCGCATGATTGAAAGAGTGTTCAAACAAACAAATTGTCCCATCCAGTTGCATGACCAGGTTCATTCCAATGGCAGAACCACTACCGTCGTCAGACTTCCCGGGTCTGCAGCAAGGAGACCAGTCCATTAGCTCTGAAAACCAGCGAGTGCCAGTGCCATGGGGGTGGAAAGTAGTGTGACCAGTGAATGACTGTAAACCATGCACGTGCAGCGAAAACGATGGAGTAATATTAAGACATGCTGTCCAGAGAAGATGTTTGAAGAAGAAGTTCTTGTCGACCATGGTGGACCATCACAAACAACCGATCGCTTCTCCACAAACGTACTGAATCTCGTCCATCTTCTTTACATTTCCACCTTCACGGCCGCTGTCGCCGCATTTTCCATGGATTCGCGCCCAAAGCGAACCACTCCTCTCTGTGGATTCATTGACCCCTTATCGCGACAAAAATCAGGATCGGACAGGTCGCCGCCAAGCAAGACTACTATTGTGTAATAAGAATGGTCATGACCTGAGTTCTGCCTCGCACCCGCCTGTATTGAACTGCGAATACTCGAACATAGAGGGATGAAATGAGCCTTGATTTTGTCAGCGGGATTCGATCCTGGAGAGAAGATGTGAAGGTTTTGAGGGTATCGACGAATGCGGGGCAAAGGGTCTGCTGGGTGTTTTTCTGTAGCTGCGTAACCATAGGTCGGAGAACTACATCACCATGCCCTCCTTCGACACGTTTCGGCCAACCCTTGCCCTATTCAAGATCAGGATATCGATGGAGATTTTCAAGAGGGCTGTGTTTCATTTGCACGAAATCGTGCATGACACGATGTGACTGTGTGTAAGGTTCGGACCGACGCTGTCGGCCGCACCTCACTTGTTCAATATTCTTTTGACGTTTCTTCTACGTATCTCATTTGTGATTGATCTAGTTCTTATTCACACCTGTTCTTACTGATATTGCATGCCTGTTCTCTCTACTATAAAAAGGGCCATGTATCTTAACATATGGGAGAGAATTTTCCTATGTACTGGAAATACAGACCTTGGTGTCTTGGAACTTCGAGGTAACCACAGGAAAGCTCCTTGTGTAGTGTCATTGCAAGTGCCTCATTCACCATATTCCACAATGTGAGGGCTGCATGCTGTGCAGCAGGATCTACTTCTGCATCATCAAAATTTAAACCTCCCCAGTTCTTAGGGTCAGGGCCTTTCCCTTTAGGATCTTTGTTTTCAGGCAATTGATTGCTCTCAGATGCAGACTTGTCAGTGCCACTTCTTGCCACTGACAAAGACCTCCTCCAGATTCATGCTCTTTCATCTGGGGTCATTCATCATTCTGCCTGTCTGATGGTGTCTCTTTTTGAAGGATGCTGTAGGTATCCTCAGTAGTGCAACAAGCTACTGATGTATTAGACCAACCTGTAGGTATCTACAGGATATCAGTAAGTATAGTACTGGTAGTGAAAGTGAGCTTACCCTCAGTAGTGCAACAAGCTACTGAGGGAACAGTGAATAAACTACTGTAAAATGTGCGCTCTAAGGTGATTATGTAAGCACCCAAACATCGCACCAAAGTGAGCAGAACACAGGGGAGAATATATTTCCAACACACCCCCATAAGCTCCACTGTGTGAACAAGTAGAATAGCAGAAAACAGAACTCAAAAGAATGTGTACCAAATACTCCAATAAAACGTGTGTAATTTGTGTATTGAGCTTTGAGTCCATACATGGCAATGCAAGTCGGATGGCCATGGGTTGAACCCACCCCTTTTAACTGTGATTTCAAAGTCAGATAAATGTGAATCAAATGCTCTCATAGCTACTGGATTGCCATGACTGGCACAAGCATAATACTAGGACTTGTATTTAGCATGATAGGCATAACTTGATAGCACAAGCTGATAGATGTCTGATGAAGAAAATCAAGTTCACCCTGGGTTTGAATCCTGGACAACCCAGGTACAGCCTCCCAGATGGAGTATCCTAATACTGATAGTGACCTACGTACATTGTACTGTCTCACACAGATAGTGTGTACATCCCATCCACTGTTCAACTTGGAGATTAAACCTGCACTGTCTGGATTTCATCCAGCAATCATCTGCACATCACCCAGGCTGCATCCAGCGAGGAGGCTGCCAAACACCCTTGTGTGTATCAGTGGTGCATATGTACATCTAATCTACTTTTCAACTTGGAGATTTTAACCTGCATTATCTGACATTCATCCAGTGGTCATCCAGACATCATCCACAGTATATCCCACAAGACAGCTGACAAACATTGGTGTGTACACCTGTTGGGCTTTGGCACCAGGATCTGTGTACTGTAGATTGGGTAAGCATCACTTATCATGATTACTACATCTCTGGGCCCACAACAACTTGACAGGCCCCTCCTGATCACAATATTATTGGCACCTACCTACACTTAAGTGTGTATACAATTACTGCTGATTGTCAATTACTTGTGCCTAATACATTCAGTCACAGCCATACTGCCTACCCCACAGTAACCATTGACATTCATTGTGGGACAGTAAGCAAGCTTATCTACTGTAGATCTGACTCTCAGGTCATCAGCAGTCACTTGATCTTGAGTGTTCCAGGGGAAGTATTATTGATGGTTGAACACTCATTTCCTAGTGCTGAGACAGCAGAATGTAGGTCATCACAGTGTCCCCTGTATTTTTGTGCTGAATTCTTTTCAAAGGGTGGAGGCAAGTTGGAAAAAATGGATGGACATGCTTGGCATGCCAGGACAACAAAGTCCACTCAAGAGACCATGCAAGGAGGCATGAAAAAACACAGACACATTTGAGCTCTGTTCAGTATCATTGTTCTAAGCACCAGGGAGCTTTTGATGCAGGGGGCTGTGTACCAGGTGATGGTGAAAAGTTCCCCAGTACCCATGATCAATCCATGCATGGTATTGGCCTTATTCTTGAGGAGATATCTGTCCCTAATGTGGAGGATGGCTTTGGGGAATACATTGGTGCAGACTTTGGTGAGGGGGGGGTTCAGTTTCAGGGGTCTCTTCTTGAGAAGAGCCATGCCCAAATTGCAGCAGCTCTTTCTAGCTTACTTGATGAGGATAAATTATCAGATGAAGAGGGACCAGGGGAGCAAGATGGGGAGACACTGGATAGTGAATCAGAGGTGAATATGTTTATGGGGACTGGAAATGGTATGGGTTACTACTGCTAATGTCAAATTTGTGATTTTTGACCTGAATTTTAGAAGGGGATACTGGAATGAAATCTGATGGATGGATGACTACTTCTGAGGGAAATGAGTGGTTTCCATGGCCAAACAAATTGGTATGCAGCTATTAACAGAGAGGACTGACATTCACTAATAATACTCCAGTCTTGTACAATAGATATCTTGATGCACATCCCTTGCTCTGTCTTCTCACAGCATCAACTTGATCTCTTGATGTGGCTACTACACATCCATGGCATTCAAGATGTACCATCTGTTAGAACAATGAAGACTCTTGAAGATGGCCTTCAAAAAATCTGTGGTATTGAAACTTTGCCTTTCACTGGTGCTTTTGGGCACCAATATTATATGAATTCATTTTCAGACATTATCAGGCAGGTTGGTGGTTGATTGCCATAACTGACAAATACTGATTATGATAATATAGGAGATGGCTAACCCACATATTCGACCACAACTTCACTTCTACCCAGAAAATTCAGGGGGACAGTTGAATGAGGCATACCAGGCCAGAAGGTGGTTAAAAGAAATGGATCCAACACAGCTGACTCCTATGATTTGCCTTCATGGTCAAGATTTTTTCATATTTGAGCCAGCCCTTTTGTCAAATGGGCAGGTTTGCATGCCTATAAGGTGGTTTAAATGTGGAGGGCTTTTTTTTGCCAAGGCATGGTCTCTTCATGCTGTTGTTAATGACACAGGAAGTGGTTGGATAGTTGGGGGGCACACAGAGATTGAAATCTCAGAAAGAAACTTACTGGTATCATTCAAGAATTGGAATATCAGTCAATCAACATCTGTTCTCCCTCCTGCACACAATATCTTAGGTATGTTTCTTTTACTACTACATTTGTCCTACTCAAAACAACTAGGAATTGAAAATAGTTGTCAGGCTGGACTGTTGTTGGAACCATGGACACTCACAAACCCACATGAGGGAAATCATTGGCGTGTGCTTGCAAATGGAGCTTATGTCTATGGTTTTCCAATCTGGCTTTACTGTGATGATACTTCAGGGAATGTATCAAAACATTGGAACAAGCACCATTCATTCCTGTTCACACAAGCTGGCTTGCCACATGCTGCAGTGCATCAGGAATACAATGCTCACTTCCTATGCACATCTAATGTTGCACCACCCCTTGAAATGTTGGATGGTTTTGTAAATCAGCTTGAGTAAGTTTATGTTATCTTTGGTATTCACTCTGATTTATACATATTTTCTAGGGCTGCTCAAGAGACAGGTGTATGGGCATGGGATTGTGTACACAAGGAGCAAGTGTCAATGATTCCCTCTGTCTTAGCCCTGTTGGGGGACAATCCAATGCAAAGTGAGCTTGCCTGTCATGTAGGGTTGAGGGGAAAATACTTCTGTTGTGTTTGCAATGTCAAAGGCCATGACACTCAAGACTTGGACACAAATGCTAATGATGAAACACTGGAGCAGAGTGATGGAGGACAGAGTGATGGTCAGAGGTCAGTCAGGAGTGCAGGGGGGGAGTCAGTTAGTGGTAGAAAGAAGGGAAAAGGGAAAGAGACAATGAGTGGTATGGTTTCTTGAATTAAGCAATTTCTGAAGGTATGGGCACATATGACTGTCTAGGCAACTACTTAAAATTTTAACCAAGATTGGTGAACCTCGCCAGCAAAAGCAGTCAATAATTGAGCTCAAATCAATGTTTACAATGGCATCTACCATAGGGAATCAAACCAAAATCAAGGAGAAGATGACATCAACTGGATTGAAAGACACATATCTTGAATACTTTATCAATGGGATGGCAGCATCATGTAAGAGGCAGCAGGGAAGCAGTTCAAAGCAGGAGGCACTGGATGTGTTCATCAAGGGACTTCCTGAGAATGTGTATAGCCCAGTGTGGCACATCAAAGGTGAATGGCTTGACATGTGACACAAAGAAAAAAATCCTCACAACCCCATAGGACTTAATCCTCATGCAGACACTCCTGTGGAGGTGCTGCACACTGTTCTTTTAGGATTTGTCAAGTATTTCTGGAGAGATGTGGTGAACATCAGGGTTGGCAAGAACAAAATAAAGTGTGAACTTCTTGAAGCTCACCTGTCTTCATTTGATACAACAGGGCTAGGGATACCACCCCTGTCTGGTCACACCCTTGTCCAGTATGCTGGATCATTGGTGGGCCATGACTTTCGTGCAATAGCACAGGCTGCACCATTTGTTCTCCATGGACTTGTTCCACAAGAATGCTATGAGGCCTGGGTAGCATTATCAAAAATGATCCCCCTCATTTGGAAACCAGAAATTGAAGATGTTGATGCTCACTTGGTAAGTGAATAGAACTTCCCCTTTTGTTTAAGACTTATTTCATGTGCCAGACACAACTTGAAATTGCAATTCAAGAATTTCTTGCTCGCACTGCATGCTGGACACCTTGCTGGTTCAACAAACCCAAATTTCATATATTGCTCCACCTTCCAGAGCATATCCATCGTTTTGGTCCTGCTGCCTTGTTTGCCACTGAAGGATTTGAGTCATTCAATGCAGTCATCCATGCCAAAAGTGTTCACTCAAACTGACAATCTCCATCACATGACATTGCAAAGGCATTTGCTCATGGAAACCACATTCGTCACATTCTCAGTGGTGCTCCATTACACATCCATGCAAATCACCCCAACCTTGGAGTTCAAATAAAGAAGCTGATTGAGAAGCCACCTCTGGATGCCCTGAATGCTGGAGATGCTGGAGTTTGGTGGCCTGCAGGTACAGCCCTGCTGACACTTGTTAGTAAACCCAATATTATCACAGATTATCTGGGTATGGATAGCTCCTCTTTGTCAAAGCCAGGATCTTGTGTAAAGGACAACCTGCCCTGGCATCCATACCATGAAACCAGGACTGGCCAACAATTCCCCACAGCTCTCTCTTCCCTTTCCCAGGAAATACTCCATGACAATAATTTTCATACATGCAGGTCTATGATCTTGATGAATGGGGACAGATGCATTCCAGGCCAATGGGTTCTCATTCACCAACAGAATGGTCAGCAACCTCTGGTTGCACAGGTGAAGGAGATTATTCAAAGGCGAGGGTCAACTGCAGAGATGACATCTTCCCCAGATGCCATTTTTCTTCAGTCAGGAAAAATACAGGGGTCCACCAGACCTTATCAGATGCCATTGGTGCAGTATGATGATACCAATATACTTCTCCCCATTGAGGTAAGTTTACTACATTTATCCATTCATGATACTTAGTTCAAGTAGCAGTTACTGTGCTCAGTCAACCTTCAGCATTGTTGTGATATCCACAATTGTGCTGCAGCTCACCAGGGAACATCCAATACCTCCCCCAGTATTGTTCACAAGGGAAACCCAAATGATTTTGTGCTAAACACTGCAAAAATGCGTGATGCCAAGCACATTCTGCCCCTAGTTTGTGAACCCCTAACTCCACTCAGCACAGATCATGCAATTATGGAGGGTTGTGCTCGTGAGATAGACAAAAAATCTACACAATACCCAAACAATATCCCCCAACCTTGGGTGAGCTCATCAGGGCATTCTATTAGGCTGATTAAATAGTAGATGCTACCATTATGCTCCAAGTCTAATAGATGTGTTGTTCATATTACTGGTCATGTGTTCCTTGGTCAGCATGTCACTGTGAGTTGCACTGTGATACACCTTTGCAAAACCAGTGCAGGGGCCTTGTTCTTGGATGTGGTGTACAAACCATCATGTCTTGTTATGCCTGTGTACAGCCTTTTGATGATCCTACCAGTCCATGTTGGAAACATGTGGATGAACATGTGGACACCTATCTCAGTTCCAATGCACATAAAAACTCACTCAGCTGCCCTCCATGGTTCCCCCAGTCCGTTGACTCACTCCACTCATTTCTACTACTGTACCCAAGACCCTCAATGTCTTTCAATTTTTCTAATATCAGGAACTCTCCATCTACTCAGTCTAGTAGTCATTCATTTCCTACTCCATCTGCCACCCCATTCACCCATACCCCATCCACCACCCCACACTTCCCCCCTGCTCAAAACAATCCCAATATCAATCCCACCCTTCTGGATGAAGATGTCATCCCAGCTCACTTTATTGATGCCCTTGCCAATCAGTTTAGTTTTGGTGATTCCGAGCAGGACCTATGGCATAACCTCCATGGCTTTGCAAAGGCAGGTAACTCTTTGTGACAGAATCGTAATACTAATACATTGGCAGATGGGGTGTGGCCTCCAGAAAGCAGATATTGCTACATGTTCATACTTACTTGCAGCCATTTTCAGCTTAATCAAGGAAAACCGGGCAATGACCAATGCGCACTGCAACACACAACAACTTCTCGCAGACCTGCAAATTTGACTCAAAAACACATTTACACTATCACATGAACAGAAGGTTAGTTTATTTAGCATGCAAATTCAGCCATTCATCCATTTCTTTCTTGTAGGCTAATGTCTGTATTGTTGCTGGAGACATAATTTTTGAGGCTAGCCAGATCACATTTATGACAATCCACTTTGACATTGAGGTTCACAACCATATATACTGATTCTAAGTCACTCTAATTCCACCAGTCAAAGGTCCAGCAATCCCAAAAAGAATTACGGTTCACAAATATCTATGGTAACCCAGCACAAGAGAAAATCCTAATGGCATATATCAAGCAGCAATGCTCAAGCATTTGTAATTCATTCCAAGAGCTGGTAGGTCTCATTTTCTGTTTCCAACTCCATCCTGATTGATTCATTTGTCATAGCTGCGAGATAGTGTCATTGGAGACAGAACATGCACACTCTCTGATTTTGTGTTTGAAAGTGTGCAGCAGTACAAAATTGGTGGCCCTACTTCAGGCCTCACACCAGCATGCACTGCTTGACTTGCTATACTTGTAAGTGGTACATACCAATTACAATTTTTGTATTAATTTTGTGTGTTAGCGCCATTTTGCTTATGAAAATCCTGAGCTCCTTGACCACGAGGAAGATGACTCAGGCTCATGGCACCACTCTGTCCAAGAGCCTCAAAGGAAAAAGTGAAAGCATGGTGGCCATGTCCCCAGGGGAGAGGATTTCTGGTCACAAGTGGAAAAATGGTTTGATGCATGCAGAAATCAATGGGGTGATTCATGGACCACACCCAACTGGAACAGGTGAGAATATGAGCTGTCATACACACAGCAGTCATGCTAACACCTGCCTATGCTCTAGCTACATCTCAGAAACAATTGCCAAGGATGAAGATCACTACAAGGTCCATGTCATTCACAACCCATTCATGGAGGGTGTGCACACAGATGACAGGTTTTTCACTGGGCCCATTGCTTCAGCTGGTCTTGGGGCTGCTGAGGATCTCCTTCAAGAAATGGTTTGATGGTTTACATCTGTACTGTACCCTGTTCAATCTCCTGTCATCCATAGCACAACACTCTATACATTTTAGTACTATATGATTAAAGGATGTTGTCTACATTGAGCATTACACCCACTTTCATTATACATCACCCAATGTTTGAGCACCCAACTCCACATGTGTGATCACAGCTGTTGGAGAGTGCATCCTCGATCTCCTCCCCAGCATGTACTCTGCTTGGCATGACGTCCAGTTGAGAGTTGTCACTGTTTGTCAGCTTGTTGTGTGACACATGGTCCTCGTACCATAATGCATTCATATGTGATCTGTAGCAGCAGCCAAATGAGTGAATAGACAACGAATTCATGCATTACAACCTGAGGCAGTGGCATAATAATCTGTGGGCCAACTATTCTTCAACCTACAGCTCAGCTACATTGAAACATATTATTTGCCAAGCTCACCCATCCACAAACCTTGTATTCTACTTCAACCAGCGACGACAACCAGCAACAACCAAAATTTGGTGAGCAGAGTCCATTGTAACCACCAGATGGAATTCCCTTTTTAACTGCATTCTCAATTATAGAATACACTAATTGCGTCTGCCTACGGTTAACCAGGAGCCAACAGTTTTGCATGCTGGTGTAGTGTGAGGTGCGCGTCGTGGCTGTGCTTGCGCGTTGTTCCCGTTTTGGTAATACGCCACTCGTGCGCGCGTCGTGACTTTGCCACATCGCTGTGCGAGCGTTGTACGACGTTCATGAGGGCCGTCGATGGCGCGCATCGATATAGGGCGCACCCCCTGCCGTAGGTAGGCGCTAGCAACGTCCAGAGGAATCTTGAGAGGTCGTGAGGGCCTCCATAAGGTATGGTGTGTGTTTCCATTCGTGCGAGCTTCGCTGACGCTTCGTAGATCTACTTTGATCCTGCCGCATCGACGTCGAGCCCTGTATGGTATATGGATATGTGCAATTAGGTCCGGAGGGGGTTCGGGTGGTGCAGGTAAGTGGTTTGGCTGTTCTACCTCTCGTTTTTGAACGTTCTGACTTTGGATGTCAGCCAGCAGCTTCTTTGTTGCTCCGTTCGAGCAGATGGCATTGCTGCTTGTTGTGCCATCCTTCCTGCTACTGTAGTGCTCGTCATCGGCTTCCTGTGGCCGAAAACCTACATTTGGTGAGCCATCTTGTATCTTGGCTGTTCGAATGCTGATCACTCTTATCTTCAGCTTCGTCAACGCTCTCCCACCATCTTGACTATCCTCCCAGTGGGAGGTACCCCCGTCATGCTCACCCAGACCCCCAGTCTCATCAATTGAGACATTCCATGTGCACTGATCTTTGCAGGTCTCTTGTCACACTGCAGGCATGCAATCTTGTTTGGGGTGGGGTCACTCGGCCTCTTGCAGATCTTTGAGGCATTTTGGCTCGTTAGTGAGTGCTGCCTGATCTGAAAGGGTCGTTTGGGCTTCGTGAGGATGTGGTATGGTAATTTCTCCATTGCTGACCGTTCGCGCTCGTGCTAACTTCCTTTCTGTGTTCGAAGTACCAAAGACTTGGTCAGATTGTCCAATGAATGGGTTTGGAGCTGCAACATGAATGCATGGAAGGTCAGGTATGTTGGTGATCAGACTGCTGCATGTTTGGATGTGCTGATCGTGATTGACAGGTGTCTGTGAAGTAGTTTTGATGGCATGAGTGTTCTCAAGATTAATAGAATTGATTGCAAGATCGAAAGTCTCGCTGCTGGGTTTGAGTAGATGTAAATCCCTTGTCACGTTGGCAATGACGAGTTGACTGCACGTGCCTGCAGCGCTGGTCTTGTCTGCACGGCCACTTGATGTCTTAGGGTTTGCATCTCCAAGTTCATCCATTGAGCCACTGCCTGCTTCGCATGGCACTCCCTCCAGCTCCAGCTCCAAGTGCCCATTTAGGGTGTGTTCAACCTCTGCTGTAGGTATGTTGATGCTTGACACTTCGACTTGTCTGCACTGACTAGGTGTGACTTCTACAGTCTCTAGTGACAGCTCTGTGCTGTCCCTTTTGTTGTCATGAGTAGCCGACTGGCCGAGAAGGCTGCCACTGGTTTGCTGAGAGGTTGCTTCAGCCCCGTGTAGTACGGGTGAGTGGCAATTTTGCAAGTTGTCACTTTGTGCATCCTCCTCAGTCGTTTTCCAGCTTTCTGGTCTCGTAACTGAGCCATAGTGCTTCTCGAGGTAGGTGAACTTCTCGAGGGGTGTTTTTAGATGGAGTATGAATGAGAATATGCAGTCCGAAATTCCGAAGATCAATAGAAGATTGACCTTCAAGCTCTGCTTGTGCCAGAACTCATCTGAGGTTTGCCATGCTGTGACCTCGTCTTGTTCCTCGTTGGTCTGAGGTGTCCAGCCCTCACCTCGACCTTTCAGCTGTGCTGGATGTATAGGTTGTGTTTCAGACCCGAGTAGGAACCCCATCAAGCCTTCATCTGCAATGGCATTTAGGACCCAGCTGCCATAAGCTGTCCAGTTATGTCCATCGTCTGCAAGCTCTGGTAGGTTGTCCATGCTTTATCCAATAGCCTTGAGGGTATAGAGTGTTCTGGAAACTTTGTAGCAGAGTTGAGTAGTTGTTTTTGGACTTTGCACACTGAGTGGGCCTACAATAAAATTTTCTGCACTAGGTGGGGCTCATAACCTTTTGAAGGATGCTGTAGGTATCCTCAGTAGTGCAACAAGCTACTGATGTATTAGACCAACCTGTAGGTATCTACAGGATATCAGTAAGTATAATACTGGTAGTGAAAGTGAGCTTACCCTCAGTAGTGCAACAAGCTACTGAGGGAACAGTGAATAAACTACTGTAAAATGTGTGCTCTAAGGTGATTATGTAAGCACCCAAACATTGCACCAAAGTGAGCAGAACACAGGGGAGAATATATCTCCAACATCTCTGACATCTGGTCTTACTTTGCTTTGGGCATGATGATTGCACAATTGTCTGTGCACCACTTTCATCCATTCAGTGTGCTCCACCTCTGTCTCACTTGCTGGGAATGTGGACATGGATTTGCATTGGACATCATTGGGTAAGGCATCACTATCTCTGTGGGTCAGTACCTGAACTCTAACAGATCTAGCTTGTGAGGTCTCCAGGACAATGTCATCACTGGGATACACTGGCAAACTAGGGCTCAAACTGGGAGTGTCTATGGCCACACCATGGTACACCAGACTGGGGCTCCTAGAGCCATTTTTTTTTGGAGGATGACGAGCTGCAGGATTGTCAAGTCAATGGAGAGGAATATACTCAGACTTCAAGTTGGTTGAAGCTAAACAATTAACTACCTATGGAGAGGAATATACTGTAGGTAGGTAAGTAAGTGTTCCAATATAATGAATGGAAGGAGTCCCACCTCAGACTTCAAGTTGGTTGAAGCTGAGGTGCAGTAAGGAAAAAAAATAAACTGCTAAGTGTCCGCTTTTGGATTATGTAATGCTGTGCTCAGTGAACCACAACTAAGGTAAAAGTGATAAACTCCAACATTTTTAACCATGTTGCTGTAGCTCCAGATGCTACCCTCGACAGGCTTACCAACTGGGGTGGAATACTGACTTCCTAATGGAGTCAGCTTCGGAAGTGGGGACCTGTTGATGACTTCAGTGCCAGGCTGAGTTGTCAGGCTAGGAGGTAAGGATGATGCTCGAGCTTTTGTTGCTTGGTGAATGGACACTTGGGTGTTAACCATCTTTTTATTAAGTATTTGGATACTTACTCTTTTGTCTCTGCAGGGAATCAATTCTGCAGATGGTGGAGAAGGTATCAGTGGGGATATCATTTAGGGTTTGGGGTTAGACTGTATAGGCTGGAAAAAAATATGTAGTGGCGACAGTGAAGTGAGGCACTTGTGATGACACTACATGAGGAGCTTTCCTGTGGTTACCTCGAAGTTCCAAGACACCAAGGTCTGTATTTCTGGTATGTAGGAAAATTCTCTCTGTACATTAAGATACATGGCCCTTTTTATAGTAGAGAGAACAGGCACACAATATCAGTAAGAATGGGTGTGAATAAGAACTAGATCAACCACAAATGAGATACATAGAAGAAACATCAAAAGAATATTGAGAGAAAGGTGAGACAAAAGTTGGACTCTTCCAGTGATGAGGACTCCAGTTCATCTGAGCCTGAAGACTTGTCCAGTGAGAGCTCTAGTGATGATGGCTCGCCTTCTTCTAGCTCGAGTAGCAATACATCGAGCTCATCAAGTTTGAGTGATGATGACTTGTCCTCAATGAGCAGCGACTCCTCATCTGACATGAGCAAATCATCTACAAGCTTGTGAAGATGACAAGGAAGGTCCTGATGCTGTAAAGGGCAAGGCAAAGGATGCCATAAATCTAAGAAGCATTCCAAATCCCAAAGAAAGACAATACTCAAGCCTATCCCACCAGACAAGTATGAGGGATCTGATGACATCCACACTTTCCAGCGATTTGTTACTGAAGGCGCAGCCTTCATCACAGATGGCCGAGTCAAGCCTAAGAAGTGTGCTTTTATTCTGTTGCACTACTTGACTGGAAAGGTGCATGAGTTCTATGTGCAAGAAGTGTCTGGAGACCCTTACAAGTGGAGACTTTCAGACTTTTTCACACAACTCTTCAACTATTACTTCCCTATCAATTTCCGAATGCAACAAAGGGAAAAGCTGCAATCCTGTTATCAGAATTCTAAAACAGTTAAGAACTACCTGTATGAGCTCAACAAGCTGTGGAATATGATTGGGGAAACAGACGAATGTACCAAAGTCCACAAGTTCTGGGCTGGCCTTCAAAAGGAACTGCAGAGAGATCTGTGGAAGGAGAAGTTGAATCTGGAGGTCTCATCATTAAAGAAAATCACCACATCGGCTGAGATGCTTGAAATTGCACAGACAGTTGCTGGTGATTATACCTGCAAATCTAGAAGACAGAGAAGTAAGTGAAGGACACTGGAAAGTGCCACTGCCTCACCAGAGAGCCCTGAATGGCGGAAATCTGGATACAAATGAAGGCATGATTGCAAACAAAAGGCCAGGGGTGAAACCTACCAGAGGGACAACAATCCCATGGAATCCTCTAACCAGGGAGGAAGGTGGGGAAAATGCCCAGAAAAACATAAGCACGATACTCCAAAGTTGAGTAAAGAGGAACAGGAATGGCACAAGACAGAGGGACTTTGCTTCAATTGCCACAAGTTGGGACATTTCTCCAGGAACTGCCCAAGTCGGCACACCATATCCTCATTGAGCAAACCTCCAGGGTTATCTCACTTTGGCATGGACATCAATTTCAGTGATGTGGAGAATCAATGCCAATTGTCCAAATCATCTGAGAATGAACCTGGGCTGTCATTGAACTTCATACCTGTCCAGAGATACACAATCCAGGATGAGGATTATGACCTCCCTGACCTGGAGAGTGTATGGAGTGAAGATGAATATGATGGTCATGATGATGAAGTCACCACTGATGAAGAGGATCCTAATGCAGGGATGCAAGTGTATGTCTATAATAGTAGACAATTCCACAGGCCTTGCAAGGGGTACTATGGGATTGGACACCCTTTAGAGGATCAGGCTATGAACCTGTTATTGGGAATCTGTTATCTGGATGATGACCCAGAATCACTATGCACCTACATGGATTCACAGTTCCTTGTATATGACCTGGGGAATGGGAAACACATGATTGTTGAAAGTGAGCATGACATGCTTGGACCTGAGGATGGGATTACTGTCAAGACAGACTTGTTGAGCAACCCATCATCCTGACTCAACAGTTGGTATTGGTTCCAAAAGGGAGAGCATGCTGGGATTCTGAAGCCAGAGTTGCGACATCAAGAAAGGGTGCAGACTTGGAGATCAAAACCCATAGGGCATCCCATTGAAGACCAAGTTGCTGCCAATCTTGAGGAATGTAGCCTACAGATCCTGGAAGGGGGAAACTGAGACAGGTTTGTGTGTGTTAGGGAAGATAACTCAACCATACACATACTTGACCATCATATGGAGGTTTGCCTAGCTCTCCCACTGGATAAGGTAACCATACTGGAGTTCAACATCATGTACTGGTACGCAAGGGAATTGGTTTGCATGCTTATGGAGCACTTATGGAGCAATCCCTTGGAGGACAATGACTCAGGAATTCAACTCCTGTTTGAAAGTGAGGAGATTAGTGCAAGTGATGAGAGATCAGACTCAGAAGAAAGCATACTATGTGGAATGGCCCAACTGAAGAGTGCCAAAGCCTGCACCAAGGACAAAACTGTTCTACAACAAAACTCCTCAATCGCAAAAGACTTCCTGTACAGGATACCCAAGCCACTGGTAGTCATTGCGCACATAAATGGCCATCCAGCACATGTGCTGATCAATACTGGGTCACTGGCTGATTTCATGTCAGTAACCCTTGCAGAACAACTAAAGGTCAAGTGGATCCTGCTCGAGAAGCCACTTACCATACAGCTCGCCATTCAGGGCTTGAGATCTAAAGTGAATTTTGGCATGAAGGCCCAGCTCCAGTACCAGGGGATTGACTGTGAATGATATTTTGACATCATGAACCTACAAAACTATGATCTTATTCTGGGAACACTGTTCCTTTATCAGCACAAAGTAATGGTGGGGTTACACTCACCTAGAGTCATTGTTGGAAGCATATTGCCCACAGAGATGAAAGGAGTGCAGGTTTCCACTCTGGAATCACATGTGACAGAAGTTTACCATGACAATCTCGAAAAGGCAAGAATGTACTTACAAGAGCTTGCCAAGCTGCTGTGCTCTCAAGCTGGTGCTATGGCACTGCCCCCATTCCGAGCAATCAACCATGAAATACCCCTGATTGATGAAAAGAAAGTCTATCATTGGAGACCATCGAAGTGTCCTGATGCCATGCATCACTTATGGACAGAAAAGAAGAATGCCTACCTTAAGAGTGGTCGTTGGGAGTTGATGGCCACATGCATTACACACCTGAGGATGCTGATCCCAAAGGCAGGGAACCCACCTCAGCTTCGAGTGGTGGTTGACCTGCAAGAATGAAATAAGAACACTCATAAGTTGTCCTCACCTATGCCAGATATGGATGGAATTTTGAGATGAGAGGCCAAAAAGCCTTATTGATCAATCATCGATGGTGCCAATGCCTATGAGCAGATATGGGTGGTACCAGAGCATGTTGAATGGATGGCAGTAACAACACCTGATGGAAACATGGTCAGTCTCATTGTCCAGGGAGATTGTAACACACCAGCCACTTACCAAGCCCTGATGAATCACATTTTCAGGGAGTATATTGGCTCCTTCATGGATGTGTACCTTGACGACATTATCATCTATTCAGACACGTTAGAAGAGCATGTCTGACATGTCAAGACTGTGTTGGAAATACTCACCTGAGAAAAGCTATACCTGAGTGAAAAGAAGCTCAAGTTTCTGAGCAATGAGGTAAAAATCCTGGGCTGTGTGGTCACTGATGATGGGATGAAGTAAAGTTGACTGCATCCTCAACTGGAAGGTTCCAATGAATTGTACACTGTGTAAAGGATTCATCAGGTCAGTTGGTTACCTCACAGATGATATCTACAAAGTCCACATACCTCTAGGGGTGCTTGCTGAAGCAAGCACAGAGACTCACCCCTTTCAATGGATGTTCACTGAGCAATGGGCCTTTGAAACTGTAAAGCAATATGTTGCCACTTGCACTTGTGTACCCCTTGATTATGGACCAGACCACAATCCTGTCTGGGTAATGACCAATGCTTGTGGGAATGGCATTGGTGGCATTGTAGCACAAGGAGCAGATTGGAAGTCAGCCAAAGTCACTGCATTCTACTCCACAAAGATGTCTTCAGCTCAGCGCAACTACCTGGTCCATGAACAGGAACTCCTTGTGGGAGTGGAAACAATGTTGTGGCACCAGGACATCCTCCAAGGCATACATTTCACTTGGGTAACCAACCACAAAAGCCTGACATATCTGTTGGATCAGAAAGACTTGTCTGGGTGACAGGTGTGATGGTTGGAGAAGTTAGCTGAATTCAACTTCAGAATCAGGTATGTACCAGGAGAGAGAATGTTCTTCTGGATGCTCTTTCCCAAATGTACGAGTTTGATGCTCCCAGGACAATCTGTGCACATAGCAAATACCTGCATCATGACCTGGACATCGAGGAGACAGTACCACCAAAGGAGAAGCAGCAGATAATAAGCTTGCCTTTGTACATAGGCATTAAAGCACTCACAATGTCTACCAGGGCTCATGCACAAACTGATGCCCCTGTTGGGCCTTTGCCAATGGAGCAACCATCAGCTCGCCAACAGAAGCTGGTGCTAAAACCTCCAAGGAGACCTCCTGCACCAGTGATTGTGAAGCAACATTCCATGCCAACAATAGACCCAAATCTGCCCAAGGATGAGGGTGGCAAGATAAAAGTTCCTGCTAAGGATCAGCTGGAAGGAACAGGAAAGGGACCTGCATGGTGATGCCATGCTCTTACACCCCTAGCTGAGACTGGTCAACTGGAGACCAGAATTGAGTTTGTGTGACAAATGAAGGATCATTTCATTCTTCTTGGACCAGGTGAACAAAAGAAGGGGGGAAAGGGTAGTGGTCCTGTTGGAGTTTATCACTTTTACCTTAGTTGTGGTTCACCAAGCACAGCACTACATAATCCAAAAGTGGACACTTAGCAGTTTATTTTTTTTGCTTACTGCACCTCAGCTTCAACCAACTTGAAGTCTGAGTATATTCCTCTCTATAGACTTGACAATCCTGCAGCTCATCATCCTCCAAAAGGACCACCCCCTGAACATGCTACAGACACCTTGCCAGACACACAGAGCTCATTGCTGAGTGTGCAGGAACTAGATGATACAAGTGATACAAGCATGGGAGGCAATACAGAAATGAATCTTGTGCCCCTCATTGTGTACCCAGGAAATGAAGGCATACTTAGGGAAGCACAGAACAGATATGGTGAAGACCCATTCTTTACAGCTGTTTGCAAAATGATGTGGAAAATCTGTTCGACAATCAGACTGTTCGGATATAGCTGGGATAGGACCCCAGAAGTACCTTAGTGGGTAGCTACTGTCTGTTACCATAGTACACTAAGAATCAAACATACTGCCTGCATGCCCTCTCGCATGGTATCCATTGACCTCAAGTCTCATATTCCTGTCCTTCACCAAAATGGCTATAGCATCAAGCAAATCTGTAGTATTCTAGGCATCAAGAAAACACTCGTTTACAATTGACCATGCTTGTCCAGTACATGCTGTAGAAAATTGAGGTAGTTAGTATCATTGACAACAAAAGTAAGCTCTTTTGTCTTCATGGTCGCTTTTGGTGCAGTCTTTCCCTTCTCCTTTTTCTTGGGTCCATAGACAGAAAGCGAAATCGTGAAAGAATGTAATTTTTCTGCGACAGGAGTGGGGGATCGCAACGGCAATGACATGTTGAAAAACAAGTCTGCCATAGGGACGAAGTCTAAGTATGTGCTTACACTACACAATGTTACCATAGAGGTGGTTTTGGGGTCCTATCCCAGCTATATCTGAACAGACTAATTGTCAAACAGATTTTCCGCATCATTTTGCAAACAGCTGTAAACAGATACTGGATGCCCCGAAGGCATTCAAGAACTTTGAAATCACACCAGATGGTTTCATTCAATTAAGATTGCAAGACCATGTTGTATTCTGTGTCCTGGACATTGCAGTAAATGATAAATGACTAAGGGAAATGGTCATTGATCAAGCTCATTCCCTACTCGCACATCTAGGTGCTAGAAAAACAGTATCCTACATATGAGAGTTCTTATGGTGGGACTCTATGGTAAAGGACATCACTGTGTACTGCACATCATGTCAGACATGCCAACGAAGCAAACCACTGACTCATAAACCCTTCGGACTGCTGAACCCACTCTCTGTACCATCCAGGCCTTGGGAAGTGATTGGAGTAGATTTCATGGGACCACTCCCCAAATCCAAAGATCATGATGGTGAATATGACTCGATAACAGTGATCATCAACTTGTTAACATCCATGGTACACATTGTGCCAAGTTGAACAATGTACACTGCCCATGAAGTAGCAGAATTAATGTTCACCAAAGTGTATAAACATCATGGCTTACCTCGAGCGATCATTAGCAATTGCGATGTTTTATTCACAAGTACATTCTGGAAACACCTTAATGAACTAATTGGGATTAAGCAGAAGATGTTGAGTGCATACCATCTGGAAACAGATGGTGCTACTGAACATGCCAATCAAACCATTGCCCAGATGCTGAGATGCTGCATCGGGCCAAATCAGAAAGATTGGGTGTCACACCTACCTGCCATCAAGTTTGTGATCAACAATGCGACATCAGAGTCAACAGGCTATGCACCATTCTTCCTGAATACTGGATGGATGCCCCAACGGATGATATGGGACACTCCAACGAGAGATGAGTACCTGAGCATATGAGCATTTGCCAATAAAATGAAACTCACCTTGTTGGACACTCACAACACAATTCTGAAGGTGTGATTGAAACAGATGGTTGGCACTAATAAAAAGTGCTGAGTGTGTCCCTTTGTTGCAGGTGACCTTGTATATGTCTCCATGAACAATATTAGCTTGTCAAAGGGGACATCACGACAACTCATACCAAAGTTTATTGGGCTGTACCACATTTTGGATGACTTTGGGCATAATTCTTATTGCATCAAACTACCTGATAACCTGAAACAAAGAGGCATTCACAACATGTTTCATTCATCATTGCTAAGAGTGCACATACCAAATGACAATCGAAAGTTCCCTGGGCAGAAGGATGATCAAATCCCTGAGCTTGGAGGAACAAGCCAAGAATGGGCTGTCAACCAGATAATAAGTCATCATGGCAGCTGCTTGGAGGCAACATTCGAGGTGCAATGGACAGCCAGAGACCAAACATGGTTACCATTTGATGAGGTCACTCATCTAAAGGCACTAGCCAATTATTTCGAGGCCTTGGGGATAGACAGGATAAATGAGTTGCAAGATAAGGGTGATGGGGGATCATCTGAGGATGACCCCCAGGTGTTCCTTGGATACTTGGTACCTCACCCCAGTGGAACCTATAAAAACCATCCATGCAATGATAGAAATCTGTCTGCTCACCAGGTCCCCAGGTCAGTCAGACAAACCCCCAATCGAAATTGCTGTACCCATCCCTGACAACACATGCCTCCACCTCATACTGCCTACCCTTGTCACACACCCCAGCCTCATCATTCCCACTCACCTCCCCACCATCATAGTCATCAGCCACATTGACATCATCGCCACTCTCCATCCATGCAAGGGAGAGCTGGAGCCCACACACGGCCTAGATCACCTGCTGTCAGCTCATGTAGGAATCAAGGGTGGTTTGGTGAATGTACCAATCATAGACCTCCTCACATGTTGCAACCAAAGTTCACTAATCATGAACCCCCTGCACACTCAGCCAAAACCATTGCTCACATATATTGTCCAGCATGCTCCTGTGGTAGTCATAAACCAACCTCCCACCCAAAAAGAAAGTCGAAGGGTTGCTCACCCCAGTCACTGCTCGAAACTCAACCCACGCATCTGCGAGACTTAGATCCTGATGCCTCAGAGACACTCCAATGCACACTAGCAGACATCATTAGTGACTTGCTCAGCCTGGACATAGACAAACCACCTACTGCTGATCACCACTCACCTGACATGACAACCCCTGCCTGCTTCTTATCTGTAGAGCAAATCAGCCTGGACTTCTTCTTCACTGTGTGGGCTCCTGCCGGTCTTGGGGAGGCAGAACAGCACATGCTGGTCCATCATGAGCAGATGAAAGCTTACTTTACCTATGATAGGGTGTTGCAACCCACATTATCAGCATTTTTCTTCAGCTTGCCTTCTGACATATTTCATGGTGACAAATCATGGATTGTTGGTAGGTATGAACAATATGTCATGGATGTTTGGCCTGCGATGGCCGTCCTATTGTCCATAGCATTCAGCGTGATGACTACTAGAAACAAGATGAATGCTAACTTCAAGGAGAGGAAAACATTGGTTTCAGCTCACAATGCTACCATTCTTCACAAATTGAACGTCCAGCTGCCCTCTGATTGCCATGTCACCATGCAAATCTTGGGAGATATAATGGCTATCTTGTTGCAAATTCTGAAGGTGCGCCGGTTGACTTATTCCCTTACATATGCAATTCACACTTAGGGCAGTTTTATCTTGGTTTATTATCTGATGCATGGTTTGTGGGCCTGTGTAAGGATGCTTACTTCGGTGTTAGGGGAGCCGAGGATGACGACGAAGGAGTGGATGCAGTGGACGAGCCGCTGTTAGCATATACACAAACTCCTTGTCTCGAAGCGAGTCTTGCTGCCTCTGACATAGATCAGTTTGGTGAGTGGTCGATCTTAATGGCCAATGATGCCACAAAGGATCTCTTTCAGTTGAGATGGCATGACACAAAAAGGGCCACATGTGTGCTCAAGAAAATCAGGCAGGCTCCTCTGCATTTTCTAGATAAAGACATGTCACAAAATCCTTGAACACCTGCTCAGCATGCTGACCCTGAATATTAGCCCCCTTCTTGTTGTCCCAGTGGGCTCCAAATGGTCATGCTTGATAGTACTCAATATCTCAATATATCTTTCAAATCTATGACAGAAGATCAGTAAATCACAAGCAGTTTACAATGCTGACTTACATAGCCAGTCCACTTGTTTCTCACTACTTGATAGTTCTTAGGAGGTCCATCTGTGTGATAGTTGGCAATATGCAGGGCAGTGGCTTGATATGTAGCCATCTTGAAGTTCCCATTATTGCCCACCTCATGCTGGTTATTGTGCAGGAGCCTTACAAGAGCAGTGGTTTCTTCATAGTTCCAATGAACTCATGGAGTGGGAGCACTAGTCTTATTAGGCATTGAGTGAGTGAGTGAATCAAGAGTGTACTGAGATACAAGGGCAACAATGGCAGCAGCCAATACCCAGGCAAGCCTAAGCTGATCCAGATCATCATAATCCATCACAGGACATGTTTCAAACTCAATTCAAACTCACTATGTGAAGTGCCCCAGTGGAAAAACATGTACAAGCATCAAAGGAACTAATTGTAATTTACCTGAGGTTTCTGAACTAGCTCTAAATGAGAAATGGAGTTGAACACTGAGTGCTGAGTTGTCATACAATAGTAACAAAGTAGACACAGGGCTGTCAAACCTCAGGCCAAATCCTTGCCACAGGACTTGGGCTGGGCAGTTCTGCATAATTGAAGCAGAGTTCAAATAAACACATTATCCTTCCAGGGACAATTCATCATTGATAAATCACCTAGACTTGTACCTACTGGACTCTGGACCATTCTTGACCCTGGTATCCCCAGACTTGACACCATGTCACATCCATGTGATGTTTGTGGTTTCCACAAGATGACTACCTTAGCTACAATTGAAAATTGTATCTAAAATGTGTCAGATGGTCTGACTGGTCTGGGATCAGGTAGCTTCACTCTGATTGCAGATGATGGTCAGTGACACTCAGACAACTGAGCAATGTGGAGAACTTTGAGATGGATCAGGCACTTGACATATTGCCATCACAGTAGTCCAAGTTGACACCAACTACTGGTATTGTACCTGCGGTTATTGAAAAGCAGTGGGCAAATCCTCTGGAAAATCACTGTGAGCAATGAACACCAAGGTTCATATTTGAACTAGGCATAGAGGATTTTTTAATAATGCTGGATGCATAAAGTTAAATTCCTGGTACAAGTACAACATAGAAAGCTGGTTCCAAATTTGGAATGTCCACATAATGGCAAAATTCAAAGAAAAAAATGCAAGGGTAGGAATCCTGGAGGTCTTATGTTCACACTTCCATGCTGATAAGAACCAGAGGAGCTTACAGGAATCTCAGCAAACCACCAGAGCAATTAAATTATCTGTCTTTTCACATTTCAAGATGCTTTTTGCTGCATAAAATAGAGTGAATGTTTCATGATTGTAGAAGCAATAATGCCTCACACATCTGGTTACCCCTTGCAATATCCACAAGAATAGGACATAAAATCTCAACATCCTCACCATGCTCCTGAAAAGCTGCCTCAATTTGTTGGGTAACTTGAGCTTGGACACCAGATGTTTGATATTCTGTGAATGCTTTTGTCACATCCTTCTGCAAATCACTCCTCCCATTCTTGACCTGCAACAAAAAGTATAAGTATTCAAACACAAGTATAGAGCCTGCAATCTTCAGCTATGTTATTAAAACAAGAAAAATGTATTTACCAACACCATGTTCTGCAATAAATTGCATTGAAGATCCCCTTAAGGTGGAAAATTTTGGCATTGTAATGAATGGCAGTGGATGAGCAATGGTGGACTATAACATTTCAAATCATGTAATGGTCCTCTGATGGACAAGCCAGGAAGAGGGGGAACTTATAACCTGGTGAATATATCATGGACAGGATCCAATGTGGGTGAGAAGTGGTGGCACAAACCAACTGTAATCCTTGTTGGTGTCATGGGATACTGAATTAAGATGAAATTTTCATAAATTCTGAGTAAAATATGTTTGAAGTTGCCAATAGTGTAAAAGAGTCATAGTTACTGACATTCTGCAGAGGATATAAAGCTGAGAGTGACATTTCATAGAGGTATGCACCTACATCCTTGAAAGGTGTTATTAAGCAAACACTCAAATATAGTCATCAAGTATCCTACCATCTATTCAACATCAACATCCCACTCAACAAGCACAATGCACAAGACTCACTTCCTAATATCCAAAGTATAACAGGGTGGCAAGTAAGTTCAGCAGCAGGTATCAACATGGTCAGCAAACATCTACCACTACCTGCCATGATCACACTCACAAGCTATGACCCCAAGTAGCAGGGATCAAGGTCAGACTCAACATGCAACAACCTGCCTTGACCCCACTTACATGCTTCAAACCCCAAGTCCAGCAGCATGACAGTGAATTATTATCACCATGCATCCACCACCTGCCATGATTCCTGGAAACTCACAAGCTGAGTCCAAGTCCAACAGGGCACCAGTGAATGAAGTCAGCATGCATCTACTGCCACTTGCAGTCACTCCACTCACTCCCTATGAAACCAAGTCCAACAGGGTGGTATTGGACATGGTCAGCAAGCATCCCCACCTCCAATATGACTACACTCACATCCTATGAACCCAAACCAACAAGTTGAAGTGATCATCAACACCATCATCCATGACTCTACTCACTGGCTATGAACCCCAAGCCAACAAGGTAGTGGTGGATGCTCAGCCTTATGTGTCTGCCATTACCCACCATAATATCACTCACTCGCTATGAACCCAAGTCCATTGGGGTGCAGTGAATGAGTTCAGCATGCATCCACCATCACCTAGCAAGGCTCCACTCACTTCCTATGAACTCCATACCAACAGGGCCACCACAAGGTCAGTCAGCTCCACCACCATCTGTCATGACTCTACTCACATACTGTGATCCCCAAGTTCACCAAGATGACAGTGAGGACATGATAAACATGCATCCACTACTACCCACCATGACTCTACTCACTTCCTACAAGCCCAAACCAATAGGGCAGTAGTGAATGTGGTTGGCATGCATCTATCACCAGCTTTTATGACTCTACTCACTTCCTATGAGCCCAGGACCAACAGGGTGCAAGTGAACAAGGTCAGCAAGCATCCACCACTACCTACCATGACTCCACCCACATACTATAAACCCATGACCAACAAGGTGGCAGTGTACAAGGTCAGCAAGTATTCACCACCACTTGCCATGACTCCACTCACAAGCTATGAGTCCAAGACCAATGTATGAGGTCAGCATGAATGCACCTCCCCCAGCAATGACTCCACTCACAAACTTTGAACATAATGACCCATGGTCAGCATATGTATGTACATACATCCTCCTCCACCTGTGATGACTCCACTCACTTCCTATGAACCCCAACCAATAGGGTGTGAATATCATCAGAAAGCATCCATCATCTCCACCACTATGACACCACTCACATACTATGAAACAAGCCAGCAGAGTAGAAGCAAACAGGGTCAGTATGGATCCACAACCAACTTTAATAGCTCAACTCACTGGCTATGAATCAAAGTCCAATAGTGCAATGGTCAGCATGTATCACCTGCCATGGTTTTACTCACATTCTATGCACCCACATGATAGTAGTGAACATGACCATCATTCCACCATTTGTTACTTTTGATGGCTCCACTCACCTCCTGTGACACCAAGACCAACAGGGTGGCAATGAATGAAGTCATAAAGCATCCACTGCTACCAACTAAGTCTTCACTCACATCCTATGAACCCAAATTGGCAAGAGACATGATCAGCATACATCCCAAAATACCTGTTCTCATTCCACTTACTTCCTGGAAACCCAAACCAACAGGGTAGTGAAAATTATCATAAAACATCCACCATCATGCCACCACAGCCCTACTAGCATGCACAGCAAATGCTTTGAGTAAGGAAGGGCTGCAAGAGCTCATCATATCAACACAGCAATCTAACCTGGGACTGTGCATTGAATTTGCTATAATGAAGTAAGTGGGGAAGTTTAACACCTAGAGTGTATTGACAGGTGCAAGAACATTGAAGAAGTGGATGGATAAGATGGCTGGCAAGATTATACCAGCTCTCCTGACATCTATGCTCTCAAGATGGTTTCCATTTGTAAGGAACAGCATGTTCTATGAATGAGAGCTCATTATTTAATAGAAAGTTGGTGAAGTGGTGAAAGTTGCTGCTTAACCATGCTAACCATGGTTGCTGTCTTGTTGTTGGCCTTTGCTGATAGTATGTGAGTGGAGTTATGGTGGGTGATTGTAGTGGATGTATGTATGCTGACCATGTTCACTACTGTCCTGTTGGACCATGGGGTCAAAGTTTGTGAGTGAAGTCATGGCAAATGGTGTGGATGCATGCTGACCTTGTTCACTACTAACCCATTGGACTTGGGTTCATAGGATGTGAGTGGTGTCATGGCCAATGGTGATAGGTTCATGTTAACCTCATATGCTGCCACCCTGTTGGATGTTGGCTTATAGCTTGTGAGTGGAGTGATGGCAGGTAGTAGTGAATGCATACTGAGCAAGTTTACTGCCACCCTATTGGACTTGGGTTCATAGCTTGTGAGTGCAGTCTGCATCTTCTTCATCCATTCCTGCAGTGATTTCCTATGTCATCTGACAATCCCAATGTAACATATGTATGGAGTACCTACTACTGAGTGACAAATAGTCATGAGGTGGAAATTCAAGGTTATTCAACCAATTCTTGAGCTTCACAATATAATTGCTCAGAACTTCTTCCATTTCTTTTGCCCTTGTTGCATCATCTACATCAAATCCTTGGTCCTCAAGCTGCTCAAAGACCTCAAGCTCCAAAGAATCTGCCTTTGTTGACAGCAAAATCACAGGAACTGTAGAAACACCAGATTTGTAAACTAAAATAAGTTTATAAAAATATACACACACCATGCCCTGTATCACACTCATCAAAAAACTTTCTTTCAGCAGCTGTAATCATTCTATGACTCTCATTCATTGGAACACAAAACCTAAACCAATCACCAGAATCATGTCAGTTCACTGATAGTGAGGCACTGTGGGACTCATGGTGGTAACCTTACCAAATGGCATGTATTCTCTCATCTAGTTTGGGTGTCCTGGCACGATCCAGCACAAATTTCTTCATCATGTCAAACTGCTTTTCACTTCCAGCCTCAAATCCACATGAGTCATGGAATATAAACTGTGGATGACTCCGAAAGATCAGCTCATCCTCAATGTTATGTTCACCATGCTGGATACATTAAACAGTAAGTTAGATGACAAATGGGAGGTGAACTCACTGCCAGTGAAGCCTGGACTACATTGGCATCCAGCTAGTCATACCCCAGCAGTGTTAATCTCAAGCAAGAATGACAGATCATGCATACCTTCCATCCTTCTCTATTAACAATTTCCGGTTCATCTATAGTGTTACAAACCCTCTGCAAAATTGTTGTTTTACCTGCATTTGCCCTGCCCATAACAAGAATGCGAAAGTGACGAATGCGGTCAACATGTTGTTTAGCTTTCACAGGATCTAGGCAATAGGCAGGCTGGGAAGAGGGAAATTCTGGTTATTAATGTTAGACCTCCATCATCCATCATAGAGACAACACTGCCCATGGGTACTTCTCCAGCACATCCAGGGAGAGAACATGAACTAGTAGATTGGCTCTCCACGCCAGTCATCATAGGAGCAGCGGTGCTTGCACTGTTTGGTAAAGAACCTGGGCACGCCAATTCAGTAGATACGTGACAGAACATGAAAGAATCTGTGCATCTACCTTGAGCGGAGATGGGATCGGGATCATCCACACTGCTGGGGCTAGGCAGAGAACGCGGACAAATGATTCCGAGTGACGTGGCAACACAGACGTCTGCATCGTCTGCTGGTGCGGCTAGTCGAGTAGATTCAGTGCTAGCGAGAGCACTCAGGTCGACTTCTTCGTCGCTCCGAGCCCGAGCAAGCCGCCGCCATAAAGACCATAATGCGCTGAAACATCCAGGAGCCATGGAGAACGAAAAGACAGGTTCTTAGAATTCTCTGGAGAGCAGTAAGTATACTATTCCTTACAGTGCAACCGGCAGCACACAGCAGTTGGCAGTCACAAGAAAGTCACGACCAGTCACGCATGCTGAATATTAGCTAGCAAGGCATTAGAGTAGTATTCGTAGCAGTATGTTCTAATAAATTAGTTCCGTGATGGCATCCGACCTTAATTGCCTTAATGTGAGCTCTGAACCTTGAGGGATGGAGTGGGGTAGCTGAAGTCCACAACCACGACCTCCTGTGCAGGGGTAAGGATCTGTAACTTGGCATCAGAATCTGCATCAGCCTGGTGAACTCCCAAGCATCGATCGCTAAGTGTGTCCCATATTTGGTACTAGCCGTGGACAAGGAGGTGCAGGGAGGCCTTGAAGCAGACAGGACGAGTGTGATGGGGACAGATTTTAGAACAGAGACGGAGGAAGAGAATGGTAAGTCCTTTTTATATCACCCATTGCCTAATGTTTCTTGGTGTTGATCATGACAGGTCACTATTTTCATTTCATTTTTTCAGATACTTGTCAAATGCCACCTTTGCCAATGCCAGATTTGCTGGATCCCACAACGGTATCTCACCTCGCATCTGTACCATGCTTAAGCCTTCCCACACGATGTTGTGATCCAGCATCACATACAGTAATGGACTGGCACTTGCACCACCCACCAGCACTTGCATCAATATGAAATACAACACCACACACACACACACATGAAAACATCTGTATAGTGTATGTAGCAATGATATATTATAGTAAGGAGCAATGTTATACAAAGAAATGGATTGTTTTATTGTGGGATGTTTCACAATGCTCAAATCAAAGTGTAAAATCTGCAGTTTTTTGAGTATATCACTGGTGGGTGTACCAGCACTTGTCACACTACTCTGGAATTGTCATATGTTGTTCATTACAGTATCACCTACAAGCATGTGCTACAACTACATATGATCTGCACACATGAGACTTGCCAGAGGGATGCCAGTGAAGCATGTCCTTTATGCTTGTATCACACCTTTATCAGGGCACTAAACTTAAAATGGTGACAAGCAATTAAGCGACGTCCACAAGAAGTCATGCAATAGAGCTGAAAAGTTTTTGATCTGCCAGCATGCCAGGCCATGCATTGTCTCAGACAAAGAAGAAGCAGATCCAATCTGAGTTGCGGGAGGAAGCCATTGCCCAGGCTGTTCAGCTATGCAAGGAAGAGGAGGAGAAACCAGATGCTGAAAGGGCAAGTGTCCATGCAATCTGCCATAAAGTAGAAGAAGAATGGAGACAGAAACAGAAATATGTAAGGGTAAGTAGGGACACAGTACAGCGATGACTGCAGGGTGGAAGGAGTTCCCATCAGTTCAACATGGAAATGAATGCCTGGCTTACTGAAGAAGAGGAGAAGAACATGGTCACATTCTGTCTCGACTATGCAGCACGAGGTTTCCCACTCAATCACAATTCACTATGACTCCATGTCAACACAATCTTGCATACACGCCTTGGAGAGAGATTCCCAGAGTCAGGGGTTGGCCTGAATTGGACAGATTGCTTTGTCGAACGACATTCTGCCCAGTTGGGTCGATACTGGAGTTCATCACTTGATTCCAATTGTTGTCATGCTGTCAATGCAAACACACACCAGGAATGGTTCAAACTTCTCAGGGATACAATGGAGATGTACCAAATCAAACATGATTGCCTATGGGCAGCAGATGAGACAGGCTTCCAACTGGGTGGAGGGGTCAAAGAGCAGGTGTTGGGTCCTGCAGGGGCTGAACTACAACACCAGCAACATGATGGGAATCATGAAAATATTACTGTCATGGTGACAATCTGTGCTGATGGAGAGGAGTTACCACCTACTGTGATTTATAACGGTCAACACTTCTCAACAGAATGGCACCAAAATAATACCTTGAATGCAAGGTTAGTACTGTCAAAGACTATTCTAGTGGCATCACACTGACTCGAAGCCTTCTCAGCATTGCGCACTCCCCAAAAGGCTGGACAGACGGAGTAATTGGGCGTCTCTGGATTGAGGACTTTGATCAGAAAACCCATGCCAAGGCAAATGGCCATGCCCATCTTCTGCTTGTTGATGGACACAATTCACATTACACAAAAGAATTCTTAGATTATGCCAGGGAAGACAACATTCATGTACTCTGCTACCCAGCCCACACCACACACATCTATCAAGGGCTAGATGTGGGTATTTTCAGAGTGCTGAAGCATTACTGGACCCTTGAATGTGATCAGTATATGAAAGACACACATCAGAAGGTTGGAAAGGGAAACTTCTTGGCCATCTACTCCAGGGCTCACCAAAAAGCCCTCACTCCAGAAACAATTCGGGCAGCATTCTGGAAGACTGGGGTTTGGCCACTAAACCCTAATGTTGTGTCAATGGAAATGATGGCACACAGCCACGAAACATCAGCCATCAGCCACATGCCCCTCCCACAGTCAAGTCCTGTCTGTGCAGTATCAAAGGCTATCTATGAATATCAACTTCAACAGCACACATCAGGTGGAGAATCACCAGATGCACAGTGGCATCTAGTGGCTCATGAAGCTACAGAGGCACTTGCATCAACATCAGCATCATTTCTCATGGACAAAACACCCCTTACCTCAGCAGATCAGCTGCCCATGTACCAGCCCTCACCATTGACACCTACTCGAAAGTGGAGACATGCACTGTTAGATCGAGAGCCAGAAAGTGAACTGGAGCACATGTACCAAGAAGCCATGCACCAATCATTTGCTCAGGAAGACCAATACAAGGCATCCACTATTGAGATGCAATCTGTGCTTGTGCTACAGTCCATGCACTGCAACAGAGTTATGGGTCAACTAGCTGCCCAGGAAGAAAAGGAGAAGGAGAAGAAAAAACGGAAAGGAAAACTTATGGGTGATGGGTTACCTAGGCTACTGACTGGGGATGCATTCTACAACCATGTTCTCGAGTTTGAAAAGGCAGCTGCAGAGGAAGAAGTTCAGCAAGAAAACAGGAAAAGGCAGAAGGAAAGTCGAGCTGAGGCACTGGAGGTGTGGAGAAAGGCAGATAAGGAGCAGTGACAGCATAACAAGGCCCACAATGAGGCATACCAAGCAGAACTCAAATGCTGGAAAGCAGAGAGGGACTTGGCACGGGAAGAAAAACAGCAGCCTCATTGGAATCAACCAAAACAAGGAAAACTTGAAACACCTTTAACTAAGCCTATGGCCAAGAGCACAAACAACAGTGAGGGCAGGGATGGGAGTGAAGTCGACGATGATGAAGGCAGCAAGAGCGAGGATGAACATTAGATAATCAGCAATGGGATAATCAGTGTCACTTAGAGCTATATATTACATAATACAGATTTACTGTTTTTGGTGCGGCGCAAGTGGTGGTGCAGAGGCGATAAGAAACCAAAACTTTGCCACCTTCCACAGCACAGAAAACATTCCTGATATACTTCAAAATTCATATGGAGGTTACCAAAGTATATAATAATGTATTCCCCATTCATGATTTATGTATATATTGTGTTGTAATGAAATACGAGCCAACTAAAATTTGTTGGTGCAAGTGCCGGTCCATTACTGTAATCAGACCAACAAATGATCAGCGAAATCAACTAATGGTTCTCTTAGAGCACGATTCCCTAGCTATGCTTAGTAAGGCATGTCTCCAACATCCCCTGGCATTTCAATATCATAGTACCATCAGAACAGATTTGTCCCAGATCATGCTCCTTGCAGATGGATTCCATGCCAGCCACATCATCTGGCCTCCATATACCTCTCTCCTGCTTAAGTCAAGTGGATATCGCGCTTCACCTGTTCTCCCTGCCCAGTTGAAATCAATTATCTTGAACGTCTTTCCATTGTGTGACACCATGACATTCACATCATGAATATCGCCATGGAAGAAGCCTGCAGTGTAAAACGCCTCCAGTTTCTCGTTGAATTCATCCATGACAGACCCGGTAGCGGGCTGCTTGCATAGCGTCACATAGTTGGAGAGCATATTCACGACCACCATGGTCGTGCTGCCTGGGATCTCTACGGAAGCTCACGGGGTTGGTGTACATCCTAAAGACTTGAAAACATGGTGTACTTCGGGCACATCTGATGCCGATCTCATCATCATTGCGTTTAACAGTCCCGAAAAATAAGCATTTGTCAGGGTTAGACATCTTCTGATATTAGAGTTCTTAGGTTTTTTTGCCATCAGCAGTTGTTGGATAACTCATGGGGTGCAGGAACATATAGGGGCAGCCGCTGAGGAGGGGGGTTTAATTTTGCAGACTAGGGATCTTTGTTGTAGTATTTCTTCAGCAACTAGAGAGCTTTCCAACTCGAGTCGACTTGCCTCCATGTAGTATGACAGAGCTTGAGTATATGGCTTGGAGGATGTACTCGAAGTCTCGTTATAGGTTTGGACAACCAAATAATGATGATCACTGGCACACAACTCACCATCCACCTCGAAATTCTTGATCTTGGTGCTGGTAAGGTCCGAACCACAGTATTTTTTTTTTGGCAAACTGCCTTCATGTGCTTGGTTCATACTCATAAACCTCCATCATCAAGTCTGCAAAGTTCTGACCAAACATATGGTCCTCACATGCATATTGGTAATTTAGACAGTCATCCAAGAACTAGCCAAAATCTTCATGTGGTAGCGTCAGAGGGATAGTATCAGCTGCCTCTTGAGAGCAGGCACAGGTATGGTTCAGCATTCGAGGTGCTGGTGCTCCCGAAATGATGTTATACTTAAGGAAATGGAAGGCACTGCCTTGGGATTCTGACTGAAGAACGTCTTTCCATACGACTGCAGCAGCACGATCTTCCATGGTGGGAGGATATGGGAGTGGAGCTGGTATCCCTGGACCTGGGAATCAATATGGTTCGACGAGAAGTTGAGATCACTTACTTTCAGCATACCAAACATCAGAAGCGATCAAAGGCATATCTTTAAGTAAATGGAAGATCCCTAAAAGTTTCCGATATCGTTTTGCTCCTAAGGAGCAAAGTACCCCTGTACATTTTTTTCCCTTTAAATTCGAGACGACGCTCGAGACAGAACATAGCGCAAGCAAGACAAGGAGCACATCGCTCAGGGATCACATGTATTTTCTTGATCATGGCCTTGAGAGCATCGACTGTTTGATCTGAATGGATTACAATCCCGAGACCTAGCGTGGACACATATTGTGCGCGAACTCCAAGTTGCTGTTTTGCAACCAGCATGCAATTTTAATTACACCATCATAGTCCAGAGGAATAAAGTATGGATCATTATCGCCGCACAGCAATTACAAGTGCCACAGACCAACAATGATTCACGAAGTGAAGGTGAAATTCGTCTTCCAGTGGTGTTGAGTTAAAATGGCTTACATCAGTAAAGTATACATTTATTCCGAAAAATTTGCAGGTGGCTGTGCTTACAGCCACTGCAAATTTCGCTGACTAAGCGGAAGGCGTGCATGCGAGAAAGTGAGGGTTGGGAGACTTGTGGGCTGTGCACAACCCTTGCCTGTACATCTGTACTCAATTCAATGCTACTGGAAGCCACTCTATGTCAGCCATGTAACTATTCACGAAATAAATGGGTATTCTGTGAAGAGACCCGCCCAAATTTGCTAGATGAGTGGTGTTCGGGCATGGGAAGCGGTCACGTGATCATGCCTCGCATGTGGCACTTGCGCTTCGGGCTTGGCTGCACGCATGCGAACATGCGCTCGCAAAAAAATTGGCACGGGCCACCCTCCTGCCTGGGAAAATTTGCTTATCTGGCTGCAAATTTCCCAGTGCTAAGTCACTTAGCACACTTTACAATGGATTTTGCACTTTACAACCCATTCCTGATGCAAATTTCCCACTTTTCGTTGGTTAAGAGCATAGATAAACATGTGTAGGACATGAACAGAGTGCCTCGGCACCCTCCCAAGCCATCCCACCCAAGCCCTGACATTGCAATGCCTGGCAGGGCCCACTCGAATGCTCGAACCCCCTCCCCACCCACCCGCCTGAGGGCAGCCTTTCCTTTTAAGGAAGTTCCCACAGCATCACCACCTGCAAATTTTTTGAACTAAGTACATGTATCATAAATGAGAGACTGACAGAGTTGAGCCATCAAATGTCAGGCCAAATCCTTGCCACAGGACTTGGGCTGGGCAGATCTACATAATTGAAACAGAGTTCAAATAAACACATTGTCCTCCCAAGGATGATTCATCGTCGTCAGATTGCCTAGACTTGTAGTGAGAAGTAGATGAACCAGTAAGCTTTGGAAATCAGCAAGTAGCAATGCCAACTGTATACTGTGTACATGCATGGAAAGTGATGGAGTATCATTAAGACATCTGCAGAAAAGATGTTTGAAGAGGACATTCTCATCAACACCTTGATGGCATCATAAACAACCAATTGCTTCTCCATAAACATACTGGATCCTCTCCATCCCCTCTACACTTCCACCTTCACAGCCACTGTTGCTGCATCCTTCTGCAAATTTGCACCCAAAGCAAAACACTCCTCATAATATATGCATTCCTGAGGATTTGTCAGCCCCTTATCCCAACAAAAATCAAAAACAGGACATCACCTGCAAGGGGCCTGTGACCAGCCAAGCACGACATGCTCTTGTCTGATCACACGATATACGAAGATACCATTTGAAACCTCGCTGGATTCAGATTCTTTGGTGGAAGACATATCCTGGCATTTTTTTGACTTGTGTTTATGTTTCTTTTTTCTGTCTTCCTCCTCTTCCTCCTCTGAAGATGAATCACTATGTTTACTCTTGCACTTCCTCTTCTTTGACAATTTTGCAGAACTTTCTTCATCGCTGTCCTTGTCTCTCTTTGACCATTTCTTCCATCTCTTCGCCTTTGACCAATCCTCAGATTCACTGTCTGAATCACTTTTGGAGTCTTCTTTTGTCCTCCACCATTTGCACTTGCTCGACTCTTTGGTCTTGCTAGAACCACACTTATGCTTCTTCAAACAAGAGCAGTCATCCTCACTCAATTCAGATTCCAAGCCGGAACCACTTCCTTCAGAATCAGACAGAAGATTCCAGGCACCAGCACTGAATGCAGGAATCTGTGGTGTCATCAGCGAAAGAACTCAACATGGGACAATGAAGCAAGGCAAATTGTCACACCTTTTCAATCTCACCATCGAGCTCCAATACTCTTAAGAGCATCTCTACATGCTCAACTCCCAACTCTGTCTCCATAATCTTACTCTTGCTGAGGAAGTGTTGTATTTGTTGTGTGGATGGGTAAGATGAAGCTGCACCTATCACGTATAAACATATTTGATTAGGTGAAACATGTTTTCTGTTCTGTTTCAGAAATGACTGGTGGGAAAATGTGTGAGTCTCCCCAAATATGCAGATAAAAATAGAAACCCTATGCAGTCACAGATGTAATGGAGACATGCAGAAGATAAAAGCTTGATAAACTCAGCATCTAGTTCATTGTCAGTGTACCAGGGACCACCCATGAGTTCTACCAATGGCTCCAGGTGAGCAAGCATGTATATCTTGTGCATTGGGTGCTGGTGTATGCATATGCATGGTACCATCAGTTGTCCATTCTTCACAAAACGAGTATTTTCAGTGGGATCATCTACATACTCAGATAGCTTTGGTGGATTTGACGAGTTGTTTTTGGACTAGGGATTTCAGACAGCGATCGATGACAGTCTGGTGCAGTTCGGTCTTGGCTTTTAGGTGTTTCGTCCATATTCCTGCAATGATCATTCAATGTGTAAGAAAGATGATCTATGAGGAACTTCTGCTCCATCACACCTTCATTTCTGGATGCTTGGATGTGGCTGAGGACCATAGCTTCTTCGGGCATCATGTCCTTCTTTCTGAGACAGACAGATAAGAGAACACAACACATAAAGTAGTAGGTGACCACACACATTTCTATCTCATTCTTTGCCACAGCTCGGAATGCAGTTACCCCACCAGCACTGGCCATAACCTTGAACATCCCCTGCACTGTCCAATCAGGAAGGCACACAGAAGCTGTTTAGAGGAATGTTTACCGTCCCGAGCAAAAAGTTGATGGCAGCCATGCAAGCAGCTGCATCCGGTACAACCTTGTCAGCATCTTTCACTGCAAGTATCTGTTGAATGAAGATCTTTCATTATGACACGATTTGGGTAGGGGATTTCTGAGGGGATTGGCTGACCTTGTCGTGTGCTGCGAGAGCAGCTTGATGGAGCTTGAGCTCATCCGCGCTGAGCTTTCGGCCACTCATCTTGCTGTATGTGGATGTCACCGAGACTTGGTAGTAGTAGAAAATAATCACGTGACAGTTACCAGTTGAGATCGAGGCGCCGATCAAGCAGTGCTGGTGAAAACATTCACCGTGGCCCGACCGCCGTCTCCACGTCCACCACGGCGACATGGCCGATCGCAAATGGGGCGAACAAAAAGATGTTAACGAAAGCCTTTCGACATACTTTGAAAGGTGCACGGAGCTAGTGCGACAATATGCGGACGTGTAAGTCCATTCTCATTACGCCACGGTTGACTATCGTGATTAACGGAGTTTTTGCCAGGATCGAGCAAAACTATGCACGTCCAGCCATAGCAATTGGGATTAGAAAGTTCGAAGAGAAACCTATAATGATGGTTCGTCCACTTCGCTGTCATCGACGTCGTTTGCTGAATCCCTGTAGACATTCGTTACCGTCCTTTCTATCCTTGCTATTCTGCCAATATTGTCGTTCGTGTGCGTACACATTCCGTGCTGCCTATTAATGCTGACAAGCTTCTAGCGGGATATCTATCTTTATCATTTCGTCTATCGTATTCGTCGCTGCCGCGTCTGCGATCACGGCTTCCCTCGTGACCGAGTCAGTCATCGGTATGTTCAGGCAGCGTATAGCCCTACAACTATCTTTTTTTAATCTAACGCTCCAACCATACAGTGTCGATCGGGATATGCACGCTGTGCTCGCTCGTTCTCGTTGCAGTCTTTGCGACGACTTTCTTACTTTCTTTATATTCGGTCTTTCGATTTGTCTTGCTGGTACGGTCCAACGGTCGGTCTGGTATCACGGAGTGGGTTATGGAGACGAGACAGCACTTGTTACTACCCAGACGAGTGGAAGAAGAATGCGAAGGACCGAATGGGCCCGATATCACCGAGGTTCAGCATCACATACCTGACCATGCAAGCCTGACCGATGACTGGTCCCAGGAGATTGATTGAATCAGTTGTGGTTTTCTACTGATGCTATTCTCGGGCTATGCTAGCATGTTTCAAACATACCCTTGGATTTTAATGTTATGAATGCGCTCCTCGGCTATAATACTAACATCCGCGTGCATCCAGGCCAAGAGTGCAGTGAATACCGCAGATCCTAGCTCAGGTGTTGATCTATTAAAATACTACTAGTGAGAATGTTATTAATGCATCGTGGCGTAAGTTAGACAAGTTGCACACGCACTAGTCGGTGAACTAGGTGGGTCCGCCTGCCCTCGAAACGACCGCCGGCGAGAAGCATCGAGTGCTTTCAAAGAGCTTCCTCCAGATGCACTAAGCAAACAAGATCACGGCTTACTGACAGATACCATGTAAACTGGTTCCCCGAGAGCCTGAAGCTTAAATCTGTCACTAGTTTGGCCCAGCGGGCAAAGGGTCTTGGTGGCTGGAAGCCGCGGTACGGCCAGCCCGGAGTGACCCAAGACATCGAGGAGAGTACCAGTGAGACGGGGATCGGCTGCTGGGATCGGTGGAGGATGGACGAGTTCCGGTCCGAACCGGCGAGGAATCCAACTGTGCGACTTACGTAATTCACGGCGCAGTGATTCCGAGTTGTACTTCATACGCTCCTACTCGCTAATTAGCTGGCGGATTGTTGCCCCGTAGTCTCGCCCTAAACTCCATACTGACTGACTCATCCCAGAAGGCTATCTCTGTATCCTTCCGGGACGAGTCTCTCAGTTGGGTTAGAGACTAGTAGAATTGAAAGAGTCCGCGGAACATATCTTGAAGCTTGAAGCGTTGGTGACATTTGTATTGACGTTCGCGGTCGTCAGTAAGGAACTTGTACGGTAAAATGCAGACCAGCCAACTGGTCGCAACTGATCAACGTTTTACTATACAGCGTCACCAACTGTGACTTTGTGATCCATGCTCCTCATCAATCGTTCCGAAATCTCGGTCCACATTCCATGTCTCCGCTCCGATACGCTCCTACATTCCGAAGCAAGCAAGGTCCCCTGGCAGCAAGCGCGGCCTCTGTACCGAGTTGTCGGCAGCAACGCCGTCCCCTAAGTAGTTCAACAAGGTCCGTGCTGTATCCCCCCCACATTCTCTGCCTTCGCTCCTCGCATGTCAGTCGATACGACGGTGGGCAGTCCTGGCTGGATTCTCTTCTACCTGTGACGTGAACTTCCTCGTGTCCCAGGGGGAAGACAATCCACCTAGTATCAATACCATAGTACCACTCCAGGAAGTATTATCCACCTAAACTGGTTCAACCTCAAATAATCCATCCTTCGAGCTTCAAGGTTTGTTTCTTCTCCATGTCTCGAACCTTTTTACCGCTCGCACCCCCCGATGTGGAGTCAATTTCATTGGACAAGCCAACTATCTTCGGATCACGTGTGTGAGGCTGTCCATAGTATTTAGTATTCCCGAACTGACATGTTTCGATTCTATATCCTCATACCTTGACAGCTCTAATTTTCACTTTTCGAACTTCCACCGCCAACCTTGTGCCCGGTTGGACGTTTGGATCCGTCATGCAACCTGACAAACGTGGCGGCGGCTTTCAAAACAATACTTTTCGTAACACACGAACAGATACGTTCACGCCACGATGAGTTCACAGAATAATGAAATGGGATACTGGCGCAACCTCGCGATGCGGCGGGGACATCAAAGACTTGACCCCAACTACGTTAACAATGCCATAAGAGACATACGCGAAAACGACCTTCGCCACAGCGTTTATGATATTCATCAAACCAGGCAGCCTCGTACGCCACACTCCTATCGTACTTTTACCCCACACCTCCCTCGTACTCATGCCTCGTATGTCCCTCAAGGAAACGATCCTCATCTCCATGCACACACCCAAACTCGTGCACAATTCCTGAGACCAGTTGTGACCCCTGTTATTCCCTTCAGTGAGATACGTGATACATTCTCCCATCCGCCTTTTACCTGGGCGGATTAACCCTCTTCAGGAATCCATTTCCATCTGCTACTCCAGCCTCTGGATCATCGTCCGCCGCGGCCCTACCGACAGCAACACAGCTCGCATACACCTGCCTATCATAGAGCGACGGAGTTCGACTCTGCTCGTCCTTCACACACACCCCAGCATGCTATGCCGCCACCTTTGGATGAAGGAATTCGGATCAATCCAAATACGTGGCTCTAATTCCCACAACTTTTGACGCCACATGTTTTGGCAATGACAGAACCAACGTTATCGAATCACCGTCCACAACGGCGTCCGCCATTCGCCCATAACACCTCAGGGACGCGGGTGCCACCGCAACGAAGTCTTGCACCCTCCCCCGGGGCATATACGTTCCGTTTTCCTCCCCATCCACTATCCCACCCACACCCATATTACTCCTATGTGCCAGCGGGAATGTTCCGGGCCGGAAATATCATATTTGGACAAGAATCTGCGTCGGCACGACAGAGATCTGCACGTCCATGAGCCACAGCACCAGTGCAACCACTGGTACCTGATCTACACACGGCAGCCCAACTACCGGGTGGATGGCCGTTCACTGGGCCATCTCCATGGCGGCCCCCATGGGTACCGGGTGTTACACCTGGTTTGAGTAGCATCCCACAATGGACTCCAGGCACCTGGCCACCATTTCCGTGGCCCACCGAAGTTCCTGTCCGACTCACCCCATGGCTCATTCCCAACCCTGTAAATTCTGGTGCTCCCCAGATAAAACGGGACATGAGTACGCGTCCTATGACGGCTCGACGTATCACCGGTGCACGTGTTATTCTGCCCTAGACTCTAGACTTGCGAGGGGGTGGAAGCGCAGGCGCTGGAATAGACCACGTACCAGCGACCTTACCCCCGTCTGACAGAATTCTCGTGCTATGCGATGTTGGCTTCATGAGCCAATTCTGGGGCCCGATCGTCATCGAACGACCAGGGAGGAAGTGCCACGATACGTGACCTTCTGAAAGGTATCTATGCATTCTTCCAGACGCGCCTTGCGCGTGCGGAAGTGGAGCATACCGTCTCTCTTGGATGAGACAATTATCATTTATTAGTGGATGCTTATCGGCGGAGGACGACACAGAGACACTTGGGAGTGCTGAGAGATTGGGAGTGGAGGGATGGGATGAGGATGGTGGATTGTCTTGGGGATAAGACGTGGTGATGGGGTGTGTGGGTGGCTTATAACCCGAATGGGACGTGGCAGTTAAACCTGGGACTCGCGAACCCACACACTGGAATACATGACCTGTGCTTTCATCAGAGAGGTGCATGTCGGTGTGCCACGTCGAGCATGCACGAACCACTGAAAACCATTTCAACTGTCCCTGGCATACCTATTGATGATGATGACCTGTGATTAGCCCGCAGCGATGATTGTAGCTGCCTGTGGGGTATTCTGTTGCTGGCAGTGATGCAAATCCTGAATGTGCATCGTTTTTTTTTTACAGATCACCAGACTTCGTACTTCCACTATTTTGTACATCGCTTTCGCTGCATATTCCGCCATTCATACAGTCGTTCAAATATCCACCAGGTCATATTCTCCTTGGCGTCGTGCAAGATGCCTCTCCACCTCCCCACGACACGGACGCCCCAGTCGATGCTAATTCCCCCTGGTTGCCGATCGTGGTTGGACTGTCTTTCATTATGCGACGTGAACTTCACATCCCAGAAGAAAGACAGTCCAGTGATTATCAACACCATAGCATCACCCCAAGAAGTAGTATCCCCCAAACTAGCTTTGGCGCTACTCGACATCAAACAACCGGTCTTTCCAAGGTTTTCTCACCTGTCCTCTGTTCTCCCCGTTTGGAGCCCGAATCTTAGTGCCACTCGCTGCTCAACGGCGCCATCCGACACACAATCGATTCGATTGGCAAAGTTAAACTCAACGACCCCGGCCTCGTGATGCAGTGTGTAGTAGGCGTCGAAGGCTGATGCAAACCGCAAATGTCCCTCCTCTTATGCATGTTCTGCGTCTTCCTTTTCAGCACACCGCAACCTATTTGCACTACTGTATGAATGGCGGAATATGCGACGAAAGCGATGTACAAATGGTGGAAGTACAAGATTCGGTGATCTGTAAAAAAATTATGCGCATTCGGGAATTGCATCACCAGCAGTAGCAACAGCATACCTTGCAAGTGACTGCAATTGTCGCTGCAGGCCAATCACAGGTCATCGCCATCATCAATAAATCTGCCAGTGATGGCCGAGAAGGTTGTCAGCTGTTCGTGCATGCTCAACATAGCGCACCGACACGCACCTTCCCCATGAAAGCGCTGGTCATGTATTCCAGTGCGTGGGGTTCGCGAGTCCCAAATTTAACTGCCATGTCCCATCCGAGTTATGTGTTACCCACACCTCCCACCACCACCTCCGATCCCCAAGACAATCCACCCTCCTTATCCTATCCCTCTCATCCCGATCTCTTAGTACTCCAGATGGTCTTTGTGTCACCCTCCTCTGATAAGCATCTAGTGGTAAATGATAATAGTCTGGCCCGAGAGGAGGAGATATGCTCCTCCTCTGCACGTGAAAGGTGCATCTGGAAGAATATGTAGATACCTTCGAGAAGGTCACGAATCGTGACTCTTCCTCCTGGTCGTTCGATGACGATCTGGCCCCAGAGTTGGCTGATCCAGCCAACGTCACATAGCACAAGAATTCTCTCGGACGGAGGCAATATCGCTGGTTCGCGGTCTATTCCAGTGCCCGTGCTCCCACCCCCTCCCGAGTCCAAGGGTATGATAGCACTTGCACCGGTGACACGTCGAGCTGTTGTGGGATGCGTACCCACATCCCATTCTATCTGGGGAACATTGGGATCTACAGGGTTGGGAGTAAGCCATGGGGAGAGCCGGATGGGAACCTCGGCGGGCCGTGGTACTGGTGGCCAGGTGCCTGGATTCCAATGCGGGACCCTACAGAGCCAGGTGTAACGCCCTGTGCCCATGTGGGCCATCCACTCCATAGATGGGCTTCCGTGTAGTTATCAGGTGGTTGTTGCGCAGGCGGCACAGCCCCTTGTTGTGTTGACGCGGGTTCTTGTCCAGACACGGTATTTCCGGTCCAGAAGGTATCCGCTGGCACATCGAGGTGGGGTAGTGGACGAAGAGGAAAACGGAATGCATATAATCCGGGGGTGGTTGCAGGACTTCGTTGCGGGGCTCGCCACGTTTCTGAGGTGTCATGGGCGAACGGCGGACTCCATTGTGAATGGTGAATTAATAGCGTTGGTTCTGTAACCCATATTAGGATATGTGGCGTCGAAAGCTGGAGAAACTAGACCCACGTACCTGGATTAATCTGAATTCCTTCATTCAAGAATGGTGGGAAAGAGTGGTGGGGACCGTGTGAAGGATAGGGGTCGAATTCCGTTGTTCGATGGTATGCGGGTGTATGCGAGTTGTGTGGCTGTTCCTGATAAGGTGGAGGCGAGCGATGATAAGGAGGTTGTTGTAGCGAATTAGATTCGATTTCTGAGGAGGTCCGGGTATTATGTGGGAGCTGATCACGTGTCGTACTAAAGGGAGTGACAGGAGTCAACACCTCTTCTGGAGATGTGACTGGTCGACGGAATTGTGTACGAGTTTGGGTTTGGGCGCGAGGATAAGCTTCATTTCCATACGTGCCATGCGAGGTACGGGCGTGAGGGATGTGCGGGGGATAAGCATGAAGGGGATACGGGGTACGAGAGCGCCTGGTTTGATGAATACCGCCATCGCCAGGGAGGAGATCGTGTTCATATATGTCTCTTATAGCATTGTCGATGCAGTCGGGGTCAAGTATTTCGTGTCCCCGCTGCATCGCGAGGTTGCGCCAATATCTAATCTCGTCGCGCGGGTTCATTGCAGCGAGAACCTATCAACTTGCGAGTTACCAATTAGCCTTGTCGTGGAAGACGCCGCCCACGTCGGTCTGGTTGAGCTCGAGGTGGGAGGATGTTGCACGACGCCAAGGAGAATATGACCTAGCGGATACTTGCACCACTGTGTGAAAGGCGGAATATGCAGCGGAAGCGATGTACAAATCGGTGAGCTGTAAAAAAAACTATGCGCATTCAGGAATTGCATCACCAACAGCAACAACAGCGTACCTTGTGAGCGACTGCAATCGTCGCCACGGGCCAATCACAGCTCATCGTCATCATCATCAATAAATCTGCCAGTGACGGCTGAGAGGGTTGTCAGTTGTTCGTGCATGCTCAACATAACACACCGACACGCACCTTCCCCGTGAAAGCACTGGTCATGTATCCCGGTGTGTGGGATTCGCGAGTCCCAAATTTAACTGCCACCTCCCATTCGAATTATATGTCACCCACGCACCCCACCACCACTTCCTATCCCCAACACAATCCACCCTCCTCGTCCCTTCCCTCCACTCGCAATCTCTCAACACACCCAAATGTCTCTGCGTCGTCCTCCTCTGGTAAGCGTCTACTAGTAAACCATAATTGTTTGGTCCGAGAGAGGATATATGCTCCACTTCGGCACGCGTAAGGCGCGTCTGGAAGAACGCATAGATGCCTTTGAGAAGGTCACGTATCGTGACACTTCCTCCCGGTCGTTCGATGATGATCGGGCCCCAGAATTGGCTCATGGAGCCAACATCACATAGCACGAGAATTCTATCGGACGGAGGTAAAGTCGCTGGTTCGTGGTCTATTCCAGCGCCTGCGCTTCCACCCCCTCGCGAGTCTAGGGGCAGAATAACATGTGCACCAGTGATGCGTCGAGCTGTCATAGGATGCGTACTCACGTCCCATTTTATCTGGGGAACACCAAGGTTTATGGGGTTGGGAATGAGCCATGGGGCGAGCCGGACAGGAACTTCGGTGGGCCATAGCAATGGTGGCCAGGTGCCTGGAGTCCATTGGGGGATGCTACCCAAACCAGGCGTAACACCTGATACCCGTGGTAGTCGCCATGGAGATAGACCAGAGAGCGGACATGCACCCAATATATGGGCTGACGTGTAGGGGTAATACGGGTGTGGGCGGGAGAGTGGGTGGGGAGGAAAACGGAACGTATATGCCTCGGGGGAGGGTGCAGGACTTCGTTGCGGTAGTCCCTGAGTCCCTGGGGAGCTATGGGCAAATGGCGGACGCCGTTGTGGACGGTGATTCGATAATGTTGGTTCTGTCACTGCCAGGACATGTGGCGTCAAAAGTTGTAGGAGTTAGACTCACGTACCTGGATTGATCCGAATTCCTTCATCCAAAGGTGGAGGCACAGAATGCCGGGGTGTGTGTGAAGGATGGACGGAGCTGAACTCCGCCGCTCGATGATACGCAGGTGTATGCAAGCTGTGTCGACGTTGTCGGTAGGGCCGTTGCGGACGACGATCCGGAGATTGGAGTAGCGGATCGGAATGGATTCCAGAGGAGGGATAGCTTGTCCAGGTAGAAGACGGATGGGAAAGTTGATCACGTGTCGCATTGAAGGGAACGACAGGGGCTACCACCTGTTCCGGGGGTAAGACTGGCCTCAGGAATTGTGCACGAGTTTGGGTGTGTGCATGGAGATGAGGTTCGTTGCTACGAGGGCCATGCGAGGTATGAGTACGAGGGGGGTGCGGGGCACGAGATGGTCTGGTTTGATGAACGTCATGATCGCTGCGGCGAAGATCGTTTTCATATATGTCTCTTATGGCATCGTTAACGTAGTCAGGGTCAAGTCTTTGATGTCCCTGCTGCATTGCGATGTTGCGCCAGTATCTCATTTCGTCGTCCTGTAGATTCATCGTAGCGTATTCGCGTGTTACAAAAAGTATTGTTGTGAAAGCCGCCGTCCACGTTTGTCAGGCTGAATGGGGGAATCCGAATGTCTAACCAGGCGCAAAGTTGGCCATAGAAGTTCGAAATGTGAAAATTGGTGTTGTCGAGTTATGAGAATATAGAGTCAAAACATGTCAGTTGGAGAATACTGTGGACGGCATCACACACATGACTCGGGTGTAGTTGGCTTGTCCAATTAACTTGATTCTGCAACAAGTGGTGCGGTGGGCATTAACGGGCGGTACAAAGGCTCGAAACAAGGAGAAGGAACAAACCTTGAAGCTCGAGGGATGGACTGTCAGAGGTTGAACCAGTTTTGGGGATACTACTTCCTGGAGTGGTACTATGGTATTGATACTAGGTGGATTGTCTTCCCCCTGGGACACGAGGAAGTTCACGTCACAGGTAGAAGAGAATCCAGCCAGGACTGCCCACCGTCGTATCGACTGATATGCGAGGAGCGAAGGCAGAGAATGTGGGGGGGATACAGCACGGACCTTGTTGAACTACTTAGGGGACGGCGTTGCTGCCGACAACTCGGTACAGAGGCCGCGCTTGCTGCCAGGGGACCTTGCTTGCTTTGGAATGTAGGAGCGTATCGGAGCGGAGACATGAAATGTGGACCGAGATTTCGGAACGATTGATGAGGAGCATGGATCACAAAGTCACAGTTGGTGACGCTGTATAGTAAAACGTTGATCAGTTGCGACCAGTTGGCTGGTCTGCATTTTACCGTACAAGTTCCTCACTGACGACCGCGAACGTCAATACAAATGTTACCAACGCTTCAAGCTTCAAGATATGTTCCGTGGGCTCTTTCAATTCTACTAGTCTCTAAGCCAACTGAGAGACTCGTCCCGGAAGGATACAGAGATAGCCTTCTGGGATGAGTCAGTCAGTATGGAGTTTAGGGCGAGACTACGGGGCAACAATCCGCCAGCTAATTAGCGAAGAAGGGTGTATGAAGTACTAGCAACGGGGTAAGTTCGAAGTCGCATCCGAAAATCCGAACGCAACTCGGAATCACTGCGCCGTGAATTACGTAAGTCGGACAGTTGGATTCCTCGCTGATGGACTCGATGACTGCGGATGTTTCTCGACACAAATGACACTGAAGCTTCGCTGCGTATGTACCACCCTGGAAGTCTTATCGTTCTGAATGGCAGGTGTTCTACTTCCAGGTACGTTTGGATGATTGGCCGTTGCTCGTCGTTTGGCTCATCCCATAGATGCTCAGAGATATCGGAACACGGCGTCCAAGGACTGTTCCTCCCTGCTTGCGTATCTTAGGAGAGCGTACAGTCCCGCAGCGTGCAAGTGTGTGTCGGAATGTGTTGCCTCCGCAAGCTTGCACCGGTGGCTGACAGGGACAGTACATATATATATGTATCCTCCCCCCTGTTTTCTACCGTCCGCCCGGTTTTCTTTCTTCACCCACCATGTCTCCTACCCTGGTACCTGTTGTCAACGCTCGCTCGACCGTCCTTCGTCATGTCAAGCGTGCAGAGAGCCACACAGATACCTCAGTCGTCGTGCTGGCAGTCATATGCGTCGTTATTCTCACCGTGACTCTTCTTTCCACCGTACGTTACTTCTGTCAGGAACGCCGCCGGAACTCGTCATCCTCCACCGATCCCAGTAGCCGATCCCCGTCTCACTGGTACTCTCCTCGATGTCTTGGGTCACTCCGGACTGGCCGTACCGCGACTTCCAGCCACCAAGACCCTTTGCCGGCGCTCCCACCCAGAGATCCAGTTCGTCCTTGGCCTGCGACGTACCGCCCAACGTATCCCCGTGTGCACTTCGCAGATCGTCCATATTCGCATCGATCACATCGTTTTGGCGAGTATCGTCCGGGTAGTCTCGCTGTATATCGACTCAGCGGCCTCAATGCCTACCAACCGGGCGATCATCCTCCACGCCGACCGAGTGGCTTCAATGCATACACCCCTGGTGGTCTTCCTTTGCACCGCAGGCCTCGCCCATACAATATGAAGCGCTCACGCCTCCGGACAAGCTCCCCCATCCCTGAGGCAGATCCTGTTCCGGAGAGCAGTGAGACGAACGACGTTGACGTTCAGGTCAGTGTTCGTGTTGACATCGTGCAATAGCACTCATCGTTCGGTTAGCTTTCCGATATACCCCAATCACACGACGCACAGAGCGTTCGTTCCACACCGGCAGTAGTACGCAAGGTAGGTGTACGAATCTTTTGTACCATATGTACTTATCCTCCGTAGACGAGTATTGGAACGTCGGAGGAGGCTCGAATAAGCCATGAAACCGTTAACGAATGTGATGCAGCCAACGACTCGGTATGCTTCTTCTTTGCTACAGGTAGTGCACTTGACATACCCCCCTTCGTACAGGCTCCCGAGTGCGCCTCAGGAACTGACACGCCCCAGGCAGGAACGGATGAAGAACGCTTAGGAGGGAGTGAAGTGAGTACGTGAAGACGAGACCCTGCAGATCTGACGTCCTTCAGCCCAGCGAGGCCCACAAGGACGAGCATACTGGAAGTGCGGTGGTATCTCTTCATTCCACCTTTTCGGATGAGGACGATAGCGATATCGATGAATGTGGCGATGATGACTCTGGGAAATCCGTCTGCAGCGTAGAGCAAGGCCGATGTGCTGTCTCCGGGGATCCAGAGCCCGAAATAAGCCCACCTATATCGTTCGGTTCTCTCGCTGACCTGTACGTCCTTGAAGATGAAAACGACGAGGTCGACGTCGAAGACGAAAACGAAAACGAAGATGAAGACGAGGACGAGGACACTATCAGCAAAAGTTACGACTTCTCTCTCGAACTCGTTGGCTCGTCTCACCGCCCAGGCTCTTACCTTGGTATTCCGGGGCCTGCATGGTATCCTCCTGCGGTTCGATTCTCTCCTCCAGTCAAGGTTCGACTGCTGACTAGTGGTCCTGCAAGTCCGATGCGGCCACCGTGTAAACGAATCTCCTTGGAGCAAGAATGTGCGAACGGACCGGAGACGCAATCACCGATTATCGACGAGGCTGACGTCGACGTCGATCCACTTAGAGATCTACGCTCCTCGTTAGATGAAGAGTGCGCGAACGAACCGGAGACGCGATTACCGATCGTGGACGAAGCTGATATCGACGTTGGTCCACTGACAGATACACGCCCCTCATCAGACGAAGAATGCACGAACGACCTGGAGACGCAATCGCCGGTCGTCGACGAAGCTGACATCGAGGTTGATCCACTCGCAAATACACATTCCTCATCAGACGAAGAACGCGCGAACGATTTGGAGACGCGATCACCGATCATCGACGAAGCTGACATCGATGTTGGTCTACTTAGATATATACGTTCCTCATCGGACACAGAAGGGGCGAACGATTCGGAGACGCGATCTCCGATCATCGACGAAGTCGGTATAGATCTTGGTCCACTCACGGATACTGTCCGTGCATCGATTTGGGGGCGGACTTGTCAAGAAACGCTTAACGCCGTCGTTGTCGTCGAAACCGAAAATGACTGCCAACTTTTGCGATTTACTGCGAAACCCTCGATGACCGACAGTCCAGAAGACGACACGGCAAGGCATTCGGATGATGACGCTGGCGTCACATGCGACCTTCCAGACCTCGGCCCCGATAACGCGACTACGATTGCGACTCCTATGGAGAAACAGGAGGGGGGCGAGAGCCATCATTCCGAAAGCCCGAACGAAGACGCCGACATCGAGCTAGACGTGATTCTGCGGGAACTCCGCTACGATATATCTTTTCTCCCTTCTGACGAGTGTGCTAAGGACGACGATAGTCTTATTCACGATTTGAATACAAGCGCACCATCCCATTCTTCGTCTCCTGCGATGTCGAGCAGCTGGGACTCGTTGGCAAGTCTGAGCCAAGGAAAGCAGGCAGATCCCGGCTCACACCCCACGGACCCTGTCCCGACATCTCAAGCATCGATCGAGCCCGTCGAGGACGAGGAAGTCCACCCGCTACCTGGCGCATCGGAATACGTGACGATACTCATCCCCACTCATCGTCGGAGCCAGGCTCTGCATGTCAAGCGCGTGGAAGAACTTATCGGTTGCGAACGGCCGTCCGATCACGACTCCGCGGGTGCGACCACCGAGGAACGACGCGATCCTTTGCCAAAGTGGGCCCCCGTCGACGGGATGATCATCATCAAGGTATATGTTCAAGACACCGATGACACCTGGAAAGTTCGCGTTCCGGAGGACATTACTCTACAACGATTCACGTCGAAACTCCTTTCGAAGCTTGGATTCCACGTCGCATTTAGCGGTAGCTGTTTCGATGGTCCCGAATATTACTTCCGCACTGACGACGTCTTTCGGTGTTGGGTCGCCACACGTATCCGAAATGGTCGTAACCTCCCCATAGCCGCACACGTCGTTGGTCCCCCTCCACCTCCGAAAACGGATATGGATACGGCGAACGCTGTTTCGATTGCAAGGACGACTCTTAGTGTTCGCGGCAAGTCTGCGAGTGCTGTGCGTTCGGAGTTCTTCCCTTTCAGATATAGGGATTCTCTTGATATCATTCTTCAACGTATTTCAAACGTTTTCCAATCGCCGATCGGGCGTTTTCATAGGTGGGATGGGTGAATATTGTCGTATCATTTGGACTATAGACCGCATACTATTATTTCTCATGTTTGTTTCTGTACGTCGTGGCGGATATCATTATTACATATCATTATATGGACTATTCACAGTTGATCTGGCAGTGCGAACACCGCAGAATTAGAGTTCCTGTGTATTGTGAAAAGAATGACGTCTACTACGAGACCCGAGCGCGATGCCGCAAGTAAAAAATATAGTGCACGAAATTCATGTGAGCTGTTTACATGCGAAGCACAGAAGAAGCCTCAAGATGAGATCGTTACATGTCGACTGAATAGACCGCATCGTCGAACAGAGGTTCCTTGATAAGACGACCCGCCAAATCCTGAGAAGTGGCTTCAATAAGCACGCGCTCATGAATGAACGCCTTCTCCGATTTGCAAAAATCAAGCATGTGTCTCCAGCAGTCTGGACAGACACGTCCGTAATCGACTTGTTGGAATTGTTGCATTGCATCAGCGTATGAGAGAGGGTTACGTCCGTCGAGCAGAGATCGACCCATGCCATTCCACCAGACCTGTCGCCAGTCATTGGCGCAGGAGCTCCGGTCCTGGCAACGCTTCGAGTGGATCATCGGTGGGGGTTCACATGCCACAATGCGGCGGTGAATGTCCAGTTTCTCTTTGACCCTGATGAGAGTATTCCAGACAGGGCGGGTAAGAAGGTTGCAATCTAACTCGTTCAGGAGAAGCGGAATAAGCCGGCTGAACGCGTATTGGAAGGTCTCCTTAATATGATATTTTAGTGAGATGGAGATCAGCTTGGCGGGGTGAATAGCCTGACGGGAGCTTTCGAGTTGATCGAGGGCGTACTCACGAGCAGCCTTTGACTGGTACTTCCAACTTACTTCGAGCAGCTGAAATATCGCTTCGTCCTGCATTTTTGCAGTGTCTGGACGCCACCTGAGAATAACAAAATGGTTCATGACGATGTACACGCTCGTAAATTAAACAGACTCACTTGTTGTAGCAAACTGAGAGGAATAATTCGAACCCTTCAGCCGTGACTTCAGTGATGATGATTGGCTGCTCATCACTTTTTCCATCAACTGGGACGAGTCCAGCATCGCTATTGGTGCCAAACATGTCCCTGAAAGTCATGGATTTGTCCGAGAGAATGCTTCCGTGGACTTTAACTAACGTATTTTCAACCTACACGTAAATGCCATTTTGATGACGAGCAGTAAGTAGAAAGGGGTGGTACACATAGCTCACCCGAAGAACATGAGTACCGTCAGGGTAATAAAACATTGGATGGTGTTGGGGACTCGGAGCAGCGGTCATGTTGTTGACGTTGAGTGAGGGAGTTCAATTCGATGACTGCCAGGACAAGTTGCTAGAGAAATATACAGTATGGTTTATGTTGTGAGAATAACTGCGAGAATGTGCGTGGCACACAAAACGTGTAGAGGAGAAATGCCCACAGTACCTAAGGAAATGTGCGGGAGAGCATCGGCAAAAAACATGCATCGCTAAGCTAAATACAGTTGCAGCATCGTATTACGTCCCGATCGCGACTTGACGTTCACGTCGTCCAAATCTGGATACTTCCCATTGCCCTGAATAGGAAAGAAACGACACAAAAAATCCCGATGGTCCGTGCGCACAATGAAATTCTATATAAGCCCGAGCTGAACATCCCTAAATCCTTACCACTCTGGCCTTTTGGCTTAGATCAAGTGTAGTATCTGTTCTTTACAGCATAACCGCTGTAACGGGGGCACCGCCCCCTTTAGTTGGTTAGCAAATTTTTGCCGCCCTATGTCGCCTGTGAGCTCTGCTTGCAACTCCGGGTGACGCGATGACCTTGCTATTGCACCTTACCGGCTTGCGTTGTCAGGGGATCTTCATTGCATCCTTGGCTTCTTTTGCTTTCTTTTTGTTGTGTTTCTACTTCTCTACCATTTGGTAGGGCATGGGGCTCAGCAAATGGAATGCAAAAGGTTATGTAGCTTTCTTCTGATTCTTTTGCACTACAGTATTAGATAGCAAATGTGTGTTTGGCTTGGAATGTGAATTGACCAATCTATGTTTAATTGATCATTATCCTGCTTCTATGGAAAATTTACTACAATGGTATGTGACATTCCCCCTTGGAGCATGGTGGCTGAACAGACTGGTGATTTGAATCTTGCATTTTTGGATGTGGAGGAGCAAGTGCTGGGAAAAGGTAATTATGCTGACCAAGGCTGATAAACCATTTGCCTGAAAGCTACTCCTTGGATCGTGCTGTTGCCGTTTGTAACCATGTGCGGTGATCATGATCAATGGAATTATGAAGTGCCGCCGTCTGATGGCGTGCTACCGGCCCATGGATACCTATATGAAGATGGCTTTATCATCCAGTCGACGCTATCAAACACCCGCCATGTCCCTACCTCCCTTCGACCATGATGCCCACACTAAGTTCACCGAAACACCTAATACTTTGTGGACGTTCGGTCAGAAGATCGAAAGTACGGAATCTGGGCGGAAATGGTTGGAAGGAGAAGAACAAGGGTGGAAGGTGATCAATACGGACGAAGATACCTCGTAAGTCCTGGATTTTCACCCTGTCATTCGACATCGGAGCGTAAAGACAACCTTTGTAGGCGACTGTACCCACTTATGATCAGTGCGATAGTACCTCGGCCCATAGCATTTGTCTCTTCCATCTCTGAGAGCGGAGTGGAGAACCTCGCGACTTTCAGGTACGATCGTTAGTTCCGTAGGAGATCCATCTTGTTCAAACATTGTTCTAATACGTCATGAAAGTTGGTTCAACATGGTTAGTTCATATGTTGTACTCTGGTGTCTGTTTGACTACATCAATACACGTCGTCTAGGTAACCCATAACCCGCCGCTCGTTTCGTTCTCATGCAGTAATACTCCGCGCGTCAAAGACACGCCGACAAATGTGAGGAATGGTCTCGGCTTTACCATCAACATCATCAGCGAGCCATTCGCCGAGAACGCAAACGCAACGTCCATCGACGCTCCGCCTGATTTCGACGAATGGACTATTAGCGGGCTGACAAAGGTGCCAAGCGTGGGTGTAGCTGAGCTACGAATATATGATATGCCCCTGGTTACCTTGTTTCTTAGATTCATGTCAAGGCCCCGCGTGTCAAGGAGAGTGCGTTCAGCATGGAATGCGAGGTAAGAGATCGTGGGTCCGTGGCGATACTTTCCTCTCACTTCTACCAATATGTGAAGTTCTTCCAAGCGATCGATGTCACTCATCCCATCAGCGGAGAAATCACTACAACACTGATCCTCGCACGTGTGAAGTATATCCACGTTCGCAAGGATGTCCTCAATGAACGCGGGGTTGTCGATATCACCAAGTATAAGCCGATTGCGCGTTTAGGGGATATCTCGTACGCCAGAACCGGTGATGCCTTCAGGTTACCTAGACCGGTGTGGGAACAAGAGAAAGGGAAGATCGAACAAGCTTTAGAGAACAATGAGCAGTCGTAGACAAGGTCTGTATGACCACTGGCAAACCACTGTATACCACGATGTTACATACCAAAGCCCTCCGGGCGCTCCTGGACGCATTCGGAGAGAGCGTGTGGTGTCCATAGTTACGAAGTCTTTCAAACGAAAGCACTACAAGGAGGGAGTGTTACTTATCAATGTAAGGGATCTGTTATCATGGTGTGTGTAATGGAATGGGAAGCTGTACGGTATTAGTGGAGTTTTATGAATGAAACCATTGTGGGGAGGTAAAAGACCTGGAGGATAGGTGGGATGTATAATGAAGTTGAGCTGCTGACTTGGCCCCCAAGTGTCCAAACGGCGTCGACGATACCCAAGCGATTCTGCATTTCACACCTCTGGATAGCTCTTACATTTGCAAGTTTTCTCTATATCGAAGTAGCTGGCATGTGTAAGACATGGCCCGTCCCCCCTCTGCGCGTGACCAGAGTTAACGGTCCAGTATGATTATGAACGACAGAGAGTTTACAGACCTGGGCCTAGCGGCATCCAGGAATATACTCTAATGGTAGCTGTGTACGGGGCGAGCGGACCTGCATCCGGGTGTATCCCCACATTCTAGTGAGGATTGTGGGCGCGTTCTGGGTCACTGCTACCAGTGCTAGCTGTGCCATGTTCTTTGGAGAAGTAAGTTGACAGCCATCCCTTTATTGCATCTTCTCGGTGGGCCCACGGATTTAATATCTTGGCCGGACGTTTCAGCTGCTTCCCACGCCACTTGGCCCCGGTCTTACATACATACCATAAGAGGAATGTGTGGCTGTGCCCTGTAAACGGAGGAAGTCGGGTTTCCTTTTCCTAGTCCGTTCCCCGTGAGTCCCTTGTCAGCATTTTTAGGAATTGTTGGATCTGCTTGGGGAAGCCCAGAGGCCCAGAAAGGTGTATATTCGATGTCCCTTGGATCTCACAGCTTGTGGCCCAGTCACCTTGAGTCGACGCACAGATTCACGGTGGTCGCGGGCTGTGCTTGTACTGTGGAGTAAGCAGTATCGACGAAATCGCTGTACTTGTTCCTTATCGATCCCTCTTTAGCAGGTGTCAAATTCCAGCCGCAGTATTCCTGTGGTCGATACGCGTCCGGTAGGATGGAGGCAATCGGCGAAAATCAACACGCGACGGAAGTTCGAGATGGACTCGAGAAACTCGTCGCGTCTGTTTTGAGTCCTGAGGATGCATAAATCCGGTTATGTTGCTGTCATAGTCATGCTGTCCCCCTGTCTGGCAAGCACTGTGCGTGTACGGTCCTGCTACGGGCACTCCGCCACACGACCTTACGTCCATTCTTTGTCGTGTCGACGTCGTTCTGGGGCAGTTATCGATACGTCGCTCCCGCCGCCCGTGTCTCTTCTTGTATTCATTCACTGAGTGGTCAAAGCGAGGGGCATCATCCTGGCTCTGCACTGTGGGGATGCCCTTACGACGCGTCGACAGCACTGCCTGCCCAGGGACTGTATTTTACTGGGTGAGATTCCTTAGGTGCCACTCCTTCCCTTTCTACCCCTCTGTTCAACCTGACTGACGTGGACGACGGTCTCAGACCCGCTGGACGGCGGCTTCTGCTTCTACAACGAGACTTGTGGTAACACGTGAATAGATACGTGTGCGCCACAATGAATCCACACGACGATGAAGTTAGATATTGGCGTGACCTCGCCATGCGGCGGGGACACGAGGGACTCGACCCCGATTACATTAACAGTGCTATCAGGGACATATACGAAAACAACTTTCGCCGCAGCGATCATGATATTCATCAAACCAGGCGATCTCGTACCCCGCATCCTCATCAAGCTCACACCTCTCACATCCCTCGTGCTCATACCTCGCGCGGACATCGTGGCGACGAACCTCATCCCCGTGCCCAGAGTCAAACTCGTGCTCCATTCCTGAGACCAGTCCCACTCCCGGAAGAGGTGGTAACCCCTGTCATTCCCCCCAGTACCCCACGTGATCATCCGTCATCTACCTGGACAGACTATCCCTACTCGGGAATCCAGCTTCATCCGCTATTCCAACCTCCGTATCTCCGCCCACCACCGTCTTTCCAACAACAGCCACACAGCTCGCATATACCCGCGTATCATCGAGTGACAGAGCTCAACTCTGCCCGCCCTTCGCACACACACCAGCCACCTTTGAATGAAGGAATTCGGATCAATCCGGGTACGTGGGTTTAACTCTACAGTTTTTGACGCCACATATTCTTGGCGATTGTAGAACCAATGCTATCGAATTACCAACCACCATGGTATCCGCCATTCGACCATAACACGCCAGGGACGTCGCAAGTACCGCAACCACCCCCTGCACCCACTTCCGGATTATATGCGTTCCATACTCCTGCTCATTCACTACCCTACCCACGCCTATACCCCTATGTGCCAGCGGGAACGTTCCGGACCGGAAATACCGGATATGGACAAACGCCCGGATCAGCACCTGCACCGCCCCCGGCCTCGGCACCGGTGCAACAACCACCTGGTCCGTACATGGCAGGCTATTTATCGGGTGGATGGCCTCTTTCTGGTCCATCTCCGTGGTTGCCCCCGTTAGCACCGGGCGTTGCACCCGGTTCAGAGAGCGTCCCACAGTGGAGTCCTGGAACCTGGCCACCATTGCCATGGCCCACTGACGTTCCTGTCCGACTCGCCCCATGGCTCATTCCTAATCCCGTAAATCCCGGTGTTCCCCAGATAGAATGGGATGTGAGTACACATCCCACCACAGCTCGACGTGTCACCGGTGCACATATTATCCTACCCTTGGACTCGGGAGGGGGTGGGAGCACGGGCACTGGAATAGATCGCGAACCAGCGACACTACCTCCATCCGAGAGAATAATTGTGCTATGTGACGTTGGCTGGATCAGCCAACTCTGGGGCCCGATCGTCATCGAACGACCGGGAGGAAGAGTCACGATTCGTGACCTTCTCGAACGTATATATGCGTTCTTCCAAACACACCTTACAGCTGCTGAAGTCGAGCATATCTCCTCTCTAGAACCAAACAATTATGGTTTGCTAGTAGACGCTTACCAGAGGAGGACGACGCAGAGACGTTTGGGTGTGTTGAGAGATTGGGAGTGGAGGGAGGGGATGCGGCGGGTGGATTGTCTTCAGGATCGGAGGTGGTGGTGGGGGGTGTGGGTGACCTATAATTCGGATGAGACGTGGCATTTAAATTTGGGATTCATGAATCCTGCACACCGGAATATATAACCGGTGTTTTCATGGGGGTGCATGCGTACCTGTGCTATCATCTGTGTTGAGCATACACCACGATTTGCCAGGTAAGTCATCAGACTTTCAAGCATGAACGGGGACGACTGACAAAAATATTAATCGAGGTGCATATGAGCACTGGACAGTCGTCACGCGAACAGGTTGAGCTTCTGGCAGGTTGGTGAACTTACTGATGTGACAACCCGCGAGCGGTAACGATTGAAGGTATGCTGTCGGTGAAGCAAGCCCTGGGCGGGAATGAAAACGCACATGATAATAATTTTACAGATCACCGGATGTCGTACACCATTTTGTACATCACTTTTGTCGCACATTCATGGTCGTTCAAATCGCCTTGAGGTTGTATTCTCATTGCTGGGAGCTGGCGTTGTGTTGCCCTCATGTTGGTGAAAATTCTGAGGTTAGGTACATATACCTTCCCGATTCCTCCTGTATGGCGGAACGCGACCGTCATCATAAGCGGAAGTGGTCATTATGGGAGATATAGAACAACCGCACGGTATATGTTGGAGCTGAACAGACTTGGTGTCTCCAGAAGGGATAACGGGGAAACAAGGTGAGAGAAGCACGAGGGAACTAGTAGCGCAGGACACGCATTTGCAAGGTGTGGAAAGCTGTTCTGCTTAGACTCGATTGTCAAATCAGGTGTACCATCTGGATTCCCTATGAATGCAAGTGAGTGGCATAGATGTCTGATGGGTGTCCTTAGCATACCTTGTATGCAGAGCTTAGAGCAAGGTAGGTCGAATTGGGAAGAGGAAGCTTCTCTGGATCTGGCATTGAAAAAGGTCACAGACTCCATGACCTTTACAACACTGGATCTGGGGGCTATTGACTCACAATAGTCCAATGCTAAGTGAGAAAGGTATCAATAGTCACTTTTGTTCTTGGATTCATTCTGTCTCAGTATGATGAAGAAGGTTGCAAATGTCCTGCTTGCTATGGCTCACTCCCCATCAATGAACATGAATCTTGTTACAGTCAGCCTAAGCTTGAGCTCTATGGTCTTTTCAGAGTGCTTTGTCACTATCATCTATATGTCTATGGTGTTCATCATCTATGGGTAGAGGTTGATGCAAAGTATATCAAAGGTATGCTCAATAATCCAGATCTTCAGCCTGATACCACTGTCAATTGCTGGATCAAGGGTATATGTACTTCTCTTTGACTTTAAGCTCATTCACATCCCTGCCATTTGTCACCAAGCCCCAGATGCCCTCTCTAGATATCAACCTACAGAAGGAGAGTATGAAGAAGGCAAGGTAGATGCAGAAGAAGCTGATGAGTGGTTGGAGAGTATTCTTTTCACAGATGCCCATCCATCTTCAGTCTGTGCAACTTGTTGATGACTTGCACAGGAGTTGACATATGCCATGACACTCCCATCATTCCTTTCTAATGATGCATCTCAAGATGTCCTTTTATGTCAAGTCCTCCACTTCCTTCATACTACAGAACTACCCCCATTCCCTTCCAATACTGCTCACAAGCACTTCATTCACAGATCCCTCCAGTTCTTCCTTCATGGAGACTGGCTTTTTAAATGTTGAGGTCCTCATCCTCCAGCCAAAGTCATTTTTGATCCAGATCTCCATGCTCAGATCCTCAGTCATGCTCATGAAGAACTCAGTCATTGTGGAGTCTGGAATTTTTCAGACAGTCAGGCAGCACTTTTACTGGCCTCAGATGTACCAAGATGTCACTCATCATGTCTGTTCTTGTCATGAATGCCAGATCTGAAGCACTTGTAAAGCAGAGGTTCCCATCACCATTTCCACTTCCCCCAGAATTTTTATTAAGGTCTATGTTGATGTTATGCTCATGCCCAAAGCTTGTGGATATCACTAGCTTGTCATAGCTCAAGATGATCTTTCTCTTGCTGCAGAAGGTCATGCTCTTTTACATGCCAATGCAGACAGTCTTGCTAAGTTCTTCTGGAAAGAAATCTTCTGTTGTTATGGTATTATTGTGCAGGTTGTCACTGACAATGGCAGTGAGGTCAAGGGTGCCTTTGAGAAACTCATGAAGCACTACTCCATCCCCCAGATTTGTATCTCCCCATGTAATTCCAAGGCAAATGGAGTTGTAGAGCATGGACACCCTGTTATCAGAGAAGCTATCATCAAGGCTTGTGAAGGAGATCTTTTGCTCTGGCTCACAGAAATCTATAATGAGATCTCAGTCGAGTGTGCAAGTGGCAAACATCTATATTTGCATTACCTATAACGAGATCTAAGGTAATGACGTGAGTGCAAAGTACACAAACACGGAACAAGACACTATACCCACCTCAGTCGAGTGTGTGAGTGGCAAATGTCTGAGGTGGTGTTACTACAGTAGTGAGTTAAGTATGCTATACAAAACAAAAGGGGTGAGACACAGGTGTTGAACCCGGTGTTGAAACTACAAGCACGGTCATAGCGCAAGTCCTTGTACCATTAATTTATACATATGAAACATTTGAAGACAATAAAACAAAAGTTACCATGCTGTATTGTCAGCGCTCGAGAACGACTAAGTATTGTGGTCTTGTAGACCTGTAAACGGGAAGTGTTTCCCACGGTAAGGAAAAGTAGCATCAATTAATGAATGAAGACTACGAGTGACTTGCCAAATCTAACACTGGCCATCCAAGGTTCATCATGCATTCTTTGCAGACAAGGTCACTACTCATTTCTCCACTAGATTCAGCCCCTACTTCCTGTTACATGGTCTTGATCCTGTCCTGCCTTTTGATCTCTTCAAGTCTACCTACCTTGTTGAAGGATTCTACTCTGGTATGACTTCTCAGGATCTCCTTGCACTTCACATTCATCAGTTGGAAAAGAGAGAAGAAGACATCAATGCTGCTTTCACCAATTTGCAGAAGTCTTGTTTATGCTCCAAGGATCAGTTTGAGAAGAGGTATGCATTATGGTTGATGAAGTCTGCTTATGAGCCAGGAGATTTGGTATTGGTTTGCAACACACAGGTAGGGAAAGAACTGGATTGTAAATCAAAGCTGCACTACCTTGGTCCCTATGAGGTTGTTCATTGTACCAAGGGGCTTATTCCCTATTACTCCCAACACACTCCTGACTCAAGCCCAGTCCAGTCCAGACCCCTAGCCCCTATCTCTGGTCAAGTCTGAACCTAGTCTGACCTAGAAAACCTAACTCTGGCCCTAAATAACCCAACTCTGGCCTAGATAACTCAAGTTTGGTGTTTTACCCCTATCTCTGGTCCACTCTGGCCTCTTGGCCTTGTGCTGCTCCACCCTGGTCCTCCCAGGTTCATGTCTTGGTCACCCAGATGTAACTCCAGTCTGTTGTCTGATGCTTGTGCTATATTTAGTTAGTCTTCTTGCCTGATCTCTGCTTACTGTATGAATCCTGTGTCTGACTCCAGTTATGCTGGTCACCCAGACTTTGGCTATTAGTCTTGGCACAGCCTCTGTGGCTATCCACCCCTTGCTATTCATCTTCCTAATAGCTTATTAACAAGTCCAGCTTCATGTTTGTTGCTCCAGACTGGCCTCATGTATTTAACCCCTGCACATACTTCATAGCACCTCAGTCAGAATATCAATTAAGTATTACCCTCAACTCTGTATTACCCCTTGAGTCTACTCAATAGCTAAGGCCAAGCCTTGGTCTATCCCAAACCCCTGTCCCAGACCTCTCCCTGGCTTGCATAAGGGTACAGCACATAAGCTGAGGCCAAGGGAGGTAGATCCAACCCTGGACTGGCTTTCCTCTGTGTGGACTCTGAGACCAGTTGGTTTCCCATGCTACCAATCTTGTTCTCACACTTCTGGCCTTGACTCTGGACCTCTGGACTCAACCCCTAACTTCTGGCCTCAACTCCGGTCCAACTGGACTTAGCCGCTGTCACCTGGACTTGAAGCTCAGTCACCCAAGGGTAAACCCATACTTAACAGTATATTCTGACTCACACTTGTGCAAGTCACCTCATCATGTCTAGGTCCTGCTCTAGAGCCCCTACCCATGACCTTACCCATTGGGACTCATCAGGCTACCTCTCCTCTGACTCCAGGGCCCAACCTGGAGACCTCTGCTGAAGCAGAGAGGTAACCAGTGACCCTTGGCACTCTGCACACCCTGGGTTGCATTACACCTGACACTATGTTCTTAGTGGTCAAAACTTAATGCATCCACTCCCTCACTCCTGACCCCTGTCTGCCCCTCATTTTTTCCTGACTCTGGACTGGCCATGTCAGCCCCTGAGTCAGACTCACCATGTGGACTCACATCTGAGTTCCCTTCCAAGTTGGAGTTACCCTCCAGACTTGCCCCTGAGCCAGCCTCAACAACTGGACTCATGTCTGTTAGCTCCCCTGAGCTACCTCTGACCCCTGGCTGGTCACCTTGGTCTTTACCTTGGTCATCCCAGCACTCTATCCCAGCAGTCTTGGTTCATTCCTACTGTACTGGATACTGGGATTGCATCACTCATTTGACCTCCTGACCCCCTGATATTGGTCTCTGGACCTCCATGCACCTTTGGCACAGCCCCCAGGCCCAGACTTGGCCAGTCCCAGCCCTCAACACCTTCCCTGTTCCCCATTGGCACTTGGCTTTGGCAGTTTTTTGGTCCAGTCTCCACCCTCAGCCTCAGCTACACTGGCCTTGGAGCTCTCGACCCCCTTTTTTGGCCTCCAGACTGTGTGTTACTGGCCTGTTTGGCCACCTCACTCAGACCTGTCTAGACTTGTTACTGGGTCTTAGACTGGTCCTGGCATTCCTTGGCCCCTCCTGTTCCTCACAGACCCTTCCTGGGTCTCCTGTCCCTTGTCCTGGTCCTGCACTAGTCTCCTTGGCCTTGGGATGGCGCTTGTCCTTCAGGCTTGCCCCTGGCCCCTGGCCTTCTGTCTAGGACCAGTCTGCCAGTCTTCCAGCCCCTATCCCAGTCCTGGACCTCATTCCCAACCTCTTCCCTGTCCTCTGTTTACCCTGGGATCCTAACCAGGTTAACAAGTTGGTAACTCTGTATTCTGGAAGCCAAAATCGGTGGTCTCAGTTGAGACAAAACAATTAGAGTCTACCCCAGGATCCTAACTGGGTCAGCAAGTTGGTACTCTGGTACACCAGAAGCCAAACTGGTGGTCTTGATAGAGACAAATCAGTTAGTGCATCACTCTGGCCCCTTAGCAGTCCCCCCTGGCTTTTCCTGCAAGCCTTGGGCCTCCCCTCTATCACCTGGCCTTATGACCCCAAACCAGTCTCCCCAACTCCAGTCTTCCCTTTCTTGCCTTGCCTGGCATCTTAGCCCCAGACCAGACTTGCCAACTCTGGTCCTCTTTCTTTCTTTTGTCCAGTCTTGCACCTCCAGACTCCCTCACGACACATGACTGGTCTCCCCAACCTGGCCTTCCCTCAGCCTCACCTGACATTGTAGCCCCAGATCAGACTTGCCAACTCTGGTCCTCCTTCCTTTGTCTGGTCTTTCACCTCCAGACTTCCTCATAGCCCTGACTGGCCTTGCTCACTCTGGACTTCCTTCTTTTGACCAGTCTTCCATCTCTGGCCTTCCATTGGCCTCCAATACCCCTTGGGTAGCTCTGTGCTACTCCCCCTGTCACTCCTTTGGCCTTTGGGCCTATCCCTCATCCCAGAACTACCCCTGAGCTCTACCTCAGTGCTATGGTCTTGACCTAGCACTCCTTTCCAGTCCTTGGTGGACCTGGCCTTGGTCCTCTCTTGGTCTCCAACCATCTGTTCAACCAGCATTGTCAACCCATTAGGAACTGAAGTATCTAGGTTGTAGGGAACTGACTAGCTCACTCAATAGGCACCTGTTGGTGGCCAAGTGTAGTGCAGTCACCTATCCCTGCCTACTACTAAAGTTTCTAACCCCCCTGATGTCAACCCTGCATTGGAGCATGGATTTGCTTGCAAGACACCCCAGGCCTCAGCCCATCTGACAAACCCCTGACTCTGCTGGTCTGCTTTGCAGCTCACCCATTGGCCCTGAAACTTTGTTGTTCACAAGGCCCCTTCAGGTACTAGCTAACCCCTCACCCTCACCCTAACCATTTCAGTGTCACCCCACCATTGACTCTGGGACTCCAGTCCTGTCCATTCTCTGGACTCTGGTCTTAATGGTTGTCTTTCTGCCCTGCCTGCTGGTCTCCACCAGCCTCCTTGTTTCCCCTTGGGTTCCTGTTTCCAGACTTCATACCCTTGCTACTGACCCCAATGCTCCTTACTATCCCCTTACCAGCCCAGTCTGCCCTGCTGGTTTTGTATCTCCAGTTTTAAAGCTTTTCCCAGCCTTGCAAAAGCTTCCCAGAACTGGTCTTGACACCTGTTAAGCTGGCCTCTGCATTCTCAGTACTTGGATTTACAACTCTGGTGGTAG